CCAGGTACTGACCAGGCTCACACCTGCTTAGCTTCAGTGGGTTGCCAGTTGTGAGTTGCAGGGTGATATGGTTGCTGGCTAATATGGCTGCTGTTTACAATGTCATAGGGCCACCCACATCGCCAAACATTTTGTTGGCTTGTTCTGAATTACAGAATATGGCACTGTGCATACCTGGAGATTTTGTGTATCATGTGATGTAAATTGGAGGTTTTACAAGTGACTGTGTACATTTCACTGTTATTGCGGTTTGAATGCACTCCTCAATGCTGATTCTTTCTAATCCTGAAATATGAAAATAGCTTTGCAGTTCCCCTTTAAACATCACTTTTTTATCATTTGTATTCCTATAATATAAGGGAAGAACTTTGAATGTGTTAATTCGGTGACATTTCTTTCAATTCTTCTGGATATTTGAAACTGTTTTGCCGAGACATACTGAGAACATTTTGCACTTAAATACTTTTCTTTTTGTACCAAATATAAAAAATACTTCTTTTGGGATTTGCACCTAAGAAATTTATCATATATAGACAATTATCAAAGCATTGAAGGGGTATGCCCAGCTTTTTGTCCATATCTACTGATTGTTTGCCCACAGTTAAGCAGTTTAGATTTTCTCTGTAATCCAATGACTAGCACTTACCTTCATAAATTTCATTCAGTACTTCCTCAACTTTAAGATTATCAAATGCTTTTACTTCAAACCCTAAATCTTGAAATCTGTAAAACAAGGGAACAAGTACAGAAGATTAATTTGTGAATTTCTAATAATTTTATGCCTACAGTAAGTAATCCCACTATTTAGAGTCACTAGATTTGTAAATATCAGTAGAAGTATTAACAGCTACCTTGCTAACTGGGGAGATGAGAATTTTAAAAAACATCTTAAAATCCCATTACTTCAAAAACATTTTATTTACTAGGAGGTAATGTCTTAATTTGAGCATCTTGCACCAAAAACTGATAAGTGCTAAAAAAGAAAAAAAGAACATGGGTGTTATCAGCTGCATGAACACAGACTTGCAGCTGCTGACCTTCTGAAAAGGTTGTGTTTGTCTGCATTGGTACCAAATCGGTCAGGCATGCACAGACGCCAAAAGAAGCGCTCCTGGTTGAAGATCAAGGCCAGGCCCCGGCGCTTATGGTTCGTCTTGTATTCCACCGCTGGGTCAAAGAGATCACAGCTGTAAACACACAGTGACAAATTGTCATGACTCATGTCATGTAGAGCTAGGTGATAATTCGATAACGATAATTATCGTTATAAGAAAATTTTCCTTGATAGAATTTTAACAAAAGTTCAATAAATGTTTGATACAACTGTTTATGCTTTGCGCATGACATGCGCAAGCGCACACAGTACTGCGCGAGTGCGAGTGCGTGTTGCAGACCGGGCAGCTAATGTGGTGTTGTTTACCCACACGGTGGTGGCTGACAGGATTGTAGTTAAGAGTGGAGAAATGAGCGACACTGAAGCAAATGTAGTGCTGCCAACGACCAGCTCGAAGGACGATGATGTCGTCAACAGAAAAGGTCATTCAACTTCGTAAAAAGCCAAAATATCTCCAAATTACCAATCAGACATAAAACAGAGCACTTTAAACTTTGCAGTCTGTCTGAGCCATCTTCTATGTGTGTTTTATCACACTGCAGTATTTAAGTTTTCTATTAAGATATTTATTTATTATTTTACTCATGCATATTTTGACATAAAAAAAGACTTGAATACTCTCTACCTCAGATTTGTTTAATGTTTCTGCTGTTTGGCAAGTGTTTGTGGTGTTCTTAAAATAAAGAGTTGTTTAATTTACCAATTAACTGTCTGGTTTCTTCAACTTTCACTCAGGATACAAAAAATCTTCCTTTAAACTTGAAAGAAATAATGATTTGACATTTATTGTGATAATTATCGATATCGACCGATTTGAACTTTTTTTGGCCATATCGCCCAGCCCTAATGTCATGCTTCACTAACTTTAGGACCAAACATAACACATTTTTTTTTTACAAAAGAAGAATATTATGGGCGAGTCAGTGACTGTACTGTCACCCACTCATGGTCAAACCAGCACAGACCCGTACTAACCACCAAAAACAAAAAGAAATACTTAGGCTGAAAATGTTGAATGGCTGGAAGTGTAGAGTAACCAGCTTTGCTTGTTTAGTGTTTCTAGTGAATGTTACTTAGAAAACATAACAAGCATTAATTTTTACATTTAAACTTACATTCCAGCATACCTATAAATAGGATTTTGAAACACTCTTCTTGAAAAGTATTTTGGAAGGACTGAGTACAAGATATTTCTACAAAGATGCGAGTACAGATGTGAATACCTTCATAGAATGTGCTATTGCCTAGAAAAGAACCCAGGATGCCATACCACTATGACACACATGCACAATATTACCTTATCTTATTTTAGAATGAATAGTGTGACTCACTTCCTATCAAAGACAGTCTTAGCAAAAGCAATAAGCATAGGAGGACCCAAGTATCAGTTAGGTGGGTACTACTGTAAAGAAACTAAGTGTGCAAAGTAAACGTAGGTGAGGAAACCACAAGGAACCAAGAACGTATTAAAAAGTTTGCAAGCTTAAGGGAAGTAATAAACATAATCTGATCAGTGGAGATAAACATATTCAACAACCTGAAAGGCATTGATAATGTTTCCCCAGCAGACTTCTGCATAATTAATTGAGAAATGCAAATGGAAACTAACTACATGCACGAAACTAACTTCTTGGCACTGAAAGCAAAAACAGGAGGCGCATAAAAGATAGTGGGAGTCTGAAACAATTTGCGGAGCCATGTTGCTAAAGCCACTACTCTGTCTTTTTCAGGAAATGACTGAATGAGATCCACAGGTAAATTAGTTACTATCAATGTCAGAAGTTTCAATCTTGTGTTCTTAATCTTTCTGGCTATGCAGAAACTGCAAATAAGTGTACATAGTACAGAATACACCTGGTAGCTGTAATGATAGAAAAATATTCTGGAGTATGTCCTTTTCTGTTCTGAACCAGCATGCTTGGAGATTTTCCATGACTCTTTACAGCAACAGCACCTCAAGACATGGTAGAACTCTGTAATGTAAACTGATCCAGTTAATTAATAATGAATTGATTTAGGTCGTTAAGAACTTACAGTAGCTAGAATATAAATATGGAGAGTATTCAGCACTCAACTGCTTTCCCCTGTAGCTTTTAACTCAGAAAATAATAGCCATTATTTAAATATTTAAAAGGATCTTGTAACTGCAGAACAGCATATATAGGGAATTTTAGTGGCAGAATGTAAACTGGCTCTAAAGGTCAACAGAAGACTTCAAGCAAGACGGGAATACACATTTACGTAATGGTACATTTACAGATAACAGATCAGCAGCAAAGCATGACACTCCTCCCTTAAAACTGTATGGATGCCACCCACCGATGTGTGAACTTGCTACGGTTTCTGTAAACGTAAAACAACAATTTTACCATAACTGCCATCTTGAGAATATCTGCAAAAGGTTAGACTTTTCTAGCTAGAAGGGATAATAAAAAGAATCATGAAGAGAATCTGCTGAGTCAAAATGCAGCACCCTGAGAGAAGCAGCAGCCACATCAAAAAGTGGATTTCCATCCAGCTGCAGAAAAAGAAACTCGTATTGAACACATACATTTCATTAATGTTACTCTGCTGCAGTTTCACTGAGAGGTACAAGAATAAATTGGTTTTTAATATAAAATTATATAAATGCAAAAATGTATAAACCATTTAATTTTAAACATCATTAAATGTATTAGTGTGGAATGTCTTACACCTAGCACTACAGTATGTGTGCCTTTTTCTATGTAATTCATCAGATTCTCAGTTACCACAAACAGTGCAAATGCGTGCTCTCTTGCAGAAGTACAGTGGTGTTTGTTGTTAACTTAATTTCTGACAGGAAACAAAGCTAAAACCAGAAAAACAGTGTGTACCTCACATTCTAGCCCACATGACTCATTTTAAGAAAGACTGACTGGCATTTTTAACAAAACAGAACCAATTACAACCAGAAACGACAAAGGAGGCAAACATGCCTCACAAATTGCCTCAGCTCATCCCACAAATGTACCCCCACAAATGCGGCTCAAGTCTAATGAGTCTGGCAAACAGCATACTTGTGACATTCTCATCTCTCTAGAAAGCCACTGTCAAATGAGCAGCAGAAGGATATGTGTTGTCCCACTGTATCACATGAGGATCGGCCCACAGGAAGTTCAGCAACTGGCGTCTATGGACTCTATTAAAGTAGCACTGTGAAGTCAGGTTGGCATCAGTCACTTCTTGTAACCTGCCTTTTCTGATACAGTGGAGCTTGCAGTGGGAAAAACTTACAAAGTTGAAGAACGATGATGCCCATCTTGTCAAGAATTCGAGACGTGTGGTCTCCTTGATTATGGCCTATCATTGACAACTTTTCACAAGTTAAGACATTGCTGGCTGTGAACTTCCCACACAGCAAATAACAGTGTGCTAACTAAATCCATCCACCAAAACAATGATGGTACAGTATAAAGGCTTTGTACTCTTGATAAGCAGCTATTCAATAACTTAACAGCTTATATTTTATTATTTTAAGATTACCTAAATAATGTGATAACTTTATATGATGCATTTTTCACTTTATAATATGCTACTGATATTTTTTGGCACCGATTACTTTAGTTGAGGGATGACAAACAGGCTATGAAAATTAAGTAGTCAGAGCCTTGCAGCTACAAGGATGATTAGTCTATGCTGAGGGAAGCAAAGAGGAAAAACCAAACAAAAGGAAGCTAAACCTGTTCCATGTTTTAATGGTCAACCAGAAAGCTAAGAACTGTACTTGTGCCAAGGCAATATTTGTGTACCTGTGTAAAACAATATTCATGTTTTATATTCAAGATATTCAAGAGCTTTGAGGGAAACTATCGGAATGTAGTGCTCTTGGTTAAAAAATATTGTTTGTTTGTTCTTTCAATAAGATTCTCTGCCTTTTGTTTTACTTAAACAAAGCTGCTGCAATGCGAACATTCTGGAAAAATTAGCTAATTCTCAACAGAGACGCACGAGGTCTGAAGACCCACAGATGGATGAGGTGGATGCAACATTTTTAAAAGGAAAACACTGAAATGTCTTACCTCCTGTAATAGGCGTCTGTTTCAGTAACATTTCCTCCCAAGGCTGAGGAAAGAAAATGAACCAAAAACAATTATGGACATATTGGAGCTTTAGTGTATTAGAACATTAAGAGTCTAGCATTTAAAAACATCAATCCTACGGGTTGATGGCATTACAACTGGAGGTATTTTACAATGTAATTTTGCTCGATGAAAATTATCTCCGGATCAGGACAGATGTCTAGCACACATTTCAGGCACAATACTGGGGAAAAAAGATTTCACAGCAATATCTGATAAACTAGATTACCAGCATGCATTAGCAACATCCCATCTGAATCACATGCAAAACTACAATGCTAACTTCAAAGAACCGTAATGCAGTTCCTAGTTATTGCAAGATCTGAGTGGGACCAACCGCTGAATGCTAAAGAAAAATTGCAGGAATTCTAAGCTGTATACACAAAGCATTTTTATAAGTGCTCAATCTGTAAAAACTGAACTAAACACTAATAGTCTGCAATTTCCCTCACGGGATCAATAAAGTATCTATCTATACCACAAATACGCTAAGTGAGATGTCCCCTCTCTTAGTACTGGAAGGTGGATGCATCCACAGTTTTTCTAGGTCTCTTTAAAGTACCAACATGACAAGAGTTGAGAGAAGCTATCATACTACAACGCAATATGTTTAGCCTCTTGCAGCATAAAATATCAACATCTACTGTACTCTAAAAGACTCCAAGACACTCACCTTCAGGTTTCTTTGTTGGCTCACTGTCATGTTCAATTTGTCCTGTAATAATGAGGAGCAATTAATGTAATACAGTTACTTATTAAGACAGATGAAACTTCAATTAAACATTTCCAGATTAATTCAAAACTTCAGCACAAGTTCGATCGTTATTTTTCTCCGTCTTCAATATTCCTGTATCTTTGCCATGTGATCACACTTGAGCTGGAAAATATGTGGCTGTGTTTTAGAACCCTACATGTATATAGAAAGAAACACATTATTTTTCAACTCAATTTGGAAATGGCCACTGCTTTTTATTTTAAGTACCCTGGCAAAGAAACTTGTATTCCTTAGAGGAGAAAGAGACATGCATGTTCCTCTGACATGCCCACACATGTACAGCCAAGCATCATCTGAAACACTGAAGGCCCCACAGTGTTAGACGGGAGATGTAATGATGATCAGAGGAGGAAACCATTTCTTATTAATTAATTAATTACACTTATATAGCGCTTTTCTGGACACACCACTCAAAGCGCTTTACAGGTAATGGGGACTCCCCTCCACCACCACCACCAATGTGCAGCACCCACCTGGATAGCAGCCATAGTGTGCCAGAACGCTCACCAAAAATCAACTATTAGTGGGGAGGAGAGTAGAGAGTAATGAAGCCAATTCATAGATGGGGATTATTAGGAGGCCATGATTGGTAAGGGCCAATGGGAAATTTGGCCAGGACGCCGGGGTAACACCCCTATTCTTTTTGAGAAACATCCTGGGATTTTTAATGACTACAGAGAATTACAACCTCGGTTTTACATCTCATCCGAAGGACGGCACCTGTTTACAGTATAGTGTCCCCATCACTATACTGGGGCATTAGGACCCACGTGGACCACAGGGTGAGCGCCCCCTGCTGGCCCCACTAACACCTCTTCCAGCAGCAACCTTAGTTTTTCCCAGGAGGTCTCCCATCCAGGCTCACACCTGCTCACACCTGACCAGGCTCACACCTGCTTAGCTTCAGTGGGTTGCCAGTTGTGAGTTGCAGGGTGATATGGCTGCTGGTGAATCTTATTGACTTATTGTCAATAAGTCAATTGTCAATCTTATCTTATTGACATCACTGCAAGCTTGCAGGTGCCCGCCATGTGGGTTGCAGGAGTTTACTGGAAAGCTATGAGACCCCAGGCAAACTACTCCCAACCCTATCCCTGATGATCCTGAGTCATCTGCGCATTTTCACTTGGCTCAACCCAGTTACCACTTGGGGAATCCCAGTCAAGCCCGACGTGACTCGGAAATCTGGGCCAAAGAGCTCAAAGTACATAAAGTGAGTGCCTTTAGCAATTTTCCTTAAATAATCACTTTTTACTACATGGTGAGCAATGCTACCAACTTTAAATCATCCACCCCATGTGCTGCTCCTGCTAATTTATTAAGCAGGCCACATGGTGTGCCAGCCAGCATTATTTCTGCTCCGTGATGCACTGGGATTTGGGGAAGATTCCCCACCCGTTTCTGATCACAGTTTCTTCATGCAATTTGCTGGCATCACATTCAGAAGAGTCTGATATTTATTATTTTAAACAGATGCCATTTTAACGTCACAAGACGAAACCTGGGTCTGCCTGAGGGCAGATAGATTAATTCAAGTCAAACCAGGAAGTTTACAGGCAATAGCAATACAGTATTAATTCCTTTAACAACTACATGAGTGTCATTAACATACTGTAGAAAGTTAGAAACCTGTTCTGCCACAAGCTGGAAAACCTTTGTCATCTCATGAATACTTTAAAAAAGCATTAATAAAGACAGTACGACTTCCAATGAAATGCACTCTATTATTTTTGTCACAATGTTCCATAGCTTGTGGTTATACTTCTATAACCAAATTGTTACACCAATGATAAAAGAACTAAATCCAAATACAGCACACTAAATACCTCCTGTAAAGAGCAAGGGTTTATTTGTTCAGTGCACCTTACTCGCCTATTATAACCATAAATCAGAATACCAATAATCATTTATGACAAGTAGAGTCTAAAGATTACCCTAGATTATTTTTCTTGGAATTTCAATGTATCGGGTCATTTGTTCTCTGAAAGATCCTAGTTCTGAAGGGTGTTCCTTGTAAGAGCATACATGCAAAACTGTGAAAATTCTAGGTTACACCATTGAAACCATTGTATTGTTCTTTGCAATAACAATCTTCAGTGCCTGTCAAACAATTAACAACAGTCATAAAATGGCTGATAAACTGATTTGCACTATGTGGTTTGCTAAGTACTCCTTTTTCTGATGTCCATCCTTTAAATGAAATATGCTGCATGACTGGTAGAAACATTTTATGGCATTTTAAACCTTGTTTTTAAACATTGTTTACTATACATGCAACTTTCTTTAGATGTACAAGCACTGCTCAGACAATTGCATCATCCTGGATTAACTATTGAAATAGTCAAATTAAGATATTAAGTATCCATTTTAAGAACATTGTACTACAATTTAAACAACAAACTCTATTTTAAGGTTAATACTATGTAAATGTTGCAAAGGATACTGTGACTGCAAATGTAAACCTTCCTAAATAAAAAAATAAATAAATCAAAGTCAAACTAACTTTTTTTTTACAATATTGAGAAAAATTCTGGAAGATACTGTTTTCAAAGAGTCTTAATTTTAATGGTTTTGTATCTCTGTTTTCTACAGTCTTAATATGGATCAGACAAGACAAATCAGAGTTGGGTTAAAAACTTGAGGAAAGTTGGGAGGTTTCCTAAGAAAACCACTGTAATGTTATTTCAGGGCAGGATGTGGTTATTAAAAACAGAATCTGGCCAGTTTAAACTATAATATATATATATATTAAAGGGAAGCCTGAAACTAAGTTAAAGAGCACCACTTCTACATTATTTTTTAAAGTATCTGAACATAAACATCTAGCTACCTGCTAATCATACATTTACGAATAGTCTACATAAGAAATCTAGAATGATCCGATACTATGGATTCACTAAATCCCAATGTAAATCAGTTGTCAACCTTGTTTGTTTAAATTATTATTTTGCAGTTCCATAAGGACTTGTCATGACTGCTGTACCGATACAGAACAAGGGAAAGAGTCTGTGAGTGTTTATCGCTAACCTACAGTATTTCTGTTTCAGGACTTTTAGAAAAAAAACGTACTGTTTTATTTGCATTTTAATAACAGTTACAAGTTATTAAAGTTTGATGCAATTTGACGCGTTTCTCGCGTACAGCTAAAATGCACAACTGTTTCTTGAACAGCAATAAGGAAGTATAGCAACCACGTACCTAGATGTCCAACACAAGGACGCGACTTTTCTCAATTTCACTTTCAGCCGTTTCAACGAGTTAATTCAATATCCAAATATTAACGTCCTACTGCATAGTACGTACGTGCATTTACTTTCTGAAAGTATCTGAACAGATCATTAAGAAGCAACATATTCTCTCAAATACAGTTAACATTGCCCACTTCTGTTTTCTCGTGTTCCCGATTTACACCTATTAAGAAATGTTAGAAAAAAAACATTTAAATTTAACCAACGACAGCAGTTTGATTAATGTGGTTATTATAAAGCCCCGGTATTTTTACATTACTTGTACGTATTAATATAAACTCACTTACAAGCAAAACAGTCCAATGTCTTTATAGGTTTTATCCTATCTCTGAACTTTTCAAAGTGCTTGCAGTTATCAGGGACGGCTGCGATACATACTGTATATACAGTAGCTGTATCGTGGTGGCAAAATAGCCAACTAATTTCTATTTGACCAGAAACAGTTGTTTAATTGAGACTATAGAACAGTACATCTACACACCAGACGTGGCCGCTGGCTGGAAAACGCACGATATAAGTTTGACTTAAAAAAGAAACGAATGCTATAAAGTCTGTGGCATAAAAACAAGTTTTCAGTTACCTCTGAAGTCTTGCTTCCCTGAGTTTGCCATTGTTTTGGAGAGCTTGGATCTTGTGTGCCTCTCTAGCGCCTGGCTGGTACTCGTACGGGCGGAAATTACGCCTCTATGTACTGTAGTGGGCTTGGGGAGGGGGCGGCAAACAGGTGCAGATAAGTGGTTATGAGAGATGCCAGTCAACAACGTTACAACTTCCGCAAACCTGACGGTTTTAGTTGAGGAAAACCTACAGCGCTTCATAGAATTAAAAAGCCTAAGTTAAGGGGTCATTCTTGCAGTATTTCAGTGTCCAGTTGCGTACCTTTGGGGAGCTAAGATTTAGTTTTTCACAGCTACTTTTTTTTTTAAATCGTGTTTCAGTTTACCTTTGTCCGTTACAGTAAACTCCGCCCTCTGGCAAACGCGTTTTACACCTTTTTTTGTTACAGTAGTATTTTGGCAAATCAGTGGTAATTGCTTCAGTGAGGCATTTCTTCTCTCTACGCCTTTCAAGAAAGCGTAAACCAATCACCAAAAACAAATCTCAGTGGAACCAATCTGAAGCTGCGGCAGCAACCTGGCTCAACCCAATTATGCCAAAATACCTGGGGTGTGCTTTGTACAGTGTGTTTTTAATTACGTAAAGATAGTTCATATTTGGGTGTAAGAAACATTATTAACATTAAGGAAAATTTTACATGAAAACCATTTTGAAGATCACTATCGCTGTTCGAAATCTTAACTTTTCAATCTCATCTGAAAAAAAAAACACACACACAAGGTTATACAGTACCTTAACAATATCTTAACAATAATTGTATACATATTATTCCCATTCTGTTTGGGTTAAAGGGCTTGAGTTCTTACTGTTACACAGAATGTTCTGACGTGTAATTTGGTTAATGTTCGTACATATACACTGCGCTGTTTAATTTAATTAAGGAATATAGTTTATATCTTCCCCTCATTTTCATAAAATTAGTTTTGAGTGTACTATTTTCAAATCACTTCGGACTGTCATTTTTTGGTTAGAAGTGCAACATTCCGATTTACACCTTTGTAATCGGTTACTATGTTGCTAAATTATTTGTTGCTCTTCATGTGTAGTATAGTTTCAGTTTTTCTTCGGTATAAATATACTCAACTATTTGCATGGAATTTCTTAGCATATACTGTACAAAATATACACATATACATTTCTAAAAATATAATGGATCTGCATTTAAATTACAAGATAATCAGGAGGGTTGGACAGTATGCAGTGGTTAAGATAAGATCACTTTATTAGCCATATACAATTTCTTGCATTAGGATTTCGTCTTTTCGCATACCCCAGCTTGCTCTCCATGAGACACAGACACACAGACAAGGAGAAAAGCTTGGGGTCAGAGCGCAGGGTCAGCCATTGTACGGCGCCCCTGGAGCGGTTGGGGTTAAGGGCCTTGTTCAGGGGCCCAATGGAGTAGGATTCCTCTGCCAGCCACGGGATTTGAACCGGAAACGTTAGGGGCCCTTGGTTCCTATCTGGAGTACTATCTGTGTGGAGTTTGTATGTTCTCCTAAGATTTGCATGGAGTTTCTCTGGGTGATTTAAGTTTCTTCCCACAGTCCAAAATCATACTGCCAGATTAACTGGTTTCTGGGTCAATCTGGACCTGGTGTGAGTCTGTATTTGTTTCTATCTGTGCCACAATGGACTGGTGTCCAGTCCAGGGTATATATCTCAGGTTTGCCTATTTGCCAGGGACAGTATCATTTGCTGGGGACAGGCTCCGACCCCTGGGAACCCCTAAATGGAAGAAGCAGTTAGAAAATGAATTGATGGATATGAGGAAGAACTGTTAGTAATTACATTATTTATAATATTCATTATATGCTTCTCCTAAGACTGTAACCTGGTATTTCATGAATAATACAGTGTTCTAAAACACTGCTATAGAAACAAAAGTAGTCAACGTACTTAAAAATTATCATTAAAAAAACAAAATTACATCTGGTTTGGAAAACTTTTATTTTGAACTTCATTGTGATCACAAACATATCGACACAAAATGTGATAGGATAGGACTTCTTAATCAAGAAATCTTATCAAGTGTATTAAGGTGCACAAACCTATTTTCCCAATGTTTGGGCATAGATATCCTTGAGATTTATGATGGGTCTTAGCTTTAAAAAAGGTATAAAAAGGCAAACCCAGAAAAAATTATCCTTCATTATTTATCTTATTCTTTATGAGAAACTAGATTTTTTTAAATATATAAAACATTCTGACACATTGTATCAAAAAAATTTACATTTTGTTATCAAGTAGCTGCAAAAGTTTGACATTTTTAAAGATACTGTGGCATTTAATAATCCAAACATCTTGTGCAAATCAGTATATTAGCATACTATTTTAGATGTTAACTTTGAGCAAAAACCTGTTTTTATAATCACATTCCATTCAACTTATCATGATTATCCAACTCTGTTTCCAAATTAAAAGAGCTAAAAAGCTCTGCAAAATGTGCTTTTTACTTAACATCATAGCCACAGTGTTTTGCCTCAACAATCAAAGAAGTTTACAGGTGAGGCTGATCACTAGACCCACAGTGCATTTTATTTCACTTCTGGTCAGTTTTACAATTTAGCTGATATAGTGTTATGTCTTAGAATTACTGCTGTTACTGTATATTTGGTCCCTCTGGTGCTGGTGCTAGTGAACAGTTCACTTTCCCCTTTGGATACTGTTCATATTCCTACTGCTATCATGAACATTCACATGAACGTTCACAATATACATGTTTATGACTTTGTAAGGTAATAAGGCACTATCCTTAAATTAAGTTAAATTCTACCCAGACACGTATCTTATAATCTATGGAGTTTCTTGATCGATTCAGCAATTAATGTCTCTTGAAACCAGCCAAAAATACCTCTTTCGTTTCTAAAAAATAAAACCAATTAATATACCAAAACCTTAACACCAATGTGAAATTTTAAAATAAAATAAACACACTGTGTGCAGAAAATTAAAAGTTATTCAAGGAAACGTTTTCTCAACACAAATTATTCCTTACAACGCAGCAGTTCATTGGGCTGCACCTGGACTAACGTAACGATAAATACATTTGGCTGTCCTCCTTAGAAACACAGAAAGTGTTCCTGCTCCTACAGTATGCCACCAGTCCACAAGACCTGGCTTCTCTCACAGCTCCACCTTCTCTTCATAGCGACACATACAGGAGGCTCGCTGGCTGTCCAGGTAGGGTTTACACCCCAAGTGCATGACAGCATCAAACAGCAGACTCACGGTTGACTCGCAGGCTGAAAGACATGCAGTACAGGAGCAGTTGAATATTAAATTTCCTGGCACATTTCTGAATACCCAACAATGTTCATTCTGTACAAGAAATATTAACTACCAATGTTTGTGTTTAAATAATCTTACTCATTATTACACAAAGATTTATACACGACTACCTGATAGTTAAAAGTAACTACATAGTACTGTTATCGTTGGGATTTATAAAACTGAAAAAACAAAACGATGGGCTTCATTTGAGGTGTTTGCCTCACTGTAGATGGGCCGAGAAACAAGTAAACACAAATAACCCAAAAGATTTTTCTGGTTTATTCTAACTTCTTGATCAATCATTATACATTTAAAATGCAAAGAAATAGGATAAAAGAAAGGAAAAGAAGGAAAAAAACAGAGGAACACAAAGAACGAAGGAACACCATCACCCTCCTCTTCCTTGAAGCATGTGCCAGGCAAGAGGCCCTTGATCTGATCTTGTTCAGAATCTTGAAGATCAGATTCTGGTTATGTAATCTGGACCTTGTCATAGAAAACTTGCTGTCCTCCCAATTAAAGGACATTATTTTTCCTACAATGTACAATCCTCGGGCTAAAGACGTTCTCTCCTAATTTTGTGATTCACCTTTAAATTAGAGAGAGGGATTCTCATTCACTTTTGGGCCTCTATTGTACCTCCTGCTCAGGTTTATTGCCATTGTATTTGTTCTCCCTTTTATTAGAACAGTATGTAACAAGCAAGGAAAGAGGACCCAAGATTAATTTTTGCAAACTTTAACTGTCCTTATTGATTTCGGATAACATTTTTGCCCCATTTCCAGTCCAAAGCTGGAGTTTCTACATGAACATTTAAGTATGGATACAGAGACTGCAATAGGCATAATGCATTATAATGCCTCAGACAGATTTGTTTTTAACCATACTTGAGAAATATTTTGTGACTTAGGAGTTTACACTAAGAGCCCTCTGGCAGTGTGGAGATGATTAGATATTATTACCATACAATAACACTATGATCTGAACAGTAGTTAAGGTACTCTACAGTATGTTTAATTTATTATATCGCACATTAAGTCCCCATTCATGTATAGCAGTTCATTAAGTGCTCATCTATGCAAGACATTAAAAACTGCACATTTAAAATTGCACATAAAATATATAAGTTTAATTAAGCAGCAAGGGATTGTGGCCTCATAAAACTGAAACCCAAATCACCACACTGGATACTACTTTGATATTTTTGCTCAATGGTGAGGAATGCCACCTAGTGTTCACCAAGACCATATACAGTAGCAATTACTGATTCTTTCTCACATTCTCATGAACTCCGGTTACTGACTATTTGATTTGTGTTATAAAGTCCTCGTCATTTAGCATCACGAATCCCTGATGTCTGACTTTTTTCTTTTAAGGAAACTGTATGATTTGTGTTTGCTCCATGCACAATGAGACCAAACACGCTCTCTGTAGACCATATGTGAAATAGAACAGGAACCTCACCTTGAACACTCTGGGATAACCCTAATGTTTTCTGGACATTCCTGCAGATCTTTGCCAGGCAGAACTGGAACTGTTCATCGCAGTCGTGTTTGTCACTTCGACAGGTGTCATAGCACCGGTCATGCTGATTACAACACTTAGTCATGGAAGGGATGCCGATGTCAAACTGTGAACGGACAAAAGAGGTCTTACTAAATAGCCAATCCAGGCACTTAAATAAGATTCTCCTAGTACAGGCATTTCATTCAGCTACTACACTATGAGCAGCAATTACTTAAACTATTCAACATCCTCAACAGAGTAAAATTCACTTGCTGTAGGTTCAAAAAACAGTTTGCATTCCTGAAATGTAAGTGGATCCAACTGGATTTCTGACCAACTCATAGACACAATATTAGAAAAAAAAATGATAGAACAGTCCTTGTTTTGGGCTTTATTTGAAAGGCCATTTATGAAAGGAAAGCACTTCAGAATGATGGAATCACAGACTAGATTTTCAATGGGAAATCAAACCCATGGGACTCTTCTGAAGAGGGACAGAGGTGCAGAAGACTAAATGTGGGATTGAAAGTGCTCTGAGGATTAATTTATTAATTATTAAGCATTATTACGATTTATTAAGCAGTATTCAGGCTATTCTAGAAAATAATTTGATTAATGATAAAAACCACAAAGAGATTCTGGCCAGTCTGAGAATTCAAACAAAAAATGTTTGAGGTTTCCAACTTCCAACCACTGACATGTATACAGCTGGCATTGTTTGTTGTAAGGGTAAAATGATCAAATGGATAATAATATTCTTATTAATAGTGCATCTTTTATGACATCCAAGAATACGAGAACATTAAATAAACTGAGAGGATTTCTGCACAGACATTCATCACCACCAAGAAATACACATGGCTGAAACTGTTTTGGTTTTGGATATTTTTTCTAATATGTTGCCTGATTAAGACACGTAAAATATCTGAAGGTTCAGATTGGATGTCCGAGGGATTCCTTTAAATTCTAGACCCTACCCAGGCCTGGACTGTGTATACTTTCCAAGATAATTAAAGATTATTAAAGGGTACATCCATTCCAGGACAACACTGACCTTGGGTTCCATTTGGAGGAGGGTCTAATAAGGTTCCTAGCAGGGTTTCATAGAAGCTTTTATACAAATAATAATAATTTACCTGAACACCAAACAGAGGAGATCCACATCCATTAGGAGGGGGAGGTTTGTATCCAGGCCGAGGGACAGGCTTATAACCTGTAGACAAAAACAATATATTAAGCAACTTTGTCACAGAAGATTGAGGACCATTATTGATCGTTAGAGAGTGACATAGTATAGTATTATTGTATAATTTGCTGGACTCATAAGAAACAGGTTGTGGGTTGCAGTTCAGTGTGGTACTTTGTCCACATTGCGCCAGTCAACCCAGCTACATAAAAAGGAAAAAGCATTGCTAGGGAGACACAGAGAAGGCAGTCATGGGCTTAAACACTGCAGACACCAGGATGAGCCCTTCTCATTGATGCTGTGGCTCTGTATTGTGGATTTTACCCACCTATCTATTTTACCTCTGGATTTTTCTTCCTTTTGTAAGGGGTTTTAAATAATTGTAAGACTATTCATGTATTTTTATATTTTAAATACTATAATAAAAAATACATATATTCAACAAAAAGGGTTTAACAAATAATGTATGTGTATGGATTACTGCCTTAGCCCTACTGGCCAAACAATATCTTCCTCTCTATTACCTCCTAGACCAGGGTTCCTAACTAGTCTTGGAGACCCACGCACCTGGTGGTTCATGATCCAGCTTAGCTATTTACTTAATGGAACTATCAAGTTTTCCATTGAAAGCTGGAGATTTTATGTTCCTTAAAACGCTATAGTACAAAGGCAAACTTCACAATATGTGTTAATAGCCGAGAACAATATCATGATCTCAATTAATTATTATTAGTTAAGGCTCAATCGCAATGTGACTGAGATCCTGTCTGGAAAAAAATAAACAACAGCAGGTGCGTCCCTGGCACTGCCTTAGGACAGAGTGGCATGTCCAACTATCTCCAAAATGACTTCAGCATGATAGCAGAGCTCAGTTTAAAATTTCAAAACTGGAATGTAGTTACAAATTCAAAACCTGGATTCAGACAAGCACATACTTACCAGGGTTAACTAGGATACGTTTTCCTTTTGTTAATTAAGAAGAATAAGCTGTCGTCTTACCGTCGCTACATTTATAATGGCACAGTCCGTCCTCCCCTCCGAACAAGTCTAGTGCTGCGTTCAGATAGGTGTCTATTTTGTGGATCCCGTTGCGAATGGTTTTCAATGTCATTCTCCAGTCCGGCGTTTCGGGGTCAGGAATCTTCTGCTTGCATGTGCACACACAGCTCAAAACCCCAAAGGAAAACAACACTACAAAAACGTACATAAAAAAGTAGTGCATATTCCACCTGCAACAACCGTCGATCAATCCTCCAAAAGCCCCTGAATCCCGCGTGTAAACGGTAGATTTTTAATAGTATTCAAAAACATGAGTAATGTGCACCCTGTTTTTTTTATTTTAACACATTGCTCTTAGACGACACACGCGTACTGTACACACACACTTCTACCCTTCAGATTACTTCATTCGTCGGAGGCTTGAAGTGAAGAGAGATCAGTGTTTACAGTCTTTCCTTTCCTGTTCCGGGGTTGCAGTCTCACATGACAGAAAAGTAACCTGTCATCGTGTCAGGATACATTGAATTAGGGTTAGACACATACGTGTTCTCTTCTGAAGCATGTCCAAAGTCCAAAGTGTATATCTGAGGAAGCCTGTGCGTTTCCTGTTCTAACATCACTGGATTCTGGCCTATCTTGATATTATTCACATGGAGCTCTGGATTGCAATGGTCCATGAAAGTACGTGGGAGGACAGAGTTAAGGCCTGGAGTACTGAGGCTAACACAGTTATAGCTTATTTTGTGGGTTACAATGGCAACTGTTTGTCTATAAGGTGTCTCTGTTGGTGGAGGCAACCTTGATTTTTCCATACTCTTCTAACACTTTTAACCTTCCAATAAACTCCTAAATTTATCCTTAAATGCTTAAATGATCCACACGTTGAAGATCACTTTGATCATTAAGAATTATATGCAACAAAGACTTGCAGTGAAATACAGTAGAAAGGAAACACCAAGCTTGCCCGTCCCTGCAATTCAGACAGAAATTTAGAACTGAGGAGGCTGTTTGTGGCTTGCAGGAAGTGTTATTTTCTTGATGTATTTAAAAAACAACAACAATACAGCCTGTTTGTTTGTACATATGTAAACCCCTAAATTTTATTTAATTCTAGTACAGATTGCTTTTAATTCATAATTTGCTTTTGAAAGATGTGTGTTCTGTAAAGACAGCAAGAAACAAATGTGAACAATTTCCTGGAAATTTCAATTAACACTCTCTTTTTCAGAAAATCAGGGTTGATTAATCTTGATTATGTTAATTAATTAACATAAGCTATTTTCCACAGACACTACAGCAGATATATAGTAAGATAAGTGCATTGGTCTGACTCCCATAGAAATCAGTGGTTTAGTCCATCATGAGAGAAAAAAAAATGTTCAGATTCTAACTGATATTCAACAGTTCTTGAAATCTCATCCTACCTTGTGTATCAAGGTGGCAACCGGTCTGTCAAAAGTGACAAACTTTAGCTCAAAAAGCAAACATGTTGTCACCATCTCTTTCATTTCTCTATTCCATATTTCTTTTGATGATCCTCCAGTACAAAAAAGTCAATATTAAGCCAGTAACTGATAGCAATTACATTGTTCTGAGAATTTAGTAGCTGGTGATTTCTTAACTGCCTTTAAAACCTGATAGATTAAAGCTCTCTAAGAAAAGCATCAGAGCTGCCTGGTGCAGCGATTCTCCACATAAGCTCAAAGCGATGTGTTAAAATAAGCCCTGTGTTTTGGAACTTACTGTGCTTGTGAAAGTTATATTCTATCTTTATTAAATTTGGTCTCTGTTAATTGAAACATGAAATGTAATGTTTGAAAATGCAAACTCAGGGATGGGCTGCAAAGGGGGAGCCTTTTAACAGAGGCCCTGTATAGTCCCTACAGAGGTGATTCATTTTCAGTATATGATAATTTTATCGGTGTCTGCAGAGGTTTAAATATGAGCATTTGCACGAGGGATGCAGGCAGTTAACTGAATGCGCAGCAGCTGTGCATGTTTAAAAGTTTGTTTTTTAAAGAATCAGAGCCTGAAAGGAAATAACTTGTACAAGAAGCTTGTTTGAAAACCTTTTTTTTTTGGCCTTTAGATGCTGTTGGAGGGGAATCACAAAAGGTTTCAGTTTTACATTAAAAGAGACAAAAATGTTATGTGTGTCAGGTGGAGAAAACATGATTTGATTGCCTTGGATACAGACGAAGAAAAAGGATAGCTACCCGTAGTGAGCTTATGCTCTGAGGAGCTATTTAGCTACAATGGAAAGGAGCTGAGATTTCCCTAATGGATACAGTGATTTTGGTAAGATTTAAGACTGAGGTTAGGTACTGTAGGTTCATGGTCTGTGAAAAGGAGAAAATCTATGTTGGAACATCAGGGACATATTGACCACCAGCCTCCTTACCTGTCTACCTTGGTAAAAATGCTCTGTAATTTGTGGCCAGCGTTTTTTGTTCCAGCTGAGCACTGCATCACTGGTACTAACTGATGACTTTAATTAATCTGTATGCTTATCACACAACAAGTTAATAGTTAATGATCCCAGCTTTTAATTTGTCCTGGGTTTCTAAAATACCCGAAATCATAGGTGCAGTTGCCAGCAAATTCAGCACAGAAAACCTTAAACAGCCTCTCCTGCGATTATATTTATTTGTGACCGAACACCTCTTAGCAGGTGAAAAATTTATGACGACTGTTAAAGGAGACACTGTTAATCATTTGGACAATTACTGGAATATTCCTAACTGTCTCTTCTTTAGGGAGTCATTATGGCCTGTTCACTAAGCAAAACACTTCAATGGCTCCTTGCTGCTCCTTTGCATTCTTACAGCATACTGTAGCTTCTAATGTTCCTCATGGGGGAGTGAAGAGCTATAAATGGTCAGACAATTATTCACACTAGTGTCTTCTTTCACATAATAAAGTTATATGTGGACTATGAATGAAAAAATAACTAGTTATTGACTCACGCTGAGAGTACTTTACATATAAATGCAGCATATTTGTAGACTCACTGGTCAAACTGTACTGCTCATCATTTCCTAAAGCTATTAATGCAGTTGTGACACTGTGGCTAAGGATCGCTGCCTGTGGCTGGAAGGTTGCCGGTTCAAATCCCACAGCTGGCAGAGGAATCATACTCAGTTGAGCCTCTGAGCAAGGCCCTTAACCCCAAGTGCACCAGGGGCACTGTATGAATGGCTGACCCTGTGCTGTGACCCCAAGCTTATCTCTCCCCATCTGTGTACCTGTGTGTTTTCATGGAGAGCAAGTTGGGGTACGTGAAAAGTAAACTTTCTAATGCAAGGAACTGTATATGACTAATAAGGTGATCTAATTATCTGTGTGTGCATATTTATAGTTACTGTCCATATTATGAAACTAATGGAAAAATTATCTTCAAAACATGAAAAATGCCCACTGGCTGGCATGGTGGTGCATTGGTTAGCATTGTTGCCTCAAAGCACAGGAGTCCTGTATTCAATTCCAGATCTGGGATGCTATCTGTGAGGGGTTTGTATGTTTTGCCTGTGTTCATGTGTTCCTCTGGGTGCTCTGATTTCCTCCCATGGTCTAAAGATCTACTGTACTGGTAGGTTAATTGGTTTCTGAAAAAATTGGCCCTAGTTTAGGTGTGTGCTTGTCTGTATTTGTGTTAAGATGGTCCACAGCTCAGAAAACAAGGAATGGACCACATGCAGGTTTCAGGGTCACAAAAATCCTAAAGCAGGAGGCGTGGTGAGGTAGGGACACTGGGCAAGCAGGGATTGGCTACTGCTGTCTGCTTGATCTGCGCCTCTGCTGCACAGGTGAAGTAGGCACTAGAGGTGGGGGTGCCCCCTGGTGGTGGGAAGCTGGAACTGTAACAATTTGTACTGTAGCTATGATGGACTGGCATCCAATCCAGTGTGTATCCTGCTTTGTACCCATCGTTTGATGGGATCCAGCTCCACTGCAATCCTGGATTGGAAGAAGAGTTTAGAAAATGGACAGATGGAGAATGTCCAAAAGGGCAGGTGTGATATGAGCTTTAATAGTTTATACACTACAGAATTCTATCAGAAGTGCGATGTTAATATCAGCTCGAATGAGCTCCTCTAAAAGAACTAAGGCAGAATACAATTGCAACATACTCTACAAGAGGAAACATAACTTGTAGAGGAAGCATGTAAGTCATTCATCCTCATCCCATCTTCACTCTGTGCAAAGAAAAGTGTAACAGCAGCTGAAAGTATAAGATTAAAATTGCTGTTTTTTACCGTAGTATACATAAAAGCCTAAGTTGTTTTATCGAACTTTTGTTGTAGCTTTTGTTGTAGCGAACCATTTTTTAGTTGTAGCTGTCTATAAATTGAACTTGCTGATAGTTGGTCTTCCCACGTGGAAACTGATCCAGTCAAAGTAGTGGGCCACTTTGGTATAGACTCCTGGGTGACCCACAACCCCACACTTCTCTCCCCAGCTGACAACCCCCCACACATAGGACACCCCACTCTTGTCTTTGCAGACCAGAGGACCTCCAGAATCACCCTGGCATGTGTCCACACTCCCATCAAGGGTGCCTGCAAAAATGAACATATTAGCAATAAGCACAAATCACCATTGACAATTCCCTTTCTGTTCAAATACTTCATCTTTAACTCACTTAAAGTCCAGCATGTTAGAGCATCAAAAATCAACTGTTACTGTACCTCAGCAGGCTTTGGGCAACTATTACACTTGGACTGATGCTGCTCAGCCTTTGTACAGCAACATGAAGCTGATATACCGTAGCCTCATGCACAAGGAGCTTTGCCAAGTAATTCAGAAGCAGTGCATGGGGAAAAAATAAACATCAGAAATATATAATATGTTCATATTAGTGTCAGGAGCAAACCAATTGTTTAAGTTGCTCCGTATTTTGTTCTGGGCAGCTGCAGGGAAAGAATGAGGACTAGCTGATATACGCACACTTGCTCACACCCATGTCAATCCAAACAGCAGAATTTAAGAAGGATTTTGCTTCTTGAAAATATTTGTGGTGATTGATATTTACCAGCCTGATATGAATCCAGAGTAAATAAAGTTAGTGTCAGAGTTTACAAGACATAAGAGTCTCACTGTACAATTAGTCCTGTTAAATTAACTTGTTCTTTAATTTCTAATTAAATACGAGTTTTATTTTAGTGTTATTTAATTGGAGGGGAGTTGTGCCAGACTTTTCTGTGCCTGAAGTTATTTATATTGGTGTAATGTAAACTGGGAGAAGTTATTATCAATGAATATTTACTGATATATATATATGATATAGATAATATATATCATTGATATATATATAGTTACAGTTATATATATCATTGTTATGATTTATATAGTTATCATATTATGAATAAATATTTATATGTCCTCTTTAAATATTAGGTATTGAAAAATACAGTTTGGAAACAACATTCTAGACTCTTCCCTCAATTTCAAAGACTACTGCAAAATGTATCTGAAATATTCTAATTCTTGCAAATCAAACAGTAAATGACTGAATTCTAATTATAACAATGTGGGTTTTATCCAACTATAAATTCTAAAATATGATTAAAGGTTAAATTACATTCAGTCTAGAAACCGTTGGTTTGAATATGGGCTATGCTATTAGCTGAGTTAAAGTTATAATAGGTCATGGACAGGATAAAAAGAATGTTTATGTTGAGGTCTAATACAATATTAATATGAAGGTACTGTATGTTTTTTTTGCCTATCCAGCTAATTTTAACAAGTTTTCAGACAAAGCAGTTTCAATAAATAAAGTGCAGAGTAGCAGCCAAGTTTATTTTTTTGCCAAGTTGTCTGAAATAATCATTTTTACTGATTATATGTGTGCAGGTGGGTTGGCGGGACCAGATTCTTGTTATAACAAAGTAATTATGTCTGTTTTATTTTTCACTTATGTTATTATTTTAATATTTGGTGATCTCCAAATACAACGTACGATGTATGAAATGGGCAGCACACAAAAAGGAAAATATTTTTTATACGTTTTGTCTGAAGAATATTTCAGTTCCTTTAAATTTAAATACTTGCAGCCTTGAGACTTGTAGGGAATAAACACAGAAAAGAAAAGATACTGTTATTAAGACAGGAAGTTTGAGTATTATTTCACATATGGACCATTATTCTCTCACCTGCACATTCCATTCCTTTAAAGTACCTGGGGCCATAAATTCCAGAGCAGTTATCGATTATCTCAATGTTAGCCCATTTGAGTGTGTAGACCTTCTTGTTTCCTGAAAACAAATGAATGAAAACATTAACCAGGACAGACCTGCTTGCTTTTCAAGACTTCATCTGTATGGGGGGAGGGTCTAGTATAAATAATGGGTAGCTGTTGCCAGCTTCCAGGGGGTGATTCAATTAAAATTGACTCTGGTTCTTAGTAGTAAAGCAGTAGCACTTTCTAACAAAAGTACACAATTATAAATACTGTAGGGATACAAATAACAGAAGGTAATGGAGACCATATTGATTGTCTGCTTGTCGGTAACCTCTCAGGATTTCGTTTTTCTCAAAGGATTCCAGAGAAGGAGCTACAGTAAAATGGTGATGTAGGAGAGAGTTCCAGAAACTCAAAACTCTCGAGTAAAATAGTACCAGCTATTCTCAGTCAACTCCTTATTACTGCATTAATCCAAATACATGATTGATAAATGCTAATTTAGAAATAAGCAAATTAGATACTTGGTCATAACTCTAGACCTGGCATTTTTCAGGAACCTAGACAATATTTACAAAAGGGGTTTCCTGTGGTGGTCCTGGGGACCCCCACACCAGATGGTTTTTGTCCCACCTGAACAGTTAATTAAATAACTAAACATTTTTCCATCCATTAACTTTCTTACTGCTTAAACTAATACAGGCCGGAGCCTATCCCTGCAAGCAATGGAGCAATTAAAGACCTCAGCTTCGATGAAACCCAGCAGGGGTGTATGACCCATGAGCAGGATGGTAAAAGCTTTATTTACAAGATGTCTGAAGTGGTTTCCCAAGACAACATAGCACAATACCATGGCTTCGGCCCCATCCAGAAATAATGCAGTTGTCTCCAGGTTTAAACTGGTACTCAGACCAGGGCACACAGGCTGATGCAGTAGATGGCGTACGCTCAATGCATTCTGGGAGGTTGTAGATGTTCTTGACTTGAATCAAGGCAATGTCATTCTGGTATGTGGAAGGATTATAATCGGGATGGATTATGACATTCTCCACAGGAAGAGAATCCGTGTAAGTGTCAACTTTCAGCGTGCTCCACACGCCCACCTTGATGCGATACAGCTGTGGTTTAGGCCTAAAAAAAGATGAGAAGAGGAAAAGACTTTCCAACTATTTGAAAGTATAGTTCAGAAAATTGTACTATAAGGATAATATAGTGTGGTAAAGCAAAATTGAATCACAGTAGGGCTTATCATATTGCAGTAGAGAGAGCCTTTATTATTCCCAAGGGGTAATTTGTTTTAAAACAGCAGGCAATATAAAAAACCCACAAACAATGCACAAGTACATACACAAAAGAATAATTTGTTAAGCAGGTTTACAACTATAGGTATAAATGGGAACTTACTGTAAACCTTTGTTTTTAGGTTGACAAACCTGTATCTACATTCTGAGGGGAGTAATCTGAATTCATTATACAAAGGGTGAAAGGATCCTCTAGAACAGAATATGTTTTATGCAAAAATCATAACTGATAGACGTGTTCTTATTCCTCAGATTCAGATGTCCCCAAACCAGCAACTCAGGGCAAAGTTAATGTAGGTTCAATAAAAGACTAATAAAACATGACCAACTACAAATTATCAACCTTAAAATTTTCACGCTTCCTTAAGAAAAAGAGACCCCATTGCCCTTTTTCAAAAATAGAATCAATGTTTGCTTAAAAATTAACTTGCACTCCAGTGGTGGTCTGAGGATCTTCCTAAAATCAATTGCTATGTGGCAAACTCATATATAATTGGCCTTTGATCCCACTCATCTGCTTGGAACAAACTAACAATAATAGAGTTGGCTGCAAATTTAATGATGTGTCTTGAATGGTGATACCTCTTACAATCAGAACAAGGAGTAAGGGAGAAAATTTGTTAGACAAAGCATTGTTGACTCTTACCCCCTGAGTTCTATCTGTAAGGAAATCAATAACCCGTCTGACAGGATTGAGATCAAGGCCAAAATTAGACAATAGCTAAAGCAATAAAAACTGAAGAAGCGAGAAATTACCATAGACATTGATTAGGGCAAGTTTTAATAGTAACCATTGAAATAAATGAAATGGTATTGTAACAAATCTGTATTGTTCCTAAATTCTCAATTAATTAGTTTTGCCATTTTTTTTATTCAGAAGTTAGTCTAAAACAAGGATCACACCTGAAGAAGGCTCCACGGCCGAAACGTTGTGTTCTCTTTCTTCTTTTTTTCAGCATGGAATAAACCTATTACTCGTTCCTAAAACAAGGATGTCAAACTCAATTCTTGGAGCGCATGGTGTCTTGTGGTTTTTGTTCCAACTATGCTATCAGTTATATATAGTCATATTTCTAACTTGCTCCAAAGTGTTTTGTAAGTAATTGTACTTTTAATGCAGTGACTGTTTTCAGTCGTCAAATGATAAAAACCTTAAAACATCCCATATACAGTATGTCTACAAAAATAATTAGGTTAATCGGTTAATTGACAACTGAGGTTGAAACAAACACCAGAGGACCCTCCTGGAATTGAGTTTGTCACGCCTAGCTTAAAATAAAATGTATTTATTTTAAAAAGATAGCTTACAAATTGCACCATTTTATTTACCTTACACAGTGAGCTGCAGTAAGCACCCAGCACCCTCCAATATAAATCCCTCCACAGTTAATCTCTCCTTCGTCGTCAATTGCTACCTGCCAAGGGATCTGACCCTGAATAACAACAGGACAAGGAGATAACCCTTCAATAGCTGCATGGCCAATATCATTTTAACAAAAATCACAGTCTTACAATTTTATGAGCATGAATTCTGTTCCACTGTAAATTAATGTGAAAAGTACTGCCTCTCTTTTCTCTACTCAATAAAACCAGAGGTATTTATTGGAATTTGGATCCAAGGGGGACATCGTGGATATAGCTATTGCTTAGGAGGATTTTGCTGGTCTACAACATTTTACACTGAAATAGTTACTGCTAATACAAAATGTCAGCATCACAGACTTTTTGCCTTTCGTTTATAAATGCAACTCAGTTGAATTGGGCCCATAACCAATAAATAGGATACTAAGGTTCTAAGCACAATAAGGCTGTTTTAGAAATCATCTTCTCATAATTCCTATGAGTAATTCTTGTAAATCTTTTGTTACCATCAGAAACTCACAATCCCACCTTCTCTGCCGTATGGCCTCCAAGAAGTCGTTTCTGTCTGACTCCTGTACTATTAGGCTTAGTGTAATTAGATATCCCACACTCCAGAGTAGAAACAGCTTTCCTGGCAGCTTCTACTTCTGAAATGTAACAAATGACCTGAGATGAAGCCATGTCACATTTTGTAAATTGAAAATCCAAATACAATTATTAGAAATAAGAAAATTAATAAAAATATTACCTTCCTTAGTGGTTGCGATAATTTCTGTTAAAGTAATGAAAAACATTTCATAATTATTGTCAAAAGTACTGTAATAACATGTTGTTTGTGTTGTGATGTGTTATTTAATTAAGGCCTTGTAAATTTCATTTAACTGGTTGAAGCAGTTTCTTTTTGTCCATGGCAGCAAATGGAATTATCTTAATAGATTCCATGGGTGTCTCTGAAGCTAAATATTTTCATTTTATACTACATTTACTCAAGGATTTCATGATTCTATAATACCCAGTGCACTCCTTCTGAAATGTAACAGATTACCTGGGATTAAGCCATACTGCACCACATTTGGTAAATTGAAAATTCAAATCAAATTATTAGAAATAAGGAGTTAATAGAAATATTACCTTCCTCAGTGGTTGGGATACTTTCTGTTAAAGTAAAGAAAAACATTAGATTATTACAGTCAATAACATGTTGTTAGTGTTGTGATGCGTTTCGGAATTAAGGCTAATGTATGTTTCATTTATCTGGCTGAAGCACATTCTCTTTCTCCATGGCAGCAAATGGAAATAATTTTAATAGGCACCATGGGTGTCTCTCATAATAAAATATTTTCATTTCATACTGCATTCCCTCAAGTTAATGTGGCTTTATAATTCTATGATGAGCAGCCCACCCCTTGTTAAAAAATAAACACATATTAATGTCAATGTCTCTCATATACAACTTCGTATCACAGACAGCTCTTTCTCAATCTCGCTCTTCACTCCACTTTTAACAAGAGATAATTCATCCTACCTGGCTTAGGGCTCCTGCCTGTTGAAGAGAAAAACAGAATCATAAAAATTACTCACAGTATTTCATTTACAAAATATCCATATAGGTTAAATAAAAAAAATGAAATTAACCAATTGAAAATCTTAAAGACATTTCTTAAAGAATCAAGGACATGACCAGAAATGGAAATTCCAAATAAATAATTGCAGTTGATTTGCATTGCTGATTGCGTTAAAAAAATCCACCCTCCTTCTGGACTGAAATGATATAGCCCTAATCTAATTACAGCCCAGATAGTAAATTTGTCACCATTCTGTTACACATATAGTTAATGGAGCTCAAACAACAAAAAAATACCACATACTGTAGGAATATATACAGTATATTGTGTATATATACAGTATATTAGGCTATAACAGCCTCATCATTGCATGTTGACATGTTTCATCATTAACACAGAACAGTTCTGAAGACACCGTAATATAATCCCAAACGTATGTTTCAGGACTGCTTTAAGACCTGCTAAAATCAGTTTGATTTAATGGTACCACTGAAAAAGTTTAAAAATATTGTCCAATCACTGAAACAGCTAGTTTCACAAAGCCCAGTTAACACTACTCGTGAACAGAATTAATTAATAATTAATCCAACTCTTCAGAATATTTCACCTATGCATTCAGATCATAATTGACAGTCATGTCACTCCATTGCTAACTGTTTCTTCCAACTCATTGTCACAGGGGAGCTGGAGCCTATCCTGGCAAGCAACATGTGCAAGACGGTACACCCTGGACGGGACACCAGTCCATTGCAGGGCACACCCAGTCGTGCACACCCTCACACCGGGGCCAGTTTTCCAAGAAACCAATTAACCAACCAGAATGTTTTCTGACTGTGGAAGGCAACTGGATTATCTGGAGAACATGGAGAGAACATACTCCCATACATGAACCCACCACCCCAGCAATGATAACCACTGCGGCATCGAGCTGCCCATTATTTGAATTCATTGCACTTATTTAAGTGTGCTCTATTGATTTATCAAACAAACCTCTATAAACGATATTAATGGTAACTACATACTGTATAATCATACTTTCTATTGCTATAATTTGTATCCATTGAGAGGAAGTCAGGCAGAGGTGTACACATTACATTAAATTGTACTTAACAAATGTAGTTGAGACTGTATTCCACCATTTCAAGGACAGTTTTGATTCTACAATCCAGTAGAATTCATTAAAGGCCCCCTGCACTTCATTCCTTTTCTCCAAGTGCCTGCCAAATGAATTACTATTGTGGCTGTTTGCTTTTATGCATTCATGTGTGGTTCACATAATTTGGCAGCAGGTACCCTGCCACTTGCTTTACTGTCTTGATTGCTGTTCTTTCTCAGGGCGTCAGCTCTCAGACATGATTCAGGACCACAGAGTGATGCAATTGCATTCTGTCTCTTAAAGGACTTGTTGACTGGCACTAATTAGACAGCAGTTTTCTCAAACCTTCTCAACAGTGGTTGGAAGGGTGATTTCACCTGCAAAACTAAATGTGTCTGTGCAGGGTTATCCATAGTTTAGAATCACATCTTTTGGAGAAGCTACACCCTGCAGTGCAAACGTGTATGATTCTTAAACATGGTATAAGTGTGTTAATTTGTTTTCTCAGAATAGGCACTTCATGTAATCATCAATTCATTCTGGAATTATACAACCTAGGTTGATTAAGCAAAAACCTATTCTCACACATTCAAATTTTGACATGGGTAGAGATCATTGTTCTATGACTGACATTTTCTATGACTGGAGTGCAAATAATACCATGCTATTAGACCAGCATCCACCCAACTGTGGTCAACTTTGCAACAGCACTGCAGGAAAAAAGCACAATCATTCTTGCTTTCATTCATTCACATATTTGTTATGACACAGGCAACATCCTTGGTAAGCAGCCAGAAAGAGATTGTGCTTTCTAATGTCATTTTACCAAAGTTCACATTGCTTTCTTCTGTATACTCATCGTCTCCTCCTATGCAGTCCATCACTCCATCCTTCTTGGCTTGATTTGGGATGCACACATCTGAACTACAATGGAATCCTCCTGGTCGGCATTCTGGTTAAAATATCAGAACGTACCAGGCATCACAATACGGGAATGTAGTATACAGAAACCTACCATGAAAACTTGAAATTCACATCACAAAAATAGGATTTGTCCAACTTCTACCTCTATGTCTAAGATACAAACATATGGTCTGCCTGAGCATCTCTACCAAACAAGTTTCATAAAAAAAGACTTTTGTTTTCTACAATGTGTTTTCTCAAACAATTACAATCGTCATAAAAGTATTTTTCAAGCCATACTGACATCAATTAGGAAGGTACACTTCATAATAACACACATAATTCGGTATCAGTGATGTGTGCTCAGCCATAACGCGTGAAAGAAATGTGTATTAAATTATTCATGAAGAGCCTTGAACTGTGTCAGATACAGGTGCAATAGCTTAAACGCACCCTGCCAGCTCTACCTTCTTTCTCATCTGCCTATAGGGCTAAGATTTTCCAGGGCACTCCATACAGTAATTCAAATGAATTGACATCATACAGAACATGATTGAACACTCTGCACACAGAACTCAGTTTACTCTATATGTACCTTTGTATGGGTTTCAAATAATAAATAATAGTATAGTACAGTGTCATGAGGTCTTGAATAGTCAATGTGTGATTCACAGTTGAGAATCCTATATAGTCTGTAAACACTGGAGTATCCCAGCCAACCGTGGTGGGAAGTGTTTCTGGAATACCAGATAATGGAGAGAAAAGGAGTTGCCTTACTTTTGCAGCAGACTTCATCACTCCTGTCTCCACAATCATTGGTCCCATCACAGGTTCTGTTGAGGTCAATGCACTTCCCATTGACACACCTGAATTCAAAATTTGTACAATCTACAGAAAGAGCAAAGAAGGCCATATCATTAATGTACTCCTGAATTATCTAGCCACGGCTTTCAGGGAACATTCCAGCAATAGCTGTGATAAAACTGCTTTTTATTTCTATGAATATGTGGCTTAATTCGAAGATTGTTTAAAGAATTTAAAGACTATTTAACCTAGAATTATAAATAATGCTGGATTTTACCTGACTGTCACATTATTTGCACAAATGTGAATATACACATAAATGATCTGAGCGGGGCCAGTGACTTCCTTATGTTTTAAAGTGAGAGATGGTGACTTCTTGAAAGACAGAATTGACACCTATGTTGAAATGGGAGACATGTCAAATGGTTTCAGAGCACTCAAGCTCTACTAAAAGGTACAAAATCCCCCATCCACTTTAGAAATAATACAAAACTGCAAAAAAAGACTGAGAAAAATGTAATCTTAGGAGGTTGTGCATTCATCTTGAGCAAAGGAGATGCTGTTTGAATAGATCATTGTACTTCAGAATACCTTCCAGCACTTTGAAGAATCATATTATTACAGCCCTATCCTTGTAAATTTACCTTTAAACTGGTATCACCCGTAATTCAAGCTTTAACCTTAGACTACCCCTAATGATGTCCTGAAATTAGCTCAACCCTACATTTACCACCCAAGACCATTTCCTAGACTAACCATAACCCTAACCCTGACATCTTACTCTCAGCCTAACCCTGAAATCCACTGTACACTAATCCAGGTGCAAAATCTAACCTGATCCCTAATCCTAGTATTTAAAATCTTTTTTGCAATTACAAGTTCCAACTCAAATCGAACCTTAAATATAATTCCTTAACTGAGACCCTAAACATGAATTTACTCCTAAATCCTTGTCTAAACCTTAAGAATGCGACTAATCATAAACATAGTTCAAAATAATTGTACCCCTACCATTAGTAGATTTGAGCATAACCAATGTACAGTAGCCATTGTTCATACCCTAAACCTTAATCAAACCTTAAAACTCAGCCTAACCCTAACCTTAGACTCAACAACCGACCCCACAATGATATTAGATCTCTGTATTATTATGTACAGATTCAATACAGTACAACTATTGGTTAGATAAATGGCTACTAAAATTTAGGTTAGAGTACAAGCTTTTAATGACAGTGTCAGATTTTGTGCCTTAGAAATCCTGTTTCAAAAAAACACAAAAAATACATACTCTTAATTCTATTATAACAGTTGACTGTAGCAATCGTGGGTTCTGTATCAGTATTGTCAGTCTTGTAAAAGGTGCACTCTGCAAGTGAGCTCTCTTCCCCAGTGCACCGTACATGTATACACCGTTTTGATAATCCAGACTGATGTTCAATTTCTTCATGTTTCACAACTGAGGCTGCTTCTGCACCTCTGGAGGACAGAAAAAGAGTAAGTCAAAGTACAGTATAGATATACTTCAGGCTCTGAGCCTAACTCTGAAAATAACCCAAATCACAACCTCACAGCTAATACAGATCTAACCCCCAAACAAATATTCCTTACCCAAATCCTAAGTGTAAAACTGAACTGATTATTAAAAAAATAACATTAAAACAGTAACGGAGGAAAGAAAGGAAGAATATTGCAGTTCCAAATCCTTAGGCACAGAGAAGCATGAACAAGACTTACTTTTCTTCCCTTTTCACATTTCTGCAGGCAACATTAGCTTCTGCTATTGTCCAGCGACTTCCACAAATAAGAAAGGTCTCGTTTCTCCTCTCCACTTTCAACACATTTTTAGGGCCCAAGCTACAGTCAAATAATTTACCTAAGAGGTAAAATACATTCAGTGAGATCCAATGTCATCATAGACCTTCTTGGAATGACATTGTGACAGATGTCACTAAATCATGTTTTAGCACATTTGTTGTATTTTTGAGGATATAATTATGGCCAAGACTATCTTGTAATAAATTTCCATTTATTGGCATGCCACAAAAGTGACAATGAAAAATCTTGAAAATGAGCAGAATTACTGACTACTAATTTTTAATTGACTCAGTAATTTAGAAATCATAGCAACAAGGGAAGTCTGTAATGGATTTATGTCTAACCATTGATAACAGTTGTATTTTCCCATATTTCTAACATAGAATGGGAATTCAAGAATGTATTTTATGAAAATTCATGTAATTTGAAACGGTTTATTATGTAAGATTATTTAATTAGATCAAGGACTCCTCATAACCACCTTCAATTTATTTTACTTAGTGAGCTCTGAACCCATCAATTAATCTTTTATGTTTGGACATAACCAATATTTCCTGCTCAGACTCCTGTAAGAAATGATCCTGTAACATGCATTTCTACAACCTTTGGCAGTTTTGTAACTACCAGGTATAAAACTAAACCTGGTAAATTCCATCAAGACTCATGTGACATAATGGAGACTGAATAAATCATCTATAGAACTGTTTTTTGGTGAATGGAAATTCAAACTCCTTACACAGAACAATTACTGGATATCGAATAGCTGATATTTGGCTCAGTGCTGCTACCTCACATGTCTTGGGGCTTGGGATCAGGTTCAGACCGAGGAACCTGTGTTCCTCTATGTGGCATTTAAATATCCTCCTTGTGTTTAAATGTTTTTTCACCAAGTTTCTTCAATTTCCTCCTAATATGACATACTGGGTTAATTGGTGTCTCCAAACTGTTCCTGTATGTGTGTATCCTGTACAAGGTATGGTCCTGTCTTGTACTCTATGCTTCCTGGAGGGGCTGTAGGTTTTTCCCTTACTAAGCAGCTTTCTGATAATGGATGAACAGATGGAGATTTAAGCCCACTTCTCAATGAGATCATTTTGAATGACAAAGCTGTTCTAGAAACACTGTGCTACTTGGAAACAGATTTGTACCTTTACATCATCATAATAAAAGTGTTTGAAATCTAAAGCTATTTTGAGTGGGGGCAAAGTGGCAACCGTGACTTTAGAAATGTAGTTTGTAACAGTTAAATGAACAACTTCAAAGCTCTGCGCAAAGAATATACTATAGTTCTGACAAAAACTTATGAAAACCTTATGAAATTTAACCATGATATAACAGAAATTGAAGAGCTTACTGGATGTGTTAATTTGATGTTAAGAGCGTGCTTCTGGAGTGGCTCAACGAGTAAAGGTACTGACTCAAAAGCACAGGTCAGGCTCTATGCCTCAGATGACTCTGGCTTGAACCTAGGCTGTGTCACAGGCAGACCAGGACTGAGGTTTCCCCAACCAGTACAATACAATTGGCAGAGAGTAGAGTGGGTCCAAGTTGACTTGGGTTTCCTTGATTCTCTGGCAAACAGCAGCTTCTGTAGCTTTGTTAGGTGTTTACAGACCAAAGTGACATCAGTGCAACAGATGCTGCTGCTTCCAATTAGCACCCCTCCTGTCAGGCACTGGGGAACATACAGTACAGACATTAAAAGATGGATGGCTCTGACAGGCCTCTGACGATTCCAAATTGGATAAATTACAACTAAATAAAGAATTGCACATTTTTATTTTTTAATATGTACTGCTGTAATGCTGCCTGAAATTAGAGGGTCAGGAAGCAATTTGAAACACATTCCTAGGAGCAGGGGTGAGAGTTAAATGTTGTTAAATGTTGACCCTTACTTTTGCATTCGGGGCCAAAGTGAGAAAACAGCACGTCCTTTTTGATGCAGCCTAGGGCCTTCACCTGGCAGAAGGACCTGTACTCCCTTTTATCAGTGCCGCAGGCTGGTTTTGTAGCCTTGGGACACTGGTAAGGAAGCTTGCAGATACATTCCCCATTAAGACATCGCATCCAGGGGGGGCAGAAAACTTTCTGACATGACAAGCGACTGAAGCCTTTTGTCCCACACGTCTCCCGATCTAGGTACTCATCCTGTAGTAATTTAGCGGGAATGATTTTTGTAGAAGCAGCCGTTGTTGTAATCTGAGTATTTGGACGATCCAATGGATGCGAGGGAACATTATCTTCAGGTTGGCTTTCCTGTGAATGACAGTATGGTGTGTTTACACAAAACTGAAACCGCTCTTTGACGTACAGGTACAAGTAGAAATACACAGAGAAAAGCCTTAGAATAGAATTTCTCACCTGAATGTCTTAGAGCAGTGGTCTCTAACATTGATCCCGGGGTTTTAATCAAATAGGTTTTATAAGTGGGGTAAATCATTTATATCTTATATAGCCGGCAGCTACAGTATATCACTCTGCAACTCATAAATGGGAACTCAGTGAAGCTCAGCAGGTGTGAGCCTGTCCAGTATCTGGATAGGAGACTTCCTGGGAATGCTAAGGTTGTTGCTGGGAGAGATCTTAGTGGTACCAGTAGGGGGCACACACCCTGTGGTCTATGTGGGTCCTTATACCCAAGTATAGTGATGGGACATTATACAGTAAAAAAGGTGCCATCTTCTGATGAGACCTAAAACTGAGGTCCTGACTCTCTGTGATCATTAAAAATTTTAGGGTTCTTCTTGAAAAGAGTTGGGGTGTTACCCAAATTTCCCCCACTCTGACTGGAGGGTCCACAATATATAAGTGTAAGGATTTTTATTGTATATGGATTGCAGACATTTATAAGATTGATTGGGATTCTTTATTGAATTGTAGCTGAAGAATATTTAGACGTTTGTACAGATGAGTTAAAAAAAATCAGATTAAACAAATCACCTACTTGATTAACACAATTAAATTAGTCAGTTTAGAAAATTGTTATCTATAACCTGCTACAGCCACTCCCTGGCTGTTTTGTAAGAGTTAGGTCCAACAAGTTTCTACATAACCTAGATCTTATGTAAGTAGGGAGCACTTCTTTCTTAGTCCTTCAACAATAAGGTATCACAAAGGGGGTTAGAGAGCAAGAGAAAGAATATGGCAGAAGCTAGCCGATAGAGACAAATTAAACTTACTTCCTATATACTGTAGAAAGAAATGAAATAATGATTAATAAAAAAAAAAACGTTTTAAAATAAATAACAACCTAATATACTGTAGCATACACTTAAGCAGTATACAGTAGAATAAATGAGAGAGCATTAACTTTGCACTGTTCACTAAACACAAAATAAAATATATGGTAAAATAAATTAATAAACTCACTTGGGTGCTTCCCCAACAACATGGATTACTCCCAATTTCCAGTATTTGGTTGTCACATGTGTGTGAAAGTGAAGCTGAAGTGTAAAACAGCCCTGGTGGAGAGGAACTTGCTACACGGAAGTAACAGAAACTTTCCTAAACTCCAAATTGTACAAGTTGAGTCTTACAAAACCTGTGGAGAAGGTAAGCACTGGGGATCTCTGGGACCCCCACTGGAGACTCCAGCCTTCGGGTTAATTTTATTGTGAGGCTGAGAGTGACCCCTAGCCTAACAGATATAATTTGTGCTGCTGGTTTCCAGAGATGATCAACTGTTTCAGACGCAAACCTCACAGTCCAGTCAAACATTAAGCTACTTTGTCAACCTACCATATGCATATACACATACCACTTTTGCAAAACTAGTAATTCCAGTACTATTTTGCACCACTAAAGCACAGACTACCAAATTTTAGAACAGCTTTTACCATACAGCAGTGTGCATCCTTAAAGGGGAACTGCCTTGATATTTTTGTATTTTGGGGTTAGTAAGAAAACAGCACTGATGAGTACTAAATAAAACTAAAATGTACACAGTAAAACCTCCAATTTACATCTCAAAATAGACTAAATTTGTGAGAAATTGGAACTGCAATTCCACCTTAAGACCTAACAGCAATGCCTTAGAATTCAATGCACCTCTACATTGTACTTGTGACTTTAGATACCATATATTTGTTGTTTTGTTTGTATATTTTCAGAACATACTATTGTGTAATGTACTGTCTACATTGTGTATTGTACTGTGCATGTCCAGAGAGAACAGCACAAATAGGAATCCCACTGTACATGTACATATGGCAAATAAACCCCTATATCTATAAGTAGGTCCTCAGAAGACTTAAGACAAGCATAGGCTAGTGGCTCTTCTATTTTTAATCCCAGTAGCTCAGACAGAAAATGGTGAGTGGATAGAGACAAAAAGTGACCAAGGTTACCCAAGCAATTCTCCTCCACCGACGAGCTTGTGTCGGGCCATCTCCAGTGATAGTGTTACTGGAGGTAAAACCAGGCCTGTATTTCCTTGAAAAGCACTCCCATGCGTGCACATTAGCAAATTACCACTCATTACAACCTTTACTGTAATATGTACATCAGGTCTCATTGCAGTCATGTACAGTGTTTGAATGGGATAGGTGTGCTTTTACTTGTTCTATTACAGCACCATATGTGAAGGTTTTTTTCAATTTTTTCCCTTGCAGAAAATTAAACCCATTTGACAAATATGAAAGACAAGGAAAACAAAATGGATATATTTTCTAATGCACTGCTATATGGATGATAAAATGTTTTGTATTGTACTGAAAAAATAAATGTGAACTATGAACTCTAATCTGCGCCGTCTCTGTCAGTCATCCAAAATTATTTCAGATTTTATCAGTGTTCACTAACCTCTATTGCTCCAAAAAGTAAACACGAAAAATCCCTGACAAACATTAGCTACAGTAAACAGCTCTCTCTCAGCCTCATACCAATTTTTGTGGTAAAAAGATACCACATCAACCACATTCTGCAAGCTACCCTTGCTAACCTAAGCTGAACCTCACCTGAAATACAGCATACTTATTGGGGATACAGTATACTTACAGGAGTACTTCAAAAAACTTAAAATGTTTAAAACATGACAGAAATATTGCAGTATTTATATATATAAAATTTTAAAATAAACATTATACAAGTACATACAAATATTTAAATACAATTAATAAAATATGCTTTGAACATTAGAAATTCTTAAATCTCATATTCTTAAATATGAATCCATCTCTCTGTGCCTTGCGTACATACATTATTCCACACTCACAGCATGTTAAGGAAAACACATGACAACAGCCAATGTATGCAAAGACGTTTTCTTTAGATCAGAACTTTGGCTGTGACTCAGCCTATATAAATTATCAGAAAAACATACACAAAAAGGTGAAAACTTAAATCTAAGACATTTTTTTTTCTGTCTGAACTTAGGGAAACATATTTTGACCAAAACACTTTTTCAAATCATTTTGGTAGCTCTAATTATTGGCTGTAATAATGATAAACCATTACCACAAATGCTTTTGTCCGAAGAGCTTTACAACACCAGTGACTGGTCTAGAGCCCTTACCTCTAGGATTCAAAAGGAGAGTATGTAACTTGCTTAGGAAAGCAAAGAGTGAGTCAGTGGAAAAATAGTGCTTTGAACCAGATTCCACTGGTTTCAAGTCTGCTAGACTACATACTAAAGATGTATGAATGAATAATATGCATTAATTAAAAAAAACCTATAACTGCACCATAATGGATCATAAGCTTGCCTGTTCATACAAAAACAATCTATTGTGATACTGGTCCACATCTCATTCACAATTTGACATACAGTACCACAAAGTCAATAGATCTCTTACCCAGGTGCAATTTACTCTTAAATACAGTACACAAGTTTAAACTCTGCAAACTTACTGTCCTCCCATTGCCAATAAACAGCAAATTCAAGAAGTGAAGAAAGACCAGTTTCATTGTTGCTCAGTATGCATGAAGATCCCCTCTGTCTTCACTTGGAACTGTGGCACTGAGCAGAATTAATGATTATCTGTTATCAATACAGAGCAATGTAATGTGCTGACGCTGGGAGCAAGGACCTTACACTTTTGTTTGAGGTAGGTAAGTTAAGCTCTGCCAGTAACTCATCCTCTACAATTTTATTGATTTACCTTGTCTTTTGCTCTGCTGCACAAGTTACTCATGTACAGTATACACACATGCAGTCATGAAGAAAAGGTACTTTCACATATTATCCACTATATTCCCTTATCCTAAACCATTGATGCAATAACCAAAAATCACAAGGACAGGAATTCAAAAAAATATTTAAATTAAAACACTGACTACGAATTTAGACTTTAGATAGTTTTACAAACAGAAAGTCTATCAGAAAGAGTAAAATGGGTCAACATTTTAGATTCCTGACCCAAGCCTGAACCATACCAATTCACCCTAGTGTTATTTGCAGAAGGTAGGTTATTCAGCATAAAATACTTAATAAAAGTATTAACAGCTAATTTATACATTTGCTGGAACACCTGAAGTGCGACCAATCAGTTGAAAGAAACACTTGCTGACTCACAAATGTTTCCACACACAGAATATTTATTTCCACATTTGTCCAAGGGATTCAATACATGAAACAGGTCTTACAATCAGAAAACTATTCTGGAAGATGTGAGATTATTATTGCAGTACTGAGAGTACAACAGAGGCGATGATGATAAAGTAAGACTTGTTTGTTGAGACAACTTTACCAATGTTGTGAAGTACAGGTTTGGACTTGAATGATCACAGTTCTCTTTCAGATTTAGTACGAAATGAACTAAAATGTGTTCTTCAACTAATAAACATGCAATACATTTAAATGGCAAAAATATGAAAAAATAAAATAATTCTACAGTGTTGAATGTAATGATTTTCACTGTACCTTAATAGATTTCTAGTGTTCTAGTATTCTGACATGCTTTTGACAAAAAATGTTAATATAAACTTTTTTCTCAATAACTGGATTAAATTAAAGAGTAGCTGCTTTAAATAAAAATAAATACATCAATCAATGATTTATTTAATGTTTTTTTAATGTTTAAAATTTTAAAATGAGCATGCGTACTAATGAAATTATTTAAAGCTACTCATTTCAATAGATTGTGGAATTTCTTCTTATCTGTAACCAAAGGAACCCAACACAAACAATCCATAAGAATGCCTACTTTTCAAGAAACAAGTGTGGTACTTGGAAAAGGCATACAGAATACATTCATTTGAAAATGTTCTTCAAAACCTTCACAGAAACTGGGCTGCGATACCATTCTTTATTAAATAGTTCCTGGTTCCATCTTGTTAATAGCTATAGATTACAGCTATTACAACTGAATTAGCCCTACTGATAGTCTTCACAGCAATGCAGAGATTCCTGGTGGATATCCAGAAGAAGAAGAATATTTGTGAACGGGATTAGTTGTAATCCTAAAATGACCATAGTGACAGATGGGTCTGTAATATTATCCAGAGTCTGCCCACCTCTTATACAGTAGTTTCCCATTAGTGAACTGCAAGAAAATAGCCTGAGCAGGTTCTTAGAGTGGAATTACAAGGGAACAGTAACAGCAACATGAAATTCACATTGGTCTGGAGTATTACAGATAAAATCAGGTAAAAGCAGAATATGTAGGAAAGTACATAATAAAAGTATAGTATTATTTTGTCTCTATGGGATAATGGCAGCAATCATGATGAACTGTTTTCAAGAATTATAAAGTTAATATTTATAGTTAAAATAAAAAATTTAGGATGTAGCCAATTATAAAATAAAACGTGATCAAAAACAAAAGCCATTCTTAAATAACTTGGCTTTGATAAAGAATTATCAAATTCTTATAAGCACCAATTCTGATATTAAAGTACAAGATAAAAGCCTTCATTGAAATGTTCACTATCAGCTAACGTATAACATTAACTTCAAAGGTCAAAACTCACAGCACTTTGAAAATGGACAAAAATAAATTAATGAAATGCCAAAAATCCATTTAAAAATACCTGAACACCTGAAACACCTTCATAAAAACTTCACATAATGCATTTTTAAACAAAAGCAGGCTTCAAACAATAGACACAATAAGATTTCATACTGTACTGTGCAACAAACATTCCATGTTAGTAATTTAGCAATTCAAATAATCCTCTCAAATTCCCTATCAAAGACTTCAAACAATAATTTTTTTTAATGCTTTTGATTACACATAGCATAACAACAAATTAAAAAACGTTTTTTTTCCAATGAAGATCAAAGTTAATTGAAAATATCCTGCACTGTGTATGGTGCATAAAACAGTTTTAGAAATAGTAATTGCTGATAGAATTTCTTTGTAATGAAAGTACATTTCCCTACCACAGTAGCTTGCTACCAAAGCAGGATTTAATTTTATTAGGTATTAATCATGCTTCACAACATATCTACTTTGAACAAAAGCTGCACTTATCCATTTTCAAATGTAAATTACTGCATATTCTGCTGGACACACTTGTGGACAAATCATCCGGCTATTGCCACAATGAGATCAAATCAACTCTACAAACCTAGTCAACGTCACATCACCCATTGAAGCCAATTAATGATAGCATTATGGGTCTTGTAAATTGATCTCTTCAGTCTTACATATTTCAGACACCTAAAGAATGCATCAGTGGGATATAGGAAGTAATTAAAGAATAGTCAATAGGAATATTTCTTTGCAAACATTTCCTATACGGTAAACATATTAATGCAACACAAAGAGCAAACCTTCTGGAGTTCAACAGTAGCTATGCAATGCACAAACATTTTAGTATCACTCCTGGCACAATCCTAATTCAGCCACCTGAACAGCTGCATGGTGACTGAGTGGACTTTAAGCTCTTATCCTGCATAGAATGTTAGCACACTAGGCTACCTGAATTCCAGTTTTTGCTTCTTTTGGGTAGTATCACTCGTAATAAGAAGTTAGCACTTAAATAAAATTCATTGTGAGTATAATCAAATGTACTGTATATTAGCTTATCTGATAGGTTAAAAAAGAACAGAATGGGAACAACACTTCATTTCCTTAGCACACCCTGAAAAACAAGGAAAGTGCTAATGACGAAACTCTCCTAATACAATAAGTAGAAATAAAACATTAGCTGCTTACTTCTTAGAGGAAAGGCATGTATTATCTGAATGTATTAGGTATCTACAATATATGTAATTTAAGATAGATCTGAGAAATATAAACAACTTTCAATAATAATTTAAACTTTATTCAAATAAAGGTCATGAAGATAAAACCTGTTCTACAAATATTTAAATATTTCACGCATTCAATCATCAAATGATATTCAATGTTAAAATCTTTTCTTCTTGGAAGATATGACTTAAATTATGCTAACATTTCCCGTGTGGAATCTGCAGTCATGTTCCCTAAGTACTTCATCTATACAGAACTTTATCCTTCTGCACTTCACATATTTGATCCTTACCCAGGAGGTGACTGGTACATTTCAAGGGCAGAGAATAGTGGACTCTGCGGACTAAGACTGGAAGCTAAGAGCTGCAAAAAAGTGCATGGCTGGAAAAAAAAACACACAAAAACTTAAATGAGACATTTAGCACACGAGTTGGAATGAAAAGAAGTCTGTCGCGGTAAGAAACATTGTACCAAGTCAGTGCTGAGGTTGTTCCAAACTTCCTTTACAGTCCCCTCTGGGAGCAGCTGTCTTTCATGCAAAAACAGTGGAGATGCTTGTTGGTGCTTCCAGGCTGTGTTTTAATTTTGGTCAATAATGATGCAGCAAGGCAATTTCTTAGGGGACATTGGGGGGGAAAAGTAGAGGAAACAAGGAGCACTGTTGATGTGACTTAGAAGTATTTCCACAGTAAGGCTAGTTTTTGATTTGATGTTCATGTTTTCTTTTTTAAAAAATTATATATATTTATATCATTCTGAAAACAAGAGTCTCAGCTGGGAAGACTCATCCTCCCCGGAACAAGTCGTTTAGTCTGTCCAGCTCTTTACAGTTTTCCATGGTCATGAGTTCAGCCTTCCTGCGCAGACGATCATCTCTGTAAACCTTGGCAGCATAGAGGAGGTCTGTCTCTGGAAAGAACGAAAAAAAAAATACATTGAAACAAGTATCAGTAAAGGTTAATAATAATAAACAAACAATTACATTTTACACCTATGTTACAGAATTTAGCACTAAAACAAAAAATAATTTAATTCAATATTCTTCAACCTGCTGACTTTACTGATGTTGTAAAATGTATTTCTAAGAAAAGACTTTCTTGATCTGGTATCTGAAAATCTCTGAATACAAATCTCATGAATTAATTCACTTAAAGACTTTGTCACCACCTTCTGGAAGCTAAAGGCTGAACTGAATTAGGGATTGTCTCCTTGAATTACACACAATGGGGACAAATCAATCCAGAGAGAGCACAGTTTTTCCAACAAGGTACTTTCGCATCTTTAGAACCTACGTATATTTATAGTGCATAAAGAAAGAATCTTACTTGTTTGCCTCTCTTTCCAGCAGTTATTCCTGATATTAGAAACATAGTCCTCTTCCACACTTTTTTCTATCTTTTGTAGAGCCGACCCCTTGTATTCTGACTTGAAGTCCCTAGAGACATAGTATTCTATACGTAGGTTCTCTGTCTGCCTTTTAATTGTTTGCCCAGTAGACCTGTAAAAAAGTAAAAAACTCTTTTCATATAGTTGTTAAAATACGTTTTTCAAAAAATACTGAATTGTATGATTTCGTTATGTTTTATACTGTATGATGACAGAAGTATGATTTTAGATGACTTAAAGGCGGTAAAGGGTGCAAAATCTAACAAAAAGGATATGATAAATACAACGTATTTCATAGTTGTCAAACTAAAACCCTCTACCTGGGTATATTTTGTGTTTAACTTCCACTCAAGGTCTTACATATTTAATCGCATTATCTGGAGTAATTGGACAACTTCTGTAGTATTAATATTTTTATATGGAATCGGGAGAATCTTTCAAACAAAATGACAGCTTTAAATAACAGGTGAATGAATGAGGCAACCGAAGTACTCCAGTTTTTCTTATTATTCTCAATACCTTACAAGGAAAGGGGAGTCTATAAATACAATTGGACTTACCAGTTATAAGAATAGAGAGGCAAAAAGTCAGGCACAGACAGATACACAGAGTGATAGATACAAGCAGACTAGGCGTAAATACCGACATGTATAGGCAGTTGGAGACACACACACAAACTCTTGTATGATGTCCCTGATGCAATTGTATGTTCACTAGAACATACCATGGTGAAAGGTTTTTCAGTACCACATCAACTCCTAGAGCTGCAGAAAAGACTCACGGTCTAGAATAGAGGCTGTAAGGCGGAGTGGAGACCATAAGCTGGCTTAGAATGGACACAAGAATCAGGACAACGATAGGCATCAACTGAATGAACATTGAAAATCCTCCCTGGAAAACAGAATGGGCAAACAAAATACTGATTAGAAACCTTGCCCCATTTCCATGAGGCAAATGCTAAGCAAACTCTACACTGAAATCTGGGAAAGCCTTTTGTATATTAATAATTTTAGCTACACTTATGTTAGCGATTACAAATATAAGGTGTATTTGGTGTCTCTTTGTAATTTTGGAAAACATTTTGTACATATACATCTTTCTTCCATCTGAGACTTTATTGTGAACATTTTATTCTTCTTTCACTAACCTCACATTTTTTAACATAAAAGAAGGATTAAAGTCTACAAATGAGAAGCAAACTGAACACTAAATTCTATTTTTAACCCTTCTATTTTTCTTTGGAAAACTTTCCACATTTCACCCCTTTCTGAGGTGATAAAATTAAGGAAATTCATTTTATTCCTGTTAAAGACCTTGAAACACTGACAGTCAGCGATAATACATACATCACCCCTCTCCTCTTCTCTCTCTCTCCTGTTGTTGTTCTGATACTGCTGGCTGTATCGTGCTCCGCCATTAGCAAATGTGTGTGTGCTGCCTATGAAGAAAAATACATTTACCGTGAGAAGTGATCAATTGATCACTAAGAAAACAACAAACCCCAGATGGTTATAAACTGGTATATTTCATGGAAGAACTATGCAATTTGTGAATATACCATTCACTGTAACCAAGTTAATTTAATTGTTTATCAGCTGTTCTGAATAAAATTACATACAGTGCCTTTCAAAAGTATTAATTGCCTTGTTTTTTATCATATTTTACTGTGCTACAATATAGAATTACAATGTATTTATTTGGATTTTTTTGCCATTTATCAACACAAAACACTCTATAATGTCAAATTGAAAACAAACTTCCACAGAGCCTTCTAATTGTAAATATAAAACAGAAAATAAGTGATTGCATTGGCATTCACCCCCTTTTACTGTGACACTTAAAAGGGCTCTGGTGCAACCAAATGTCTTTAGAAGTCATGTTACTGTATATGTTGAATGGAGTCCACCTGTGGGCAATAACGGTGTTTCGCATGAATTCAACATGAATATACCCGTCTCTGAGAGGTCCCACAGTTGATTAGTACAGTTCTCAACAAAAACTATATCATGAAGAAAAAATAACTTTTATTTAGTAAATGGATATTGAAAAGCACCAATCAAGGGAAGGGTATAAGAAAATGTCCAAGGCATTACATACCCCCCAAAGCACAGTAAAGTCCATTGTAAAGAAATGTAGAAATTATGATAAAACTGTGACAGGGTGTCCTTAAAAACTGAGCATCGAGGCAAGAAAACTAGTCATGGATACCACCAAAAGGCCGTGTACAACTCTAATGTAATTACAGTCTTCTATAGCTAAAATGGGAGAAACTGCATATCACAATTGCCTGGGTGCTTCACAAATTTGGGCTTTACTGGAAGAGCGACAAAAAACTCACAACAAATCTTGACTATACTTCCCCCGAAGGCATGTGGGAGACTCCGTTGAAGAAGATTCTATTGTCTGACGAGACCAAAGATGAACTTTTTGGCCTCAATGATAAGTGTTAAGTTTGGTACAAGTGTAACAGTAATCTTGAGAACACCATTCATACGGTGAAGCATGGTGGTGGCAATACCATGCTATGGGGATGCATCACTGGATCAGGACCCGGGAGACTTGTGAAGACAAAAGGAAAAATGGATGCAGAAAGAATAGAGAAATCCAGGAGGAAAGCCTGCTGCTGCAAGAGACAAGGGACTTGAGAGAGGACTCATCTTCCAGTAGGAGAATGGCCCAAAACATACTTCCAAAGCCACACTGGAGTGGTTGGAAAAGAAAAAAGCAAATGTCCTAGAGTGGCCCAGTTAAAGCCCCAGAAGTCAATCCAATCAAGAATATCAAGAATCTGAGGGGGTTGGAGCAATTGTGCAAAGAAGAATGGGCAAAAATGACAATGTCCAAATGTGCAAAGCTGGTAGAAACTTATCCAAGAAGACTCATGGCTATAATTTCTGCTAAATCTGCCTCTATCAAATACTGACTCAAATTGGGTAAATGCATATGCAATCAGTTATTTCTGTTTCATATTTACAATTAATTTAGGAGGATCTATAGAATTTTGTTTTCAGTTTGATACTTTATAGAGCGTTTTCTGTCAATCAATGGCAAAAACTCCCAGTTAAATGCATTACAAATCAAACACTATAAAATGTAAGAAAGTCCAAGATAGGTGAACACTATTGATAGCCACTATAACTTACTGAGAAAATGTAGTGTATTCCTTGACAAGAACCTATATAATCATATTAAATAATCTGTGTCACTATTTTATTTATTTTAATGCCAAGGATATAAATATATGGTATTAGCATGTCTCTAACCTGTCCATACTTGCTTTTTACTAGCTTTATAGATGTAGCAGTGCTTTTATTAATTTGTTGATCTTGCTCTCACTGCTTGTGTGAAAAATAAATAAGACAGCAACTATGAATAATCTGCCTGAGACATGTCAGTTTAACTCAGATACCATAATGTAATTAAAGTGTTAACTACTAGTGTTAGATCTTAAAGGTGGAACAAGTAGGTCATGACACTGCACACTGCTCCTAATACGTCTGTGACCTAATTTCCCAGATGAAGAGCCATTCACAATATGAAAAGAGATCAGAAGAGCCTCAGAAGTTTTAGGTGTTGTCCACAGAACTGCTTTATTTAGATGGTATTTAGATGTTTCATGAAACTACCTTCATGAAGGAAAGCTTTATTAAGCTATGGCAACAAAGGCATCAGGCTGTATTTGTATTATTGTGTAACAGTTCAGGTTAGAACCCAACATACTGTGTACGGACATAGCTGAAAAATCAATTGCATGTTTGGGTGAATCAATAACATTGATCTTCCAGGCTTCTAAGGAGTGTTTGAAAAAAACACTACACACTAAAAGAGTAAAATCCTTATAACATTTAATAACCAAATAAAAAAAAAACTCCCTGCCTTCTCCTAAGAAACAGACCAGGGATATTTTAACAATCAGATCCCCTAATCAATTAAGTCAGATGCTTAAATAGAAGGTTTTAAAAATCAATGGAACACCCTATTATTAAGAACTGCAGCCACTGCCTGTAAAGCCGTAGTGCTGGTGCTGCGTCAGCGAGGAGAGTGTCAAACTCACTTGAAGGAAATCCTCCCCCAAAGAACATGTTAAAGAGGTCCTCAGGGGTGATGTCGGCTTCGAAGCCCCCGTGGAAGTCAAATCCCCGTCCCTGGGGACTGCTCGTAGTGTCCTCTCCCCCAGTCAGGTCATACTGCTTTCTCTTGTCGGGGTTACTGAGCACTGCATATGCATTACCGATTTCTAAAACACAAAGCAGGAAAGAATTCCGTTTCTTCTCAGCCTCTCAGCTTCAAAGCCAAGGAACAGGAAACTGTACTGCTGTGTAATTTTACATAATATGATATATAATAAGACATTTCAGTAAATAGCAACGACCGGGAGCAATTATCATTTTTGACTGTATTGTTGGGCTACATGGTGGCGCAGTCGTTTAGCTTTGTTATCTTGCAGTACTGGGGCCCTGGGTTCAGTTCCTGGGGGATTATCTACATGGAGTTTGTACATTTCCCCCGGGCGCTCGGCATTCCTCCCACAGTCGAAAGACATACTGGTAGGTTAAAATTCTTCGGGGGGAAATCGGCCCTCGTGTGAACGCGTGCATGTTTGTCTCTGTGTGTGACCTGTGAGGAACTGGCGTACAGTCCACTATGTATCCTGCCCTGCACCTGTGACTTGTCAGGTCAAGCTCTGGCTCCCACACGACCCTGTATTGGATGAGGTGGTTAGAAAATGGATGGATGGACTTTACTGTTTTAAGAGTCATCAAAAGTATTAGGATAATTATTAATGTCCCAAAAAACACGAGTGCTTCAAAAGTGTTATACACCAAACTTTGGTACTTACAAATACGATCCCCTGTCCCTTAGCATTCTAGGGTAACAAGTGACTATCCAGCTCTTTACACTATAGGAAATTGCAATCCTATCCCATAGTAGTTAAGGGAGAACAGAATATATTTGTTACTTTTGAAGGCCTCCGTGGCTCCAGGAGCATGGTTCTTATCAGGGTGAAACTTCAGTGCCAGTTTTCTATAGGCTTTTTTCAGTTCATCTTCATTGGCCTCTTTACTTATGCCCAGAACTTCATAGTAATCTTTGCATTTCTTTATCCTGTGTCGTTTTGAAAAGGCAAAAGCAGAGTGGTTAGTAAAACAGCAAGTTATGAATGCAAACAACTTGTTGGAATTTTTGTAATCATTAGTTTTCTAACCTTTCACTTCACAAATCTTGAGTCTGGTCTCAGAGCAACCTTTGAGGATCTTCATACACCAAATCATTTCTAATATCAATCAACACAAAGACTAGAGCCTGCTTATTCCTATGAATGCTTCATTATTATATAATGTTATAGTAGAGTATGTAGTTTTATAGCATAAAAACTAAAACTGACAATGTTTGCAGTAAGAGAATGTTCAACAGTTACAAATGTTAAGGCCATCATCAGGTAACGATTAAGTTACTGTAGATGTTCTATTGATAAAACGCAACACCTCGCTCATCATTGCTGGTGGTGCAAGATTAACGCAAACAGCCCTGCCCTCAGTTCCCTTCTGACAATGAATTATGCAATTTATCCAGCACGTTGCGTCTGACCTCATCCATAATCCTTATAATGTTAATTTGCTCCTTAGGGTGTATGTCCTCGAGACACCAAAAATCACAAAGCTTTAAAATTGAGCCCAAATTAATCAATGTTTCATGTTTAACCTCTACTTGCTTTGAATTTTCTATAAACAAAATGACAGTTTAAAAATGCAACTACTTATTGTCTAACAATGTCTTACCCTAATGCTTTTAATTACTTAGAGGTGAGTTTCAGTTTAATCTCATTATATTTAAAGTTCTTCAACAATGTCTTTCTCAGTTTCAGAGGTTCTTCATCTTATGCCACCTAGAACAGTCTGAATGACTGCCTGTTTCTGTAACTTTTTAATTATTCCACCTCTTCTACCACTAGTATAAGAGATTTGTTGTTGACGTTAAAATTTCACACTTCTTATATATTGATATCCTATGGAGTCTAAATCCTCCAAAAGTATTAATACCCTTGACAATTACAATTAATTGTATATTTCACAAAGAAAATACATCAATAATTGTCAACATTTATAACTTTTATAAATTGTTTATGAAAATGTATTAAGGATATCATATGTAAGAAACACATAGACAATGTCCAGATTTATTCGTAACATACAATTCTTGAAAATGTATGTAATTATGGTGCTTTTGCTCATCTTTTACTGTATATTATAAAACCACATAAATAAATAGTCTAAAGAAGCTTCTGGAGGTCAACTTCATTGTCACTGGGTATTAAAGGAATCCGAAAGCAGATCTAATCACTCAGTACTGTGTCATCCTGGGAAAAGATCTATAAAAATTCAAGATAAAAGATTATTGAACTCAAAAACTAGTGATGGCTATACCAAATACCAAAAGACATCCAGATGACATTTTGATTTTGTCCATCATCATGAGACTAGGATAGCTGCTACCTCACCAGGAAGGATGTACAAGCATTTTACCTAAAGGGTAAACGTGTGATCAGAAATTTGGAGTGAGCATTTTACATTCAATGGCAACTATGGGGAATCTTTTAAAAAACTCTAGCACAATCAGGATACAATCCTCCCAAGTTTCCCAGATTTGGATTTGTGGCTGACCTCATGAATCTGGGGTCTGTGGTAGTATTTGATGGAAATGTAAATAGAAAAAAACTTCTTGCCAAGCAGAAACTAATTGACTTCTAAATATGCACTTATAGTTTTTAGAGACTATAAATCCTTTTCTCGAGCTGTCATTAGGTTAAATCAGGAAATATACTGTATATATCTTTTAAAGAATGTGTACCATAGACATCTGAGGGAATGTCTACAAGATTCATTAATAGATGAAAAGACTATCAGCATTTACAAATGCATAGTATATCACAGATCTGATACTGAAACATCAGTATTTCTCTAGAAAATCTTTGTAGCTTTCTAAATATATGTTTTAGCTTATTCTTCTTTCATTGTGATAAACGTGTCAAAAAAAACTTCAAAATAATTCTGCTCCATTTCCATCCACCTTCAAGCTCATGTCATTATGCCAAGATCTTTAAAAAGGTGCCTAAATTCAGACAGTTTTCTTTGCTGAAGGAACTAGTAGCAACACTTAATGTGTTCTGCTGTTCACATAACAAAAAGTAATACATACTGATATCAGCTTCCAGGTTTCCCTAATGAAGCCAAAGAAACATGCAGGGATCGAAGAGAACATGTATACATAACACAGTCTTGACATTAAATTATGTTGTACTAAAGAAATAATCCCTGTACTATAGATAGTTTGGTCTGTGGTGGTGTAATATGAAAAAGTGCAGGCCCCTCATTAAGTTTATGGGACAACTACAAATCATATAAAGTATGTCATAATACTCAGCTTCCTGTCATTCACATTTGTTAAAATGTATTGCTGGTCTGGAATCAAGCCAGAGAAGAGCAACACGATATATATTCCTAGGATCAAAGAAATGTCTAATGCTGTCTAACTTAACTTTTTTTCATCTTTAACAGAGACAACTATGACAGGACAAGATTCAAGTATTCGAATTCTTCAAAGGCGATGACAAACTCAAACCATTTGACTTCTTTTGATCCAACAGTGAACCAAAAGTAGATACGGAGAAAAGCATTTAAAAATGGGACAAGACATCTTTACCCAAAGAGTTGTGGGAGTATGGAATAAGCTGCACAACAATATCGTTGAAGCCAATATCCTGGATTCTTTCAAGAAATGGCTGGATTAGATCCAATTAGCGACTGGAAAACAATTAACTGGCCTCCTAAAGCTTGGATTTTTATGTACCTACTGTTGCTACATTGCGTACATTTAACCTTTTTCAAAAATGTAAAACTTATAATATTGAAATATATACTTCAGTACAACTTAAACAGTCCTTGTACTTGCCTAACAGTACCGAGAAAACATCTGCACTGATACTACTCTTTGCCATAGGTTTTCTCCTCTATATTTGAGTCACATAATTAATAATCAGGTCTTGAAGTTGGCCCAAATCCCAGTTTTTAACATTTAGCAGCCAATTAAAAATGTAAAGAGACTTGTAAGGTAGCGATTAAATGAGCAATACAGACCAAATGGCCTCCTCTCATTTATTAACCATTCTGATGTTCGACAATATTCATAGTGATTTGGTTCAAGTATTACCGACAGTGTCGTTACTATCTGCAGAAAACTGCACTGCAAAACTGTGGTACTATTAAAATGAGCTTTAGAAAAACAGAAGTTGGTGATTACGGTGGGGAAGTGTCTCACTCACCTCTGCACTCCCTCCAGCTGCTCTTTTGTGTAGGTCTTGGCCATCTCTCCAGATCCTGCAGCATTACTGCTCTCCTTCTCCGGTTTAGATCCACCGTTAGTGCTGTCCGCTGGTTTCCTGCGGTTGGGCCCATATGAGCTCCCGTTTCTGTTAAACATATTCAGCAGCTCTGAAAAGGACAAACATTTCTAAGTCTCATCATCACTAAGAAATCATTATTAGTGCTTCAGGATCTTTAATAATCAAGTACTCAGGACCCTTTCTAACATCTCAGGCAAAGGGTGGCACCTGCAAACTGCAATGTCCCCAGTCACTACACTTGGGCTTTGGTTGGGGGATATTCTGGTCCAGAGGGATGAATACCACTTACTGGTCTACTAACACCACTTAAGCCACTAACAAGCATGCATTTCAACCCAAATATTTAAGCATTTAGCCACTGGAACAATATCAACAGTTTCTACAAACATTTGACACATAATTTGTGAAATGTTCAACATTGAACAAGGTTTGAAATGCGATAACGCTCCTTGATTAAGCTGATATTTAAGTTGTCGAAGGCACTTTTAAGGTCTCATTTGGTGTATTCTGGTCAACTCTGCTCACCATATCACAAAAAAGACATTGCTGCTCTGGAATCAATCCAGAGAAGATCAAACAGGATCTAATGTAATATTGTGCACTGACAAGGTTGAAGAACTAGGATTAATTCTATTTAGGTTTGAACAGAGAGGACTGTTCACCCTGTACAAGAACTTAAGAAGTTATACAAATGAGAGAAGGCCGGTATTGAGTAGTTAATTGATCCAAGGATCTCACCCTGGCTTCTTTCAAGAAATGATTGGATATCAGCTTCAACAACATGGCTGATTAAAGATTAAAGAGTTCATTAAACAAACTCACTCTGGTAACAACAAAACGTCTGTGCTCCCGGAAAAACATGAAGAGTGATGATATACAGTATTGCTATATGCAACACAAAGCACAAAACTGCCAACAGATGTTCTGTACTTTCAGTTAAGCCTAAACTGAACATACAGCAGCCACACCATTCAACTTTAACAGTAATTCCAATGCTGCTGTTCTAGCAGTCATACATGCAGAAAATGGTTTCCAGAAGATCAGAGAACTACAGTACAGTATATACACGCAAAGAGGTTTCCCTTTTACTTCCTTACATCCCACAATGTTCCTGGATATAACCAAATTAATTACATTAAGGAAAGAGCCTTAATTATCTACAACCGGCAGGGTTAAGCAAGTGCACCACAAAAAAACAAAATTCATAAATAACATATTATTTTTATCAATCACCAGCAGCCAGAATGGCTGCTTTTTCCATCTGTTTACTTAGGTTAGGCACAGGTGCCCATCAAAACATTTGCAAGCATTGCATAGCCTACAGTGCATACAGCTGTGTATAGTCTGAAGGTCAGGACTCTCATGAAAAGCCTCTCCCCTTTAGAAAATGTAGTTTTGCTTAGTTCTTTTCATTCCACAATGTATGAAGCAATCAAATTAAAGTAAGTCCAAAGTAATGAACAGATCATGCTGCCCATTCATGTTTTTTATAGTTTTAGTCTAATATTTACAATATTTAGTGAAATACTCTGACTCCAGACAATCAGAAGTCCCAAACCACAAATCATTTGCACATTCACACCTTACGGCATTTTAGTCTTGGACATTCTTCTAAATTCACTTGTTAAATTATGATATCGTTGTATGTTATTTCATCATGTAATAGTACTTTTATGTGTAATAAATACAATGTATCTCTAAATCCTAAATGAATCTTCTTACAGAAAATATGAAGAAATTGTTTATTCTTTCAATATTTAAGCATTAATTATGTCAGGTAATGCTGCACATTTCTGAATTGTAGAATAGAATACAAACTCGTCCTCAATACCTCTGGTAATCTACACAATCACCTGGAAAGAATTCAGTGGATGAATCCCTATGCCATATTTGCTAAAAAGAAGAATGTAATAAACATTTGTTTGGCCTACACACTGGCCTGACTCATTCTTCTTCTACAGCTTTTTGCTATAATCTAGAATGTATAATGTAGTAGTACTTTCACTCTATAACAGGCACGTTCCACAGTCAATCACTTTCAGTTCTCCCAATACAGGCTGCAACCTCCTATTGGTTTTGCTGTATTCTTATAGTTATTTTAATGAAGAATATCCTGTTGGCCTACAGTTTATCTGTATAAATGTGGGATGCAACTCAACTAAATACATAACAGGCAATGATATAGAAAAGTAACAAAGAGGTTATTTCAGTTTTTCTTATACATACTGAGATGAACAAAATGAATTGGCTAGATTGACTACAGACTTAAAACTTAATCAAGGTTTCCAGCAAGGCTTCAATCAGAAAACAGAAATAAAAGACTTTAATGAAAGAACAGAAGAGAATGGAGTGTCTTCAATGACCGAGGCACTGAAGCAATTTAAAAAAAAAACTTTCATGTCAGAAATATGTAACAATCATAAGAAAAGGGGAAAAATTAAATTCAGACAAAAATAAAAAGCTTAAACACTAATTTTCTACAGCCACTGTTTTGAAAAATTTAGAGGTCTTTTTAATGGGATTAAAGCTTTTCAGACCAGCAGAAGAAAAAAAAAGTCTGCCTTTTAACTGTCAACTGTTGTAGTACAACTATAAGTTACTTCTAAATAACATTCATGGGTAGACTTCACTGTTTGTACTGTTGCACATCAGTGTACTGATGATGATCAGTTCAGTAATGTTCCAGAATAAGCACAAATTTACTATATTGTATTCATCTGATTAGTTATATAGTTAGTAACTAGTTATATGACTGATACCAGCTACCCAGCAAGGCTGTTGAAGTCGAAATCCTGGCTTCTTTAAAAAAACTGCAAGATGAGATCTTCGGATTTACCAGCAAATGGGCTAGATGGGCTGAATGGCATTAACCTTTCTTATGTTCAGACTTCATTGCTAACTTATGTGGGCTGTGTTTGAGATTATCAGTTCAGTAACGTTCCAGGGTAAGCAAAATATTTAAACTATACCTGACTGGAATAATAAAAATAAGTACTGAGTAGCTGTTGAGAAATTCCTCAGACAAAATAATGCAACATATTTGTGATAATTCACTTGAAATGCAAACACTGTCATGTACTGTATGTACCTCGTTGTATCCACACCTGGTCAGGAACATAGGCAAATTACACAAAAAATTAATCACTTTTTCTTCAGGGGAAAACTGTACGTGTAATAAATCTGTTAAGCAGTTTGTGATATGAAACTTCTCTTTTCCCTTAATAATATAGTGATTAGCTTAAGCTAGAGAATCTGACAAGACATCTTCATTACTGCTGTCTCTGATTATTTGTAAATAGTCCTTTAATTTCACTTCAGGTGACAGACACAAAATACTTATATAATTTAATCAATGGATTACTTTCAAGGAACTTTTAAGTCATTTTTTTCCCAGCCTGTTCCAGTTACCTCTTCTGATCTCAGAATCCCTGCTGGATTGAGCCTGATGAAATCCTCTTTTCAGTGATGTACTGTATCTATTCTCCTGAAAGTATGGAAATAAAAGAACACACTTTTTTCCCCTCCCCCCTATTCAAATCTTTAGCTTGAAGTTTATACTTCGTATGTAATAAACTATTTTTGAACGAGACATTATAAACATTTACAATCCAATGCAGTAGCGAAGTTTGAATAAATCATCCGATATTATTGCTATACTGTGCCTTTCCCTTGAGAGTAAAGGAGTCATGGGTGAAGGTTATTGTTTACCGATCTATAAAAGAGCTTCGCTGTTCATTAGCATGCGCAGCAGGTCCCACATTAGCCGTAAGGCCTCCCAGAGGTCTTTGCTTAGCTACAGTACATAGATATCTTGTTAGAAGTAATCCCTTTATAGCGCAGACTTTATGGACTACAACTTCCTGTTACAAAACACACTGTTTGTTTTTTTCTATACAATGCCCTGTATAATTCCTTTCTGTACAACGATTTAAAAATATTTAATCGGATATCCTTGTCTTTTCAGTTTTAAATGATGCCTTACCTCAGAGCTCTGCACACACACTCGGTTTAGTTTTCAGTTTCAGTTTTGCAACATCTTGTGCTCACTTCTTTCCAGGTGCACAGGCAACATGTGCCTACTCAGCTACCACAAACAGCGGTAAATCTTTCCAATACTCCATCTGAATACATTAAGCACCTCTTTCAAAGTCATCCTGTAATAGGCTATTTTACTTGTTCTTTCTCGTTCAGATCATTTTTATATATCTAACACTGCTGTATGCAAGCATGTTATGCATTTCAATTTCACAACTTCTGAACTGGATCAAGATGGTCAACCTTATTTATGTCTACTGATAGCACACAGCATGTTAAACTGGATAAGCCAGTTTAGATGCATGTAATTTTGTTTTTCTCAAGCAGAATAAACACATAATACTACATATTTAGTGTAAATAAAATACCTCAATTCCTAAACTGTGTAGTTGAAAAGTTTTCATTGTTACTCAGTTACACCTCAGCACAGATCTGTATCATGCAACATATCCAAAGATCTCAAGGTTTTTATTATGGACATTTATACATCTTATTTTGTGCTCTACAATACTATATTAAGCATAATACCTCTAATTACCATTGTACATCACTGCATAGGATTATATAATTTTTGCAAAGTTGAACAACCATAAAAAATGCTTGTGTAAGGAATAACAGAGAAGCTTAAAAGACTATTACTGTAATAATCAGGAAGCACATTTATTTCTGCACTGTACGATAACCCGAGCACCTATCCCTCACTCCCTTTAAAATCATAATTAAACTATATTCAAACTAAACACTGTCTACACATGAATTGTGCATTTACATCTGTATGAAATGCAGGTGGCATTCCTGCCCAAAGAAAATCCTGAGCAGGCACACTATGTAATCTTAAGTCAGCATTGTGGTATATGAGGATATTACTGTCTGTAGTTACATGCCAGTATCACCTGTACTATACTGTAGACAGTACTGGGAGCAGTCAAACTGCAGATTACCTAGGTCATGCAGAAATATTGTTTATTGGCATCACATACAGTAGCACATTAGACTGGGTAAGCCAGTTGTGATCATTACATCCAACCAGCTCTGAACGTCTCAACGTCAGTAGCTGATAATAATTTTAATGTAATATGGTAACATAATTAATGATGCAACTGTAACAAAGACCAACTGATGGTAACATGACTGTAACAAACATGATGGTGATAATGATCAGGCTTAGTACTAAAGAGATTCTTTCCTGATACTGGGAAGCAACAGCACTGCAGGGTTTAAACCACCTCAAAATTCTCAATGTCTAAAGGCCTGAATACAATAATTATGCAAACGATGGCCTTAAAATACAACAACCCCCCCCCCCCAACAAACTCTATGGCAAATTGCAAACATGTTGACCCACTACATAAATACAATAGAAAGACTAAATCTACAGAGTTTCAAAATATTCCTAACATACTTGCATAGGTATTAAAATAAACTGTACCCTCACACTGAAATAGGAGGCCAATATCTGCCAATGACATACACAAATAAGCCTTCTACTTCCAAGAGACTAAGGAGTTTACTTAATGCACTAGAATGAACATACACTGATATTGTGAAATGCTGTATAGACCTTCTCCATGAATTTTAAGTAGGCTAAATACTTAGCAGTATTTATACTACATACTGATATGTATTAACATTCATACTATATTTTACTTTTTAGATATGTGAGGTGATACAAGGAAATTGCTTAGAATAAACAACCAGCAATACTTAAAATACCACACAGTTCTAAACTAAAGTAAAAGCAGATCAATCTCATTAGCAGACAGTGCTTTACTGTCAAATATGACCTCTTTAAGTGATATCCATAATGTGCTGGTAATATGATAACGTATGGAGTTGTGACATTTTTCTTGACAATATTAATATATCGGGGGAAAATATTGTGATATGGCTCTAGCCTAAATTGAAACAAACTGGAACAGCGTAAACAGTGGAGCACCACGGGATTCTGCACTAGTCAAGTATGGAGATGAATACAAAACAAGCCGGTTAGCAAATATTATAGAAGCAACAAATTAATTTAAAAAAAGATTTAGACAAAGTAGCATAGAGGCACAGTGGTGTGCATTGCTACCTCACAGCGCTGGAGCTCTGGGTTTAATCTCAGACCTGGGGTGCTGTTTGTGTGGAGTTTGCATGTTCTCTCCATGTTCACATGGCTTTCCACCAGGTGCTCTGGTTTCCTCCCACAAACCAAAAACATACAGGTAGGTTCATTAACTATTCAGAAAACTGGCATTGGTGTAAATGTGTCTGTGTCTGTGTCTTTGTCTACGTATGACGGTGTGCCTGCCTTGTGATGGACTGGCGATAGGCTCCAGCTCCCCTGCAACCCTGAACTGGAAAAAACTGTCAGAAAATAGATGGATGGAAGATTTAGTCAAAGACAAGGGCAAACAATGCTGGCAGACAATATTTAATGTAGAGAAGTACAGGGGTTTGCATGCAGGTATCAAAAACAACTGCCATATTAATACAAAAAGTAAAATGCTCAGTTAGAATGAGCTACTTATGAAAGAGACTTAAACGTTTACATCTTCTGGAAATAGTGGAGAAGCAATTCAAAAAGCAAACAAAATAAAAGGAATACAGAATTTAAATAATGATAATGTTTCTTTATTAGCCCTATACAATTTCTTGCATTAGGAATTCGTCTTTTCGCATACCCCAGCTTTTCTCCATGAGACACAGACACACAGACAGGGAGAGAAGCTTGGGGTCAGAGCGCAGGGTCAGCCATTGTACGGCACCCCTGGAGCAGTTGGGGTTAAGGGCCTTGCTCAGGGGCCCAACGGAGTAGGATTCCTCTGCCGGCTGGGGGATTTGAACCGGCAACCTTCCAGTCACAGGCACAGATCCTTAGCCACAATTAAATCAAGGAATGTTACGATAAAATTGTACAATGCAGTAGTCTAAAGATCTAATTAGAGAAACTGAAAAAGGACTTTGATTGACTTCCTCACCTTGACAATTCCTGTGAAACAGACATCGTTCTGAATGATTTTTGACCGTTGGCAAAAAATCAAATTTACTTTCAAAGGGTGAGTTTTTGCTGCGACCGAACAAACTCAACAATAATGTGATGAAGGCATTGAAGATGACTACAAAAGAGGAGTTTCCAAAATGATGTAATGGTTACAATGGAGGGATACGTGCATGGCCATTCAAGGTGACTATACAGAAAGATACAACACTCACTTAGATATAAATGCCGATGTTTGCTAAATAAAAACAATCCGATTACTTTAGAGCCTGGTCTTGGAGGGCAATTGTGCCTAAACATTTTCATTCCAACTCTGCTTTAAACAAACTAGATCAAAACCTTATGCTCTTGATTGGACCAGTTTGACACCTTATGAGAACTAAGAGTTATTAGCCATCTTAAATAATACAGGCAGAAAGATCAACACGAAGGGATGCCCACCCCAGCCCCCAGTAAAAAAAAAAAGATGGCACCTGCAGTTAATTAATAAGGACCGGATGCGAAATTTAATACACTAAACGACACCTTCATTACAATCTGGCTCTTGAGACTTCTATTCGAAAGGATTTAGTAGAAAAGCAAACAATAAACATGCAACACATGAGCACATACTGTACATGCACAATCCGTAGGAATATACAGTAATATACACTGCTGTGTGCAACAAACCGCAACAGAGGATTCACAGACATACAGTACTAACAACACAGGCCTGGTCTTAAGATGAGCAATTGAAAAAAATATACATATTTTTAGCAGAAACATTCAGAGCTCCCGCCGTTAAAATGGGATGACACCCAAAAATACATTTAAGGGTTTCATATCAAATTTAATATCATTATCCTTCCAGGATACCACAGCCCACTTCTTTGCTGCAGCTGCTTCGATTAAGTGAACATTAAGGTCTTCCCTTCATCTTTTTTTTTTTGCTGCGAGAAATGTCAAAGCACATCATGTCACCTTCAGTACCCACTGCCATTATAACCAGTAAACATTAATGTATTTTCCTCGCTATGTCAGCGCTATCCTGTTCTACCAAACCATTGGCATTTATCTGAAACTGTATTAATAATCACAGGAATTCAGTCGCATAAATTCGTCTCTTGGCAACCTTACCTTTTGCTTTTTCGGTCGGGTACAGCTTCTCTGCTTTGTTCAGAAATTTTAATGCCCTTTCCTTGTCCCCTGCTTCGAAAGCTTTCCTAGCTAACTGGATACATTTTTCAGCTTCGTCTTTATTCGACTCCATCTTTCTTCCTCTTCCTCCTCCCGAGCTAGAGAGCTCAGCTGATCACGCCGACACTGACAGCCGCACTTGAGTGTCACTCGCCGGCTGTTGGTGGAAAACAAAAGCGCAGAAATGTGTTGTTTAAACAAGATATAAGAACTATTTATTTACTGGAGGGGTAGTTCTTAAGGCTATAAATAAAATAAATTAATTAAATTATGACTTAATTTGAAATAAAAAGGGACATTTGTGACGGATCATTTTAGCCAATCAATGGCGGTGAGGGTATGCTAAGCAACGTTAATACTTTTACCGGTATAGCATGCGTTTTGTTTTACAAATCTTAAACGAACAATAATTAGTTTTTATTATATAATGCTGCTTGCAGGCGCACGGTTTTACTAAATGTTCCTACTCTGGTCACACAGTTGCAAATAGTGGATGCATTTACTCTGAGGGACGGTTAAAGTATTTTTTTTTATTTTGCATACTGTACATAAAGCTACAGTACGTATAACGCAGGTTAAGGTGTCTCATTTCGTAACGTTTTTAAAACAAAATTGAGAACTTCCATTTTTTAAATGACAGAATTACTTTTACTATAAAGTCCACTGTTTTTACAAAATATTTTATCCTAATTTTACGAAAAGGTTAAGGATTTTCTTAAATATGTCTGGTATCCCTAGTCTCTAATCTGATTCATGATAGTTTCTGGGATCTTTTAAATTTATTTAACTGGATACTAAGTGAATAAACGGAAACGTTCCCACTCGGACCCTTAAAGGAAGAACCTTACGTCTTCTTCCTACGAAATTGCAAAAGATACGTAACTTCCGTGACATGACTAGGACATCCTTCTTCATGTGTATAACAAAAAGATACATCTTTAACATTTTAACACTAATAACAAGTGCGCCTCGCTGGTCTAAAAAAGAGAGTTGGGAATAATTACGCTGATAAATTTCTTATTACATTTATTCACATAATTGCCCATAACAGGTAATCATGTAAATAAAAATACGTCCATCTACATTAAGCCATGAAATTTAGTAAATCTGAATTGGATAGTAATCCTTCAGTGTTGCAGAACTAAGAAAATATTGTCATAAAGACAGCACAAAGGCTACTCATGAAAACGTGTAGGTCTGCTAATCAATACAAAAGCAATTAAATAATACAAAAAGGTTAAATATTATCGTTTGTCACTCAGCCTAAAAGAAGTATACTGCTTTTGTTATTTCTAATTCGTTTTTAAAGGACATAAATGAAGAGAATTTCCAAATATTGTGCTATATTATGGTTAACTAATATTTTTTATATATTATATGTTCATAAAATGGCTTTCCAAAGAAATGTATATATACAGCCCATAGCAGGTTAGAATGAAGACCTGTGTCAATGTGCTTGGGCTGCTAAGGTTAATTCTGCACTACTTTTCAGCGTTGAAGTAAACTTTATTTGTTCCATAAAAGGTTGTACAGCTTGTTGGAGTCATAATTTAACTACACACGTGAGACTGAAGTTAAGTTCTAGGTATTATTTGAGCTCCATTTATAAGATTTATTTAAAACATGCTAAACTCGGCAAGTCTTTCTGGAAAAATAAAAACACAAGGACAAGGCAAAATAGAAACCAGCCACACAAGGATACAAAGAGAAAGACTATAAGATGCTGCATGTCTGGTTTTTCGTTATAGCCTGAGTTGTCAATTTATACATGTTGGATTTTTAAAAAGTTGATTACTTAATATATTATCTTCTATAAAGGTTCACCATAACAGAAGGCATGCTCATAGAAACACCTCATATCATTGTTAAAAGTAAAAATTCTGCAGGCTAGTAATTAGACCAATGGTGTAACTGAAAGCAAAAGAAGATAACCAGTAATGGGGTTTAAGACCTGACGTTCACAGTAATATTGCTTAGGAATTCTGGAACACAGAAAGTTGTAGGTTCATGTTCGATGCTGCTGTTAACTCTTGAGCAATGCACTGCAATCGAATTGCTCCAGTAAAATCTCTACTATATAATTTAACTTAACCATCTTTTTTCTAACACCTTCTTCCAATTCATGGTTGCAGAGGAACCAGAGCTAATCACAGCAAGCAACAGGCACAAAGCACAGGTCACACAGACACAAATATGCACACACTCACACCAGGACCAGTTTTCCCAGGATCCAATTCACCTACCAGTACGGCAATGGACTGTGGGAGGATACCAGAGCATCTGCAGTAAACCACATGAACAGGAGGAGAACACACAAACTCCACACAGATAGTACTCCAGGTCCAGAGTTGAACCCAAGGCCCCAGAGTTGTGGGGTAGCAATGTTAACCACTGTACTACCATGCATAATTGAACTTATATCTCATAAAAATAAAGGAAATTGGGGGATTGCCCAAAAGAATAATTAAAGGAAAATTAAACTACCTTTTATGTGGAGCTTTCCATCACTCATCTGCAAAGAAGCTAGGATGAAAAAAAGCAAAAGTCAAGCAAAATAACAACTTTGCTGGGAAACCATAATGCTCACATATCATGTTTATTTCTGGTTTACATTCCATCTTAGACTTTAATGACTTAATCAGACTAATTAAGTGAATAAGAAGTCAAATAATAATTTCCCAGAGCTGTGTAAATCCATTCTTTGATTACTGGGTTTCCTGGTGTAAACAGAGACATAGGAGGAAGATGCAATTTTACACATCATGCTCCTTTGGTTGGCAGTAGCTAAAGGAGATAGCACAGGGAGTGCTTTCATATAATACAGTGAAGAAAATTAAATAAATAATATGTGCAATACAATAGCGTGCACTTATGATATGTGTGATCCGCCAAACCAAAATAAATAGGCAAAGACTCAATAAATGATAGTCAAATAAAGAAATACAAAATATGACAAAGCAGACAAGAAATGTGATAATTCATTTTTAAAAATTGACAGTTGAACATACATAAAAGGCACAAATTAAGTATAACAAATTAATCAGCACCAATACTCAATTTAAAAACACACTAAATATGCTAAATGCTACAGGTTGTATTCCTATATTACATTTAGATTTGTGTCATCCAGAAAAATCTTTAAAGGCCTACTTTTATTTCCCAAATTGTTAAGGCTACAAATGTAGCTCCTAAATTCAAATATCTCTGTTAAAACACCCCAGCAAAAGTCATTAAACTGTGCTGGCACATTTGCCCCATAATCAGTTTAGATTATGATCGTGATTTTTTTCTTACAGCGCTAATGTTCAGTCTCTGAGCTCAACCAGTGTATTATAAGTGCGAATTTAACAGAGAGTCTAAAAAGAAAAGGACAACTTCACACAATTAACTCTTCAATAATTATTTTAAGATAAACATAAATTATTTCCACCACAAGATCTTCATCAAAATGCTTCACTCCACCATTACATTAGAAGTATTGACTGAGCTGTAATTGAATGTAAAATGACCAATTTTAAACAAAATGACAAGATTAATTTATACTTCTTAATGATTAGTTAAAAACTATTGATTAAGCACTTTCTTCTCTTCACTTATCAAAATTATTTTAGTGTTCCTTATATTACAGATTATTTCATTCTGAGATTAACTGAGACACAGAATACCCCCCCTCCCCCCTTGAAAGTCCAAGGTAGTTTATCAAACTTCAAAATGTAACTAATTCTTGGACGTCTGTTTTCAAATTGCACAGGTTGGATGGCTCTCTTGTAATAGATCCCCTCCTTTGTACAGTACACGTGCTGTATCTTATCAAACTTATTGAATAGCGTGCCAATGAATGGCAGGTCTCAAATAAGGGCCTGTGTGGTTATCAGGAGGAGGCAGAGAATGCTATTTAAATAAATGAATAGGACTTTATAATAATAATAATAATAATTGCTTACACTTATATAGCGCTTTTCTGGACACTCCACTCAAAGCGCTTTACAGGTAATGGGGACTCCCCTCCACCACCACCAATGTGCAGCATCCACCTGGATGATGCGACGGCAGCCATAGTGCGCCAGAACGCTCACCACACATCAGCTATCAGTGGGGAGGAGAGCAGAGTAATGTAGCCAATTCATAGAGGGGGATTATTAGGAGGCCATGATTAGTAAGGGCCAATTGGAAATTTGGCCAGGACACCGGGGTACACCCCTACTCTTTTCGAGAACCGCCCTGGGATTTTTAATGACCACAGAGAGTCAGGACCTCGGTTTTACGTCTCATCCGAAGGACGGCGCCTGTTTACAGTATAGTGTCCCTATCACTATACTGGGGCATTAGGACCCACATGGACCACAGGGTGAGCGCCCCCTGCTGGCCCCACTAACACCTCTTCCAGCAGCAACCTTAGTCTTTCCCAGGAGGTCTCCCATCCAGGTACTGACCAGGCTCACACCTGCTTAGCTTCAGTGGGTTGCCAGTTGTGAGTTGCAGGGTGATATGGCTACAAAATAATAAAGTCACAATTATGTATAACGTGAGTAGGAGGTAAAATGACTGAAGGGGAATTCAAGTGTAGATTGCTGTGCATATTAATCTTGAGTAAACGCGAATGATTCATTTCCTCTATTGGCAGATGAATCCTTTACTTTTTTCACCTGAGTACTTATGAAATAGTGCAGATTGTAATTAGAGGTTTGTATCCCTCCCAACGACAGAAAATCTGCCTCAAGCTACAAAACATGTTTAAACAGTGTAAAACATTTACAGATAAAATCAAAAGTCCAATATACGTCAAACCCAAATCATTGTTCAAAGACTCTAGGAGTTTTAGGTACTTTTAAGGCATTTGCAAAAAACCCCAAACCATGGATACCGCCGGGAAGGTATGTATCCATTGCACACTACTTATTAAATGCTGCAAAGCGTTTTTACTTAAAAAGCACTGGTACAGACGCGTATCAACGACAAGGAGAAAAAACATATTTTTTTTGCTTTTGATCGCGATAAAATTGCGTTTAAAAAATATACTTTTTGAATTAAACTATAAAGTGCTGCTAACACATCGACAGCAACAGAACTTTCTTCATAAATGTACTGTATTGTGTGCCGTCCTTTAATAGTTTTTTTAAATAATTTTGTCATTCTCGCATCTCTCTGCACTCATGTCTGTGCAGAACGACACAAAAAATACTGTTTTCTTCTCCCTCCAAATAACGAGTTTCCTCCATTTTGGAGGGTGTAATTCCAAATTCAAATATATTTGCTGTACAGTAAGCAGAGGTTAAAAGTTTTTTTATAGGATTTTGTGCTTAAAGATTCTTAAGTCTTACTGTCAAATTGTAACATATTCTGTTCAATGTGTTAGAGATTAAAGATTAGACAAAACCCCACTGTATGTACAGTACATGTTGCTGCAGTTTCTCATGAAGATTAAAATATGTAAAGCCTAGTTATTTTGCCTTTCACAGTGGATACAAGTGTGCTTATTTTTAATATCAAAACTACCACAAACAAGGAAAAGACTAAAATGTGTACTACGAAGTTGGTTTAAATTAATATAAATTATAGAAAACATGAATGTAAGAAGTAGAAAACATTTTAAGCATGCTATTTATACACAAAAGTCGCATATTATTGAACACTAGGTTTATGATGGAAAAAAACAATGTTCATGTCTTTATGGATTTTAAGATATTCCATGTTTGCCTAGCTGTATCAGAAAATGAACTTAGAGAAACAGGTATTATTTTTTAAAAAGTGACAAAGGTGTTCCAGAAGTAAGTTTCTTCAAATGGAAATTTAAACGTTGCGAGCTTCACAGAGCTCAAGAGAACAGAGTTGCAGGCTCACCAGAGTTTATTGACCCTTACTGATAAACCGGTGTGTGTGGTAATAACAGAGAGGGGTTAGAGAACAGGAGAGAGCATAGCAAAACCGGACCATTGAAACTGGGCGACACAGGGAGGCCTGACTGCCAGGGGAAGACTGGGTGTGTTTCCATTACCAGCAGGGAGTAGCAGAAGAGATACACTTCCTGCTGCACTGAGAAATACAGTACTGTACTCTGGGATTAGACAAACATTCTTCCCTAAAAATTACATATCTAATCCCAGAATTCCCACACAACACCTAGCTTCCAGTTCTAACCAGGGGGGAAGAAACTCTGTGATTTCCTGTCAAAGCCTGATAAACAGGTGCAACAGACCGTGATGTATGTAAAAGTCCAATAATATATTTATTTTTACTGTAAATGTCTGTAAATGTTGTGTTAATTGTGTATGTTTTGGTAACACTGTCATGCCCATAACACCCGTTGAATTGAATTACAGAGCATGTAATTTCCTTACTAAAATAGGGACAGAGAGAAGGAAAGCACTAAAGGTAATGACAAGTGTGGCAGTGAAACCTTCCTTGGTTTTATCATCATCAGTAGATGACTTAGAGTAGTTAATGCAGAAATCACAAAGACCTAATAGAGTTATGAAGTTATTGGTTCCAGAAGGTGGCTGACAGTGTTTTGTAGTTGTCTGACGAGATATACCATCCTGAAGTGTTTCCAAGAAACTTTTCAAACTCTGCCTCCCAGTAATGTGGGAGTCTGCATATCGTTCTCTGAAATACACGGTGTGCATTATTAAAAGTTTGATATAAACTACATGTACTTTATGTCTGTATGTTCTACTAAAAGCATAGAAATTATTTTTCAGTTTATCTGCATTAAAAATGGAGCCATTTTGTTCTTATTTTATTTCAAGCTGTGTGAAGATTGTGAGGATTATTTAAAGCTTCTGAATCGTTTTTAAATATAATGCATGTCTATTTTATATTTGTTAATGGATTCATGATTATGATAAATATATTATGTATTGGATTTGGTTTTCTACCTTCCTGCAAATAACTTTTCTTACCCAAGATAGTAAAGGAAGTAAGATGATGCATTCCATAATATCTTGTTGGAAGTACAGTACATGTGTGGGACCATATTCAGTAACAAGATTATCTATGCAGGTTATTAAATGCAAAGCCGCAGTAGCTTGGGAGCCTAAAAAACCCTTATCCATTGAAGAGATTGAGGTGCCACCCCCAAAGGCTCATGAAGTTCGAATTAAGGTGAGAAACATCTTCTATTCTCTGAATGTTGACATTACTGATTAGTTTGACTCATTGTAGATCAATGTCATGTTAAGTACAGGTGCAATTGCATCCTTTCATTTTGCCAAAATGATTATTAAAGAAGTTAACTATTTGAAATAATATGAACTTTGAATGAACACTTTCTTTTTATGAAATTTGATTAATTTTGGTTAAATGCTAAATTCTGAATTCAATTCGAACTGAGATGATTCCTATTTTGTGTTAAATGGTTTTACCAGCTATTTAAACAAGACAATTCTAGGAAAATGGGCTAAAAATTGAGCAGTTAACTGAAAATAAGATGATTCCAATGATAAGAACAGTCACTTCTGCTTATCCCTTAACTAGCAGCCATATCACCCTGCATCTCACAAATGACAACCCACTGAAGCTCTGCAGGTGTGAGCCCAGTTAGTACCTGGATGGGAGACCGTCTGTGAAAAGATTGCGGCTAGAAGTTGTGTTAGTGGGGCAAGTAGGGGGCATTCAGCATGTGGTCTGAGTGGGTCCTAATGCCCCAGTGGAAGGAAGGGCACTGTCCTTCAGATGAGACGTAAAACCAAGGACCTGACTCTCTGTAGTCATTAAAAATCCCAGGATGTTTCTCAAAAAGAATAGGGGTGTTACCCCGGCATCCTGAACAAATTTCCCCCTGGCCTTTACCAATCATGGCCTCCTAATCATCCCCATCTATGAATTGGCTTCATTACTCTGCTCTCCTCCCCACTGATAGCTGATGTGTGGTGAGCGTTCTGGTGCACTATGGCTGCCGTCACATCATCCACGTGGATGCTGCACATTGATGGTGGTGGAGGGGAGTTCCCATTACCAGTAAAGCACTTTGAGTGGAGTGTCCAGAAAAGCTCAGTGTAAGGAATTAATTATCCTCTCTTCCTGTTGGCTGTCAAGAGTTTTCCTTCAACAGCTCAATTATCGACTACTGTTTTACATTGTGTTTTGACTATATTAACAACACCTTGCTTTTAAACTACTTCCCTAAACAGTATCAGTGCTCTGTCTTGAATTATGAAACGAGCTATATTGTTGAAGCCAATGCCCTTGTTAAAGAAAAAAAAAACTAGGTGAAATCTTTGGATCAATTGGCTACGGAAAAACCCAATATCCTCCTCTTGTTTGTAACCATTCCTATGCTCTTATGTTTAATATATGCATAGATTTCTAAAATGTTGTATTAAACTAAAAAGTCCTTACAAGTGCTGAAGCTACTATAACATCTCTTAAGCCAGAGTGAGTTGGCACTCTTGGCACTTGGTAACTTGGCAAAGCTTTTTACATTGCCAAAAAGGAAAAAAAAATAATCTGACACATCAGGATCATACTATCCCACAGGCAGTGGCATTTTTCATGTGTTGATGTGATTGCAGTGTTGCATGTGTGCTTTTGTACTCTTTTTGAACAGATTGCTGCTACCGGTGTGTGTCACACTGACCTGTATTTCCTGAATGAGGGAAATATAAAGGAGCACTTTCCACATATTCCCGGTCATGAAGGAGCTGGGATTGTAGAGAGTGTGGGTCCAGGAGTGACCAAGTTAAAGCCAGGTGAAACCACCATAGAATAGCAGATTATATCACCCATTCTACCTATTGGCTTAAATTAATTTCAATTGATATAATGTTTATACAGTTGTATGAGGTCCTTGTGTGCACACTTAATTTTTTGACAGGAAACCAGTTTGCAGTTAAACCGAAAAACTTGTAATCAGGGGCAACTAACTCATTTGTAGCATGCCATTTCATGCCATAACATTAAATTTGTGTGTGTGTGGTGTTGGTGAGGTATAAATTAATGGTGCACCACAAATGTCTGAGTTTCACCATATCTCCTAAACACAGTTCATTAGAAGTGAATATACATTTCAATGCAGTAGTAAAAATACACTTTTTTGTCGTGGATCTTTTTCACCAAATATGGATTTATTTTAGAGCTGTATTTAATGTACTGGTGAAGATTCTCTATCTCTTTTGCACAAACCACATACGCACATCTTTGGGCACTTTTTAACTCTTACTTTGAAAACATTATTATAAAAAATCAATTAATTACTCCATAGTTTTGTTTCAGAAGGCTTGAGAAATATTTATACAGCCATAAAAGTGCTTTGTTTAGCATTTCTGAGGGACAATATTCATGTTTTTAATTTATTTCTGATGGTTGATCTGGTACTGACTGAACTTGAACAAATAACATTAAAAAACTATAGTTTTATTATATCATTTGAAGGATATTTAATGTCAATTACTTTTCTTACACTTAGTAGATTCAATGATTTTTGCTCACTTAGAGAAAAATTGGCAAGATTTTACATTGAGTCGAGTTTAATCAATTTCAAGATGTCAGCTCACAATCATTATCTCAGGGTTGTACTGGATGCATCAATGAGAGACTGCTGGCTGTTTATTGCAACAGCTGAAAAAAAATTATCACGTAAGGATTCTGAGAATAGCAATTTACCAGCTGTAAAAGACTCTAGACAATAGGATGACACTGACCTCATTTTATATTTTTCTCATTTTCCAGGAGACAAAGTTATCCCTCTTTTTGCTTCTCAGTGTGGAGAATGCCGGTTCTGCCTAAATCCCAAAACCAATCTGTGTGACAAGAACTGGTAAATGTCTTTGCCTCAAAAAAAAAAACAATACAGACCCAAGGGAGATGAGGTCCTGAACAACATAATTCGACCAGAAATAATTAAAAGAAGCTTGTCACACATTCTCATCCTTTACTCCATTTGTTCAGAATTTATGAAGCTAACCTATACATATTTAAGGACCTTTTTCATTTTGAACCTATTGCAGGTTTGATTTACAAAAATATAAACAAATGGAATAAAGATGTGCAATTTTCTTTTTTCAAAGATTTTTAACACCTGAGCTGAACATTTAGACCCAACTCATACCTTTTTGTCCCATTTTGGTATAATATATACAGTATATTAACAATGATAGGTACAGATTGAAAAAAAAAATCAATGCAGAACTCTGTATTGGAGAGTTCTATTACATAGCATTCTAGTCTAGGATACCAGAAGAATGCTATTTGAAGAGAAAGGGATATTTTGCTATTTAACTTAGTGATGCCAAAAAAAGTGTGATATCGTACCTGATAAACATTGTACTGGTCTTTTAATTAAAGGTAAATGCTGAGTTAATTTAATATTCTAGCAGAATCAGTGGTTCTCATTGAAACAATGATTTTTAGTTTGAACCTAATTAAAATGTTGCCTTCCAAAGCATTATTAAACACTTGTAACCAAAGGCAACTAACTAATTCCAGACCTTTCATTCTTGGACAGTACTACTGTATATGTTTCTGAAAGTATTATCAATTTAAAGTATAGGTAAATTCAGTTAACTTTCTAAAGGGAAAAACAATGTTCCGTTCCACTTACACCATACCTCATTTGTTCAAATGTATCCTAACAACATATCTACTGAGTCATTTCAAGCACCACAAAAAGACATGTTTCCATCTCGCTCTCAGGTCATTGCAAAAACCCATGTTCAGAATGACGTGCAGGGGGAAGCCAGTCTTCCAGATGACGGGCACCAGCACTTTCTCAGAGTACACAGTGGTCGATGAGATCTCCGCTGTCAAGATTTGTGACTCTGCCCCCCTGGACAAGGTCTGCCTGCTGGGCTGTGGTGTCTCCACTGGGTATGGAGCAGCCCTCAACACTGCCAAGGTGCCTACCTGCCCTGCTCCTGTCAGAAAGTTTCAATTCTAAAGATTACCTCTAGTCTTGAAAATGCTTTTAAAAAAGATGTGTGACAGTAGAGTGGCACGGATTCACTACTAGTGCTTGCCAGTGTCTCTTTAATGTACAGCTTTGTATGCAGTAGTGGATGGCTTTGGAACAGAGCTGATAGGATTGCAACTTAAGAGTAAACATAGATTGGAGTAGACAAGAATTTATCTGCATTGTCAGATGTGTGGTTATGTAGCAAACTGGGCCTAATTTGTGCATTGCCATTCAAACCATAGGCATAGGGGTACTGTGAGAATATTGAACTATAATGAGTAATGGCTCCGCAATTTGTATGTGTCCATAATTATGGGATATTGGGAGCCCAGTAGAGCCACGCTGAGGCACGTGACAAAACCAGCCAGGATGAAGAAATAAATCCAATGCTTCAGTGCAATTAAGTGGAAGACAAAAAGACAGCCTTGGACTCTAATACTCAGGTTGCCAGTAAAGAGCTCAATATAATCACAAACTTTTTTTCTCTTCCAGTTATTTTTGCCTGTACCTGCAGACACAAATAGGGGGGTCTGTACTGAAAAAATATTCACTGAATTGATTGTAATAAGTCAATTCAATCAATAAAATTATATTCTTTCATACTAACATGTGAGCATGTGTCTAGTCTCCTGATATTCACTTCTAGTCCGAGGGAGCCACTGTGTTTCCTGGTTGTCATCCCACTCAAATGTCACTCTTACTGAATTTATTTGTACCAGTTGTTCACGTAATCTGCATATACACATTTTTCCTGGTCTTTACTCATTGGAGGAGTATACGTTACTTATAAAATCTTGTGAATGGACAGCATTCTTGCTGGATCAGTAGTGAGGACCATATCTTTAATTGCCACAAGTAGTCAGGACCACGGTTTAGCGTCCCATTTGAAGGACAGAACCTCCTACAGAAGTGTCCCTTGTTGCCATCTGCACCATTGTTTTAAAAATTGAGATCCAGTGGAAAACAACCACTTAATGTTCAACGAACACTATTTACAGAAAACACTTAGATTTCCCACTCTGGTTCTCCCCATGTAGTAATCAGGTTGAATGTTACATAGCTCCTGAGACCTGGTGGGATTAGGCTATAAAATGGTAACTCTGCTGTTTCACTCTCTTCCCTGCTTGTAGGTTGAGCCCGGCTCCACCTGTGCAGTGTTTGGCCTGGGAGCTGTGGGTCTGGCTGTGGTGATGGGCTGCAAGGCTGCAGGAGCCTCTCGGATCATTGGGATCGACATCAACAAGGACAAGTTTGAGAAGGCAAAGGTGTTCGGTGCCACCGAGTTTGTCAACCCTAACGACCACAGCAGACCCATCCAGGAGATGCTGATTGAAATGACTAATGGGGGAGTGGACTACTCCTTTGAGTGTGTGGGCAATGTTACTTTAATGGTGAGTTCAGCCTCTAAAGATTTTGTATTTCCTGTGGAAATATCATAGGGAGTCATTCAGGGCTGTATTTTATCACTTGACTTATTTGAAAATACATTAAAAGACTTCAGCAAGTAACAAAGAACCACTCCAAATAGAAGTAAATGTAGAGATACCGATGTGACCGAATGTGAAGATTGAGGCTCCTTCTTTCTAGCTTGCCAACAGCTATATCACCCTGCAACTCACAACCGGCAACCCACTTGAGCTCAGTAGGTATGAGCCTGCCCACTACCTGGAAGGGAGACCTCCTGGAAAAGCTAAGAAAACATCTGGAAAAGGTGTTAGTGAGACCAGTAGGGAATGTTCACCCTGTGCTTTGAGAGGAGTGTCAGACCTTTTTCACAAGTATGACTTCTAGATTGGGCAACACTCAGGAAAAGATGTCTATCTATCCTGTAACCACATCAGGTGTCTAATCCATGTTTATCTTGGTGATATATGTATATCCCATGGTGCTGTCATTAGCCACCAGTATTTAATAAAGAAAAATAGTTTGTATGAAACACTCTTAAGCCTTGCTCTTCAAATAAAACAAAGATTAACAGATGCTCCTCTCAAGTACACTGGTAATAGATCGATTTCCGCCACTTTTGAGGCCCTCTGGTGACCTCAGGTGGAACTACACCGCTCTCATGTGGCTGCCTTGTTGCATAACATGGATCTCTGGTTGAAAAAACACACAGGCAATTTAGAGACACTAGCAACCTAAGCATGACTTCAGGAATTGAAAAGCAAGCACAGCGCCAGGTGAAAACCCACTGCACCTGGCGAAAACCCATGAGGAAAGAGAGCGAACATGCAAATTCTGCACACAAGGTTCCCCAGTCCAAAATTAAACCCAAGACTCAAGAGCTACAGGACCGTGCTCCCATTTATCTGTTCACCTCTGTCCCATATACGGTATGATTTTGGACTTTTGCTCTTGCCCCGCTTTCTTCTGTTTTGGCAAATTTGTTTGCGTTTGTTGAAATGGTAGGTTAATTATTATCAAATTAAAAATTTAAGCAGTCACTCTTCCGGTGCTACAGCAGAAAATCTCTTGCTGACAGAATGAACAAAAAGATTACTATTCCAAGTGGCATGGTGGTGCAGTGGTTAGCATTGCTGTTTTGCAGTGCTGGGGCCCTGGGCTTAATTCTGCATATAGGGTGCTATCTGCATGAAGGTTGTCTATTCTCCCCCCTGTTTGCATAGGTTTCCTGTGGGTGCTCCAGTTTCCTCCCATGCTTCAAACAGATTAAATAGCTTCTGGGAACATTTGCCCTGGTGTGAGTGTGTGTGTCCTGCAACAAACGGGCCAAGGTGTATCCTCCCTTGTGCCTGCTGCTTTCTGGGATAGGCTCTAGCTTCTACAACGACCCCCTGAATTGGATTTAGTGGTTAGAAAATGGATGGATGGGATTTTCACTTCTCGCACTTCAGGACACATTCCACATCTGATACATTTCTAAATTGGACGACGCACATCTTTTTTTCTGGTCGTTCTTCACTGACATTGAGAGATATCAGATCGTACAAATGCAACCATCCCATTTTCAAATGTTTTCTTTTTTTCCCCCCACATCCAGAGGAGTGCCCTGGAGTGCTGTGTGAAAGGCTGGGGAGTCTGTGTCATTGTTGGGGTGACAGAGCTCAACGACATTTCTACTCGGCCAATGCAGCTGCTAAATGGTCGCACCTGGAAGGGGTCGTTGTTTGGTGGTGAGTATTCTAACTGGTTCTTTACTTTCTCCTTGTCTGCCAACCTGTGATCAATGATAAACTAATAAAGAAAGAATACATTAGGGTTGACCCGAATGTATAATTGCCTTTCTGTCGAAAGATGCATGATCAGAAAAGATCACTAGTTTCAAGAGTGAAAAAAAGGCCTGAGCCTGTTTCACCATGAAAACTGATGAATGTCCATAGTAAAGGCATCTTTCATAGTCACAGCCACAAATTAATAAGTACATTTACCTTTAAATAACTTTTTTCCTCCAGTATGTTGTCTAACTATTTGCTGTGATAGGCCTTCTGCCATAAACATCCTCCTATTGGCCATATTAACCAAAAATGCATTAAGTTTATTTTTTTCTTAGTACTGTGCTAATTCGTGGCTTGGATGAAATCATTCTGTGGTCCAATTTGGAATGATTCATGAATGTGCTTTAACAATTAACATAAAAAATGGGAACTAATGGCAGATTACTCATATTTCTCTTTACAAACCTTGATGATTTAAACTCTCAATAAATATGTGGATATTTATTTAAACCAATATTTTATAAAAACAGAAACTGACCATCAAATAATAATATTAATTCTTATTTCCATATGCTGTTAATAAGATGCTTGTGGTAATGTATGTTATGAACAGCACATTCAAGTGAAGACTAGTAAATACTGTTCTTTTTGCCATAGGCTGGAAGAGTTTGGATAGCGTGCCTCAGTTGGTGGAGGACTACATGGCAAAGAAACTTATGCTGGATGAGTTTGTGAGCCACACACTGCCCTTAGATGGAGTGAATGAGGCCTTTAACCTCATGACCAGCGGAAAAAGGCAAGCTCTCTTATTTTAAACTGTACTCTTGCTCGCAGACATACCAAATCTAGAAAAAGAAATAATACCTCATTGTGTGTAGTTCAAGTCCCCATAATGAACAAGTACTGTAAGTGATAAATGTATGCAGTTTTTGCCCTCCTAGACAAAGTCTGACAATACATCTGTAATAGCACTTCATAGCAGTAGGAAGTTTCATTCTTCATTTATTTTTAGTATTAATTTTTGTATAGCTGAGTTTGCTTACACAAATTTTACAAGTGAAGTTAATTGTTTTCTTTGCAATGTCAGACAGTAGTCAAGTCTCAGAGAGAATTGGATTTCAAAACTTCTCAGTGTTAATACACAAAAGTTAATATAAGTAGTGTCGAAACTCATACTTGACAGGCTGCAAGATGGCTCTCTCGCAGGGCCGATGCAGGTGGCGACACAACCAGGTCAGGGTGCTGGAGACCAAGAGGCGGGAGGCAAAGGGAAAAAAAAATCCTCCATTAGCATCACAGCAGGTTGTTTTTCGTCAGGCAAGGTCAGGAGGTGGGGGAGTGCAGAAGTAGTGTAACATCAAAGATCCTCACTAGAAGATGGAGGTGGACCTCGGCATGTTCCCTAGGGAAATCTGCAGCATGGCATTGTGCCCTGATATAGTGGTGTGGTCAGAAGAGAGTAAGACCATACTGCTGTTAGAACTGACAGTCCCTTGGGAGAAGGGCATGGAAGCTGCAGAGGTACTCTGACCTCAGAGCAGAATGTCGAACCCTTAGTCTACCAGGTGGCAGTTGGATGCTGAGGTTTTATAAGCACATCAGTGTTACACGCCCTCAGAGATGTGGGAGTGGCTAGCATAACATTGAAGAGGCCAGCAAAGGATCTAGTGGAAGAGTTGGAAAAAGGAAGGTTCTGGCTATGGCTGAGGAGAAGAGATAGGAGCTGGGGGCCAAAAACCTCTGATTAGGGAGGGGCCAGCTGCAGGGGGTGGCGGGGAGATGTCCCTGTCACTGCCCCGCCACGAGGACGTGTACTGGGGTAAGGGGGAGAAACGTCGATGAATGGTGGTCCCCCAGCTGAAGACCCTGTAGCTGGCCTCCAAGCAGGAGGTGTGGCAGGTGAAAGCTGTGCAGGTTAAGATCCTCCTGTATAGATGATGTTCCTATTTCATGTATGTCAAGAATACAGAGTAAGATTGAAGTCAGGAAAGGCAGAAAGAAACATTTTGACAGGACAGGACAGGGGCAAATCTTGAGTAAGCACATGTACAATACTGCATATCTTACTGAGATGTTTGCAGCAACATGAAACCATTAATACCCCAGAGTTTCTTGGTGTAGTAGTCCCTTGGTCATTTGGTACACAATGGTATTGGTGCTGTATTTTACAGTCATAAACCACATATGTGGTTACCGTGCTGCTACTGAGACACTGTGCCGTTTTTTTTTCTCTGTATAGATGCATTTGGCAGTTAAATGGACCTATTAGAACTATGTGTTCAGCAGCAGCCGATTCAGATTATTTTGCTGTATAATAAGTAGTATTAAGAGGTGGCTACTGGATCAGAGCAAAAAGATGACCATCGAAGAACATCCATTCACAAATCTTTTCCAAATACAAAAATCTTTTTTGTATTTCAGCATTCGGACGGTTTTGATAATGCAAGGAAAATAAGATGAAGCTCGAAGGGACTTCCCTGGCCCTCTGCTCAAGCTCCTTGGAATCATCCTCATACTTTTGTGTATTTCGGTATTAATTTCATTGTTAGTCGTGGTGATTAAGTGCCTGGGAAAAGATACACAACATAAATAAAGACTTTTCAAACCTTATTTTTCTTGTCCATTCATAATAATTCAACTATTGAGAGTTCACTTAAAATGACTAATAAGTATGATTATTTTGTACTAAGGAATATACTGGTGAAAAAATAATAAATAACAAATATTAGGAGTACACATGCTAATGAACAGACTCTCAATAGCTGACTGTGCACTGCTGACTTGAATAAAGTGAGGCGAACTTCCATCTTCTTCCCAAGATAGGATAATCCCAGACTTGAACACAAGTGGTGAAACGTACAACCTCAAATAAAGGTGATGCTAGCAGAGGAATCAGATGTCACTGGGCTTCAGGTATTGCTTCGAACTAGAGCTGAGGCCCCTCAAAATAAATGTACACTGCTCTCAAGCCATAGACAATGATATTTAAGAGAATGAAGAAATTGATGATAAAGAATATTAAAAAACAAATATTGACTGTATATAGCATGGCTCTAAAAAGTGTTTTGTCCACTTAAGCACTCAATCAGACTTTATTCATGCTAGATTTGTGCTTTTTCTACATCTCCATGTTTTTGTCTTTTTTCTTGGAGTTACCCTGACATCTGGTGGAGATGCAAAGGAAATCATTCTGTGGTCCAATAGAGAGAAAAAGAAACACAACATTTTGGCTGAAACGTTGTGTTTCTTTTCTTCTCTTTTCAGCATGGAATAAACCTTTACTTGTTCCTTTGCAGCCTACGCATGCTGACGCAGCTACCTACTTGAACTATCTAGTGGAGATGTGAATAAAAGGATAGATAAACCAGAGGTTTGCTGTTTTTCTTTCTCTGAAAAAGGATAGATGATGGAAAAACATTCTGCTAATATTGTGACTCCCTCAAAAAATGGCTACATTAGAAATTCGGAATACAAATATTACCATATTTTTATAAATCTACCAGCGTAGAGATGTGTCAATTGGTCAGGGGTTGATTTCCAATTTTAATGTACACATTGGAAATAAATCCCTCTTAAAACTCCAAAGTGAAAAGTGGTCCTCAAACCTGTGATGTGTGACTTGTGATAGATTTCTTCCAGCTAAACTACATCTGTAAAACCTTAATGGAATCTGGTTCCTCCTTAAAAAAGTGAATACACTGCAGCAGTTAAGACAACATCATAATAAGAGTATAATAATCCTTCACTTAAGCAGTGAATTCAGTTAAGAACAAATTCTCATTTACAAAGCCATTCTGGAGAAGAGTTTCACACTATTGTTACACTGAACACAAAGCGCAGAAAAGGAAAAATCAATAGAATGTAACATAACACTAACAGGATGTGGCAGTGTGAATTAGTGCCATCACTCAGATACAAAGGTGGATAGCTTAAACTCACTCTGCAGATTGCCTAGATCACTGGTTCTCTAAATTCTATGGTCTGCGAACCACTTACATCACAGACGTGGTGGACCACCTATGCCTACGTCCACTTCTTACCCTGTAAAAATCATCACCTATTAATGCACTTAAATTAATATTGAATTCAATTTTATGAAAGTACTGATGTTTTTATAGACAAAATTGCATATTTTGCAAATGTTTTTATTAGTTGAAAAGTTAATGTGAAGAATGGAACTGCTTACACTTGCTTTAAGAAAGATGACAAGGGCAGCCCGCAGACCACCATTGGTGCACAGAACACACTTTGAGAACCTCTGGCCTAGATCACTATCAAATTGCTCTTGGGAGATTGTTCAATAAAAATGCTGTATTTTTGTAGAATGGCAGAGAATTGCAATACATTTGGAAGACAGTACAGAGTTATTTCCAATTAAAGATTTGTAAATTATGTTAAGTAATTGAAGCAATCATCTAGCATGAAAAGAGAAAAACAAATTTGCATTTAAAGCTCAATGTCAGTTTGTAAATTTAGGCTTATAATGCAGATGAAAAAGTAAAAGATTTTAGGACATTTTCCAAACAGTGTGCAGTTTTGTGTGTTTGAAGGGCACAGTTCCTGTGTTTTGTAGCTATAACATTTATAACACAGCTATAAATGTAGAAAGCATTTCTCTGGAGCAACATTTCCTATTCATATTTCACATTTTAACTGAAGTATATTAAGCTTTTTCTCATTATACTAACTTTCCATCATACATTTTACAGAACATTCTGTATTTGTCACAATATACAGTACAATATGTATTCTGTAACAGTTAGAGCATGACTTTGCCTTAAAGAGATTTGACTTATATTTGGGACAAAGTTGTTTGTATTGTGATATTTATTAATTTCTTTTCCTGGGCAATATCAGCACCTCAGAGAATTAAAATCACAATGATCACAATGATGAGGGCAACAGTGGTCACCAGTGCCATTAAAACTAATGGAAGAATGGTGTAAGATATCACAGAGGGCATCACAAATCATTATAGCATTAACATAGAGAAGACAGCAATAAGGACCTTTTCCCCAATCATCACATAAAGAAGTATACAGCCTTCTATCTTGACAATGTAACAAAAAATCATTTTTGGCATAATGAATATATAGCAAATCAATTAGCTGTACTCTAAGGCCTGGAAACAAAGACAGGCAAGGCTGAGAAGCCCAAGGCAGCATTTTTCAGGACATCATTATTACAAATACGATAAAGACGAGACACTTAAATAAATTCCAACACTTGCAGTGATACTCTTGGCAAAATTTCATAATTTGAAGTCCTGAAGCCCTCCTTCATTCATGATCCCCCCCATCACCACCAGTGCAAAAAAGGCATTGTTTCATAGATCCAGTACACCTGTAGCCTACAGTATGTCTCTCCCCTGATCAGAACCAATAGATTGGTGCTCTGGAATCAATTCAGAGATAATCAACTAGATACATTCACTTACTCTTTAGTCATGTAGTCTGATCATGTTAGATCTCAGAAGCTAAGGAAAGCTGGGCCTGGTGAGTGAGGGGTTGGGAGACCTCCAAGGAAAATCAGATTCCTGCTGTAATTAGGGTGGGGTACCTGTAGGTGGCACTCTTGACCACCTTCTGGACCACACTTCACACTGTTTACTACATTGGAACTGGGAACACTGTGAACAGATCACTTTACTGGCCATATACATTTTCTTGCATTTGTCTTTTCACATACCCCAACTTACTCTCCATGAGACACACAGACAGGGAGAGAAGCTTGGGGTCAGAGTGCAGGGGCAGACATTTATATAGTGCCCCTGGAGCAGTTAGGGTTAAGGGCCTTGCTCAGGGGCCCAACGGAGTAGGATCCCTCTTCTGGCCAAAGGATACAAACTAGCAACCTTCAAGCCACAGGCACAGATCCTTAGCCACAGAGCCACTGCACCTCTCAACTGCAGGTACCATACTTCAGATGAGATGTAAAACAAAGTCATTGTTAAAAATCCCTATGGCACTGTTACTAAATACTGAGGTGTTATCCCCAGCATTCTGGCAGTATTCTGCTTTGGGTTTGCTCAATTAGTAAAGTAATTTCCCAGTTCTCTGCATGATCTGCTGTGAAGTTGGGCTGCCTACAGAACAGCTGTTGTGTGTCACCCTTGTTAGGTGCTGTACTTCACTAGTGGATGAAATGGATTCTCTCTTCAGTTTAAACTGTTTTGGGATCCTTTTGAATGAGGAGGCCGTAACTTTTAACATTCAAGTCATCAAAGGCAGTGACTTAGTCAAAACAAGAGTCCTTCAGAATCAACCATGTAACATAAATCGCAGTACAGAAATAGAAACTAAAGGGAAATGCATTTATAACTGAGCATAGGAGGCACATTATGTGCAGAGGGTTGTGAAAGTCTATAACAAGCTTTCCAGCCATGTTATCAAAGTTGGCAGCTGATTTCTTTCACAAAACATTTAGATGACATGTTCAGATTAATTTGCTTTTAGTATTCAAAAGAACTACATGGGCCAAATGATGTTCTATTAACAGTTCTTATATTCTTAATACTGATTTTCCTATTGGATTTGCAAGTTATCTATTTCAGGGTTTATTGAACAGTCACTCATCGTAACAAAGTGGCAGTTACATTAAGCAATACAATATCTCGCCTCACGTGATCGGCTGTAGAGTGGTGGCACATTATCACCCAGGTGGCTTTATGTACTTTGTGTGAAGTAGTTTTGCTCCTATATGCAAAGATTTAACTGTAATGAAATAACTAATCAAAAACTTGGCATGTAAGTGTCTGTTAGTTATACTGTTTAGTACCACTAAACCCATTGATCAGATATTTTTCCTACTAGTCCTGAAACAGCTCCAGATGACTCGACAATCTGCTCAATGGGACCGTTTTGGTCGGCCATTTGAAAAAGAGTGAAGGACCTCAAATGACTTATTCAAATTTCAGCTATACACACACCGTGTTTTATTTTTTATATAAATCAAACATTTCTCTAAATATGACTGAATAAAAAAACTAGACTGCTACAGTTATCACAGCATCAGTATGATAAAACAAAACCACTACGTTTTGATTAGTTGTATGTCAGCACGAAACAGGTAAACCGTGCTCTTCTTCAAGTTTCCTGTTGCTTTCTAAATCTGCAATTTGATTGGTTTGTTATTGATTTATACAGATTCCCGGGAGCTGCTTCGAGTCTCTTGCTGAGGGAGAAGGAACATGGAGACTGCTGGCAAAGTGAGTGGGGTTTGTCTTTATTCTTTGCAAAAAAAACTCACTCTCGACAAATAAGGCTTTGCCGATAATTTATGTACATTTTGCATGAAAAATATGCTCACTTTAGCGAAATATTTAATGTTCTTGCAAGCGGTTGTATTGGGGAGAAGACGGTTATCCAAAATGTGGTTGCCTTGGCAAGTAGGTTCAAAGAGATACCGTTTTAAATGGGCGCATTTTAATACAACAGAAAGAAATCGTACAGATCAGAGTTCAGATTTGGTCATCTGACTTATATTTGCAATGCTATTTACATGAAAAAGGTTGCCACGGCCTAGTACAGTACATTTAAAAGTTTAACGCAAAGAGGGCTGTTATATACTGTATACTGTAAAAATAGATGTTGAACCTGAACTTGACACAAGTATTCTTCAGTACTTTATGAGTTTTGGATTATCTGTAATACGTGTACATTCAGTCCAGAGTATTTACTAAGCAATTGTAAACCTTGTATCATTGTTATTTTATTCATATAAGTTAAATTAATTGACAATTGTGTTTTGTTCGATTTCAACTGTTTTGTTCGCAGCGATTAACAGGGTAGAATTGCTCTAGGCGTGTTTAGAAAATAATATTTATTTCCTCTGTGAAAGCCAAGAGAACATTGTTCATGCGTTGAAGTTAACGGATGTAAACGCATCTATTTTAATTACAGTTGCATAAAATCCCTTTGGCATAAATTAAAAGGGCGACAACTTTTTATAAAGGAAAATGCATGTCTGTTAATTCACTTCATGTCATTTATACCAGAGACATGAACATTATTAGCAATATTCTACATGTTGCATTAGTATTTTCAGTTATGGAACAGTACAGGGGTCTGTACTGCCTTGAAAGTTGTAGAGACAGAAATTGTGCAATCGCATGATTTGGCAAATAGAGAGACGCTGAGTACCGTATTTTCTCAAACTATTTACACTATATCTCCTCTCTACAACATTTTTCCATGGTATGGAATGGGTTCTCACTATACGGGTTTAAATTAGGATTGTTAACACAAAGTCGACTGGGGATAGTTAATGTAATGCACTGAGTTTGTATGAAGGTTTCAAAGTATCGCATTTAATTAAGTGAAAATGACAGTATTGGTAATTTTAAATCAATTTTTAAAACCAGTTAGTAAACCAAATGTCCTTATGTGAATTAAGAATTTTATTCCTCTCCTATGTTGTGCATTGGCGTCTTTAATTTCCTTATACAAATTGATGGATTAATTCGTACACATTCTTACGGCATAGTGAAGTTTGATGTGCCTTTGAAAGTACAACCCCGAAATTTATTTAATGCACTTCTGATATGCTTGAAGAAATATAATATAGTACCAAAGGTGAGATTTTTAAATGTTTTTTAAATGAACGTAAAGTTGCTTTGCAAACCGTAACATCTCAAAGAAAGTCTGGGTGCAGCAAAATTATTCGCATGTCTGAAATGATTTTTAGGTCATTAAATGCAAGGCTGCTGTCGCTTGGGAGGCTGGGAAACCCCTGTCCATCGAGGAGGTGGAAGTCGCTCCGCCCAAGGCTCATGAAGTTCGCATTAAGGTAACTACTCGCATTTCCTAATGGATTGCCTTGGAATGAATTTTCACTTAACAGATTCCGTGATTAACATAACAGGGGCCTCCTAACTGAGAATTTAGTTATGACACTGTTTGTAAACGTGTCCAAAAAAAAACCCACCTCTAAGTGGGACCATGTAGTGGACATGATAAATCATGTAAGAGGAACTGGCTAATCACGGAGCTGCACATTGGAATTCTCCTGTACTTTTTATGTTGCCGCCTTGCACGATTCCTAGTTGCTTTTTGTCATTAAAGAGAAATGGGTGGGAGGAAATACACCAGTCTGCTGAGGTGCAGTTATTTTTGTTTTCTAGTTACAAAAAGGATTAGCATTGTATTCCTTAAGCATCATTTATATATTACGAAATTACTCCATGTATTCCATACATGGAGTAATTTAGTAATATATAAATGATGCTCATTTGACAGTCTGTCATAGGTTAAGTCTCACTCACACTCACACACACACGGGTCTTCTTGTCATAAAATGTGTTAATTTTATAACAAGTTATTGTCACCTTGAGAGTATATGCAGGTACAATATATTATATTTAATAAAGAAAAGCCATCTTAGGCCTGCCAATCAAACTTCTTCAGATTTTCTCAGACCACAAGAGACATGGTAGGAGACCATCGGTTACATGATGTATTACCTTACGAACATGTTCTACAGTATATAATATTTACATTGTGTACCACCTTTGGCAGTATCTATTTAAAGAACTGTAAAATCCAATTAATGAGTTCCTGTGTGAGTCATAAGTTCTGAGTAACAGAATTCATGATAAATTACTTGCTTTTCATGTTGCTTTCTGTGACTGTATACAAGTAAGCAGAAGTACAACTGTAAATATTCCCTAAGAGCCACTAAAATCACAATACTAAACTTTCTGTACTGTTTCAATGGCTTTATAAGTTAAATCATTGTATATTTTGGTATCGCAGTTCATAAATACCTTAGCTGTAAGCAAAGCTGTTACTTTTTTCTCCCTTTCAGCAAAATATTTCAGGACTGGAAGAGTAAATTTACAAATGTGTTATTTTATTTATACGTTTGGTTGTGCTGTTCATGGCAGAGTAAATGACGGGTCTGTGACGGGCTGTCTTGTAGCTGATCGCCACTGGAGTGTGTCACACTGATGCCTACACTCTGAGTGGAGCCGATCCTGAAGGGCTCTTCCCTGTGATTCTGGGGCACGAAGGGGGTGGGATTGTGGAGAGTGTTGGAGAAGGAGTGACCAGATTCAAACCAGGTGGGATAATCCCGGAAGTTCCAAACACTTTCTGTTAACCATGTTCCAGAAGGTTCCCCTTTATAGTTTCTGTAATTTACATTGGGCAGAAAAATGTTTTGTATGCTTGTGACCTTTGAAGAAAGAAATCTACCTACTACTATGTTTTAAGTACATTTAAGTCCATATAGTAAACACAGGGAGGTGATCTGTTGTTTCTGCTTGAGAGTAATTGGAGGCTGCAAAAAAAAAATGGCATATAGCACTATTCAGAATATATAAAATACACTGAACGAATTGCTATTAAAGCTTTTTCCTTATGGGTTGTTTTGGCTAAATGAGCAGGTGTTCCCAAAACTTAAAGTGCTACTGGTGTTTGTGTGTTTTAATTTGCGATCCAAGGAGGCGTTATCAAAAGATGTGGAGAGCAGTGCAGTGCCAAGGTAAACAAAGTGGGCAGAAGGTGACCTTTCCTGGGCATATATGGAGGATTTGTATGTGACTGGTCAGTCTATCACCAGCCAAAATGTCTTTAAAAAGCCACTGATAATCATGCACATACTATATGGATCATTTCAAACAGTGTGGAAGAGCTCCCTGATCTGTAATGCTCACTAGTTTGCCATGAGGCAATCAGATGCACAGTCAATGCTCTCAGTCACAGTTTTGAATACTCCAGTAATTTAGAGTGGCTTGTTCACCACCTTGGCACCTTAGGACTCATCCTGTGCTACTCAGTATGGTATACTGTAGTGCGAAGGTTATCTACGAAGATATTTAATTTTGAATGTAGCTGACTTAGTCAAAAAGTTTCTATAGTATGTGACAAAGAATCCTGACTGTTCTCACATTTCCATCTCTAGGAATGTCCTAAAATTATTTGGCTTTTTTTAAGGAGACAAAGTCATCCCCTTGTATATTCCTCAATGTGGAGAGTGCAAGTTCTGCAAAAACCCGAAAACCAATCTGTGTCAGAAGATAAGGTAAACCGGCCTTTAACTGTATACTCATGATGACTGGAAACTTGCAGTGTGGAACATCTGATTCGGGAATCTAAATAAGATTTTTTTTTATTTTACCATTTCTCAAGTTCTGCTTTAAAATATTTGATGACAACTGCTGTCATATACTGTAGATAAGGGGCACGTAAACCACCATTACTTTCCAGCTGTTTAAACATCAAAAGTAATGGAATAGTATTTTAATCTCAGAAATAACTGAAGTAAAGAAGAGAACATTGTGAAAACATCTTTCAGCTTAATACCTCAAAGTGACCTATACATTGGATTCACAAGACTTTAAAATTCATTTTTTTAATTAAAAAAATCCAGTACTAATGGAAAAATGATTACTGTTTTGAATTTGAAGATGACAACCCTTTAGCTTTCACTCTGTATCAGTTGTCTGTGTACTGGGAAGCCTCTTATCCCAGTTATTGTAGTAACAGAGGAGATAACCAGTTGTAAAAAGTCAACACGCATTATACAAAAGTGCTTAGACTGCCCAAATCAAGCAAGGACATTGAAGATGCTAAAAAAATGAGAACCTATGAAAAAATATCTCCTCTTCCTGGGATGTGTGTCCTTCCTTGTCAAGTGTTGCAGAATTAGCCAACATGCATTGTCTGCTCTGTTTTGCCTTTTCTGGACAGGGTCACCCAGGGGCAGGGTCTGATGCCTGACAAAACCTCCAGGTTCACCTGCAAAGGCAAGCAGGTGTTCCACTTCATGGGCACCAGCACGTTTTCTGAGTATACGGTGGTCGCTGACATTTCTTTGGCCAAGGTGGATGAGTCTGCCCCCCTGGACAAGGTCTGCTTGCTGGGCTGTGGCATCTCCACTGGGTATGGAGCAGCCCTCAACACTGCCAAGGTGAGAGGCTGCTGTCTTTCAAACTATAGACTCTTGCCATGGTCAAGTGTTAGATTAATTGTTTCATTTGAGTTTTTACAATGGGTGTCCCATATGTGTATGGCTTAACTATGAAGCATGAGCCAGAATTTGTATCTGAAAGGACTGAAACAGCAATGTTATTACCTCATCTATGGACTAAGCAAGACTAGGATGGGAGAATTCTCAGGCTACCTGTGTATTCTATATTCTGTTGGCAGAGCAGAAAGTCTTTGTTTTAGTTAGAATTTCAAAACCAGTGCCTTATTGTGTGTGGGACGCTGTGCTGTATGAGCTGTTGTCCTTGAGATAAGATGTTAAATCAAAGTCCTGACCACTTGATCATTAAAGATCTAATATTTTACTGTAAGAATAGGGGTGTTACCCTCACTGTCCTGACTACGTCTCCACCTTAATTTGAGTAGTGAAGTAATTTCTCTCATGTTCAGCTTGTCTACTTGCTGGCTCTGCTGGTGTGCAATGGCTGTCAGGTGTCCCCCAGGTTGAGGTGGTGCTCTTCAGTGGTGGGTGGACCAGGTCACATTCTAAATATGAAGTGCTTTGGGATAAAAAGTGTTACATAAATGTAAGGTATTGCAGTCAGTCAAAACTGCTATTTTAGTTGTTTTGTGTAGTTGTACTTTTAGGTGCAAATACTTCATGACTGCTGTTATTCCGTTTTGTTCCATTGTTGGAAAAACAGAGGAGGTTCTATGAAAAATAGCCACTGTCTGGAACGAACAACAAAGATTGAATGTTTGTTCAACATTGAATGTTTCCATTATTGTTACCTCCTTATCAGAAAGCTGGTAAGAGTTTTGGCAGCCCAGACCTTATCCTGGTAGCAGAGGAGACAGTAACACTGGTGCGTTGCAGGGACTTAAACACTTAAACTGGGACAATTTAGAGGTTTAACGTAAGAGCATATTCAGCACGTCTTCAGAATGTGAAAGGAAATGGCTATACCTGGCAAAAATCCATGTTTACATGGGGACAATATGCAAACTCTGTAAAGAATGGCACCCCAATCTGGAATTGGACCCTGTGTGGTGTTAACCATAATGCCACAGTGATTACCACTGAAGTAACAGTATATAAATTACACTGTATTCCAGCTTCATAATCAGGATGGATATTTATAGAATACCTCTCACATTATAAGGCAATCTAAAATTCCAGGCAGTTTTAACCAATGAGGAGGCAAACAAGTCTGGGTGTTTGCTAAAAACGTTTGTTTTATATTTTGGAATAACATGGCATACTCTTGCTGTTCTGTACAGTATGAAGGCTTTTGCCATAATAGTGAAAAACTTTAGGGATATGGGTGAGAGGAGCTGAGAGGTGTATAAACCCTTGGTTGTTTAATTATTAGTGTTATTTATTAAAGGTGCTGACTGGCTGTTCAGGTACACTATTGAAACCTGATTGGTCATGCATCACTGGTTGTTCTCCATTCATGAAAAAGAAATCTCTCCAGGATTTGTGGCGTCTCCAGCATTTTTCTTTAGAAGTGCTTGAGTCAGAAAGCAACTATGTTCTGGCATGATTTCAGCTGCCGTGCTATAGTGCATTTTTCTTACAGCAGTACTTGAAGTACTAAAGTAAATATTTTAATCAAGTTTGATACTGTAATGTTGACGTGATTTGTAGTTTCCCCTCATACAGCAACAACAACAAAAATTAACTCGGAATGATCAGCATTTAAGAAAGGAAATTTGGAAGATGTTGAATGCCAGTTTTTCAAGTATCTTCTGTAGCTGGAATTGAGCAGATGTTTTAGTTGACTTTATGTAGGGGAAGAGGTGAATTTTTGTATACAGACGGACAATGTTTGTTTGCCATAAATGAAAGACTCAAAGTTACACAACACCAAAGCAAACAATTTCTCATAGTTATCCCTGACTGAACCCAAATAAATACCACAAGATGTATGAGAGTTGAAGTCCAGAGCTTAAGAAGATCAAATGACGACCAATGCTTTATTTACCTTTCAGAAAATGAAATGGAATATTGTGGTAAATTAGGACTCCCATGTACTTTTGGGAAATGTGACACTTCTAATTTTGCTCTTAGGTTGAGCCCGGCACCACCTGTGCAGTTTTTGGCCTGGGAGCTGTAGGTCTGGCTGTGGTGATGGGCTGTAAGGCTGCAGGAGCCTCTAGGATCATTGGGATCGATATCAACAAAGACAAGTTTGAGAAGGCCAAGGAGTTCGGCGCCACTGAGTTCGTCAACCCCAAGGACCACAGCAAACCCATCCAGGAGGTGCTGATTGAGCTGACCGACGGTGGGGTGGACTACTCCTTTGAGTGCATTGGCAATGTGGGCATCATGGTGAGTATGCTCAAGACCATCCATCCATCCATCCATCCATCCGATTTCTAATCCCTTCTTCCAAGTCAGGGTCGCAGAGGAGCTGGAACTTATCTTGGAAAGCAGCGGGCACAAGGCTGTGTTCTGGCCGTATTGTAAAAATGAAATGCGTTTTCCCTTAGCCTTCCAGCTACAACCTTCGTAGTCCCATCCCTGCAGTGGAATTTCCGATTTAATTCCTTAATTGATCTCATGCTTTCCCTTGGAAATGAACCGCGCCAAATCCCAAACTTAATTGTAGAAAAAAAGAAAGCGCCAAGGACGTTTCTTGAGATGACTGCTCACAGGCTTTGCTGGCCTTATTAAAGTGGTATGTAAATGTCATTGATGTCAACAAGATTTAATACTGCAGCTTCTACATATTGAAGCATGGTGCATTTTAAAATTCAAAACAAGGTTTTATTAAAAATCACAAACCTTAATTAGGTTGTTCAATGTAAAAAATGTCAACTCATAATTGCCTGTAAGGGATGATTATCTAGTCTAGGAAGACAACATGGATATTGACTCATTATGAAGAGGCATGCTTCTGTAATATTGCCTTTCTGTGAATTGTGATGATAGGTTGGTATATAATCAAGATCTACCTCACAGATTTCCTCTGAAAGGACAGGGCTTTTTCAGTACTTTATGATTCTTTCATAATTACATGATACAAGTGCCAGATAAACCAAAGTTTAAATGAAGAACATGGTACCTATATGCCTTGATGGGGAAAGTGCATGGATGCTTAATGAAAATTCAACTAAGGTTTACGTCGGTAAAACATCATTGGATACCCAAATATTACGTTCAAGTCTGGCCATGGCCGGCTTTTTATCCTGAGATGTTCGTGTCTGCCACAAGCTGCAAGTAAACCAAATATTTGGGATATACCAAATGGAATTCACTTTAAAAGAAACTCACATTGAGTTTAATTTTCCGGGAGTGAAGGAAACCAATCCCAAACTGAAGTTAATTTGCAAGTGAATTATGATTTGAATCCCTAAATGAACCACTGATCTCTTCCTAGCGGTGCTGTACAGCATGTAGTGCACAACAGAGAAGAGTATATTTTTGTGTTAATAAATTGGTCAAATTCACACCCTGTGCACTGCTTTGTAAAAAGGACATCGTTTCGGAGAAGAAATGGGGTAAATGAGCATTCCCATGTGTTCCAGAGAGCGGCTCTGGAGGCATGCCATAAAGGTTGGGGAACCAGTGTAATAATAGGAGTGGCTGGGTCAGGACAAGAGATCTCCACCCGCCCATTTCAGCTGGTTACAGGACGCACCTGGAAGGGAACGGCCTTTGGAGGTGAGAGGTCTTCAGCAAAATCGCACTTGTGGAGGCATTCCTTAATGAACACATGCTTGCTCTGGTTAACCATATTTACAATGTGAATGTTTCAGTTCAGGCTATGAATGATTAAAAAAGAATGAATCAAGCTGTTAAATAACTTATTCCATTCACAGATTTTAACAACGCTTTATAATGTTCACCATGCAATAAAGGTGTCACTTGTGTTCATTACCAGCTATGCAAAACTTGAGATACAAGATTTTTGCCAAATGAAAGACATTTATATCACATTCCCAATATCTTGATGTTCGTGCAGAAAAAGGTAAATGGAGGCAACTTACAATGAGCCTATTTAAAGTATTTGCTTTTACACGTTGCAAGAATATAAGTCAGGTCACAAATGAGAAGAAGCCATTTGGCTCATCTAGCCTGTTTGGTACTTAGTAGTTCGTACATTTCAAAGATGTGCTGACTAGGTTTATAGGAGTCTCTACATTCTATGTGCATTTGCCCTACAGTGGACTAGCATCCCATATGAGACGTAACTACCTACCCACTACTACTCTCACCTTGTGTCCACTCTTTCCGGCTCTGGTTTGCCACAACGTCTTCCAGGATAAGATGGCTGTCTGATGATGGAGAGTGGATGTATTTGGAGGGTCACAAAGGTGACTGACTTGAAAGGTGTAAATAAGGCCAAAGATGGTCTTCCACAGCTAAAGCTCTGTTTTGTGGTTCACACTGTACAGGCTGGAAGAGTGTGGAGAGTGTACCTAAACTGGTCCAAGATTATTTGGCAAAGAAGCTGAAGGTAGATGAATTTGTGACCCACACCTTGCCATTTGATAAAATCAATGAGGGTTTTGACCTCATGCATGCGGGAAAAAGGTAAAGTGACTCTAAAGATTTTGTTTAACTTTTACATCCAAGCAAGAGGAGAACTGGAGCCTGGAGTGAATAACCATTTGCTATCTAGAACTTAATTTAAAATTTAAAATGCACTCCTCTTGTTTGCAAGGTTAAGAAAACTATACAGCAATACCTAATTCACTGCCATGATCATTACAGTGAACATGACACATGGTAGCAAGGAGTGATGGGCACCAAAATTGCCATTTTGATTTAGATTTTTCAGTTATTTTTCAGTTTTACACTTTGTTGAAATATCTGTCACGAAGTTAGCATATCTTGTTACGGTTGTACATTCACATTCTTGCCATGATATACACTTTTTTTCCATGTCCTTTCTTTAAATTGCAGATATTGATATTGTCAGAGCCTGATTGTAACTACCTACCCACTACATGTTCCTTAAGAAGCATTAGGTTATTGGCAGTTTTTTCAATTTAAAAAGCCTCAATTATGGTGACATGGAAATGTTTTACTTATGACTCGAATCATGAAGGAATCTAGAGTCAAACAATTGACAGTAAGCTGTGGAATCTGTGACACATTAGTGTACATTTGGATTGTGCTGTAAATGAGTGACTAGGTTTTTTCTAAAAATGTGGTTGCTAGATGTTCTTGACTGTATATCCAGATGTTAGTACACTGAGTTTACTGACAGTTGTTTTTGGTAAACATGTTGTGACATTCTAAAAGTTATTTTATGGACATTTATAGAGCATGATCATGGTTTGCTTTCTGTCTTGATTAGTTTGCAAATGTGTGTATGTGTATATTCAAATATTCCCTTGTTATTCTGAGTTTGTTAAAATGGTATTTATAGGAATAAGAAAATATAGGAATATTATATTCATCGACACTTCAGAAAACCAAAGTCATTAGCATTATGACATTCATCATCTTTAGACTGGGCAATTGCAAAAGTTAATACTTGTAAAAATGTGTAATTGTTCTTACACCTTGTGCTGCAGTAGTACTAAACCATATTTCGGAATTGCAATGGTTATGTATTTCCAAATATTTTATAGTAAAAATCCATTAGGCAAGTTAAAAGTTTTCTTGTTCTACTTCTAGCATTCGGGCTGTCCTGAAATTCTGAAGCCGGACTGTGGAGAGGCCACAGCTTGCAGTTTAGGTGCCTTATCCTGCCACGGCAGCCATGATTTGAACAGTGTGGGAGTCAACTCAACTAAAATGCACTCAAACAGTAGTTCAAAAAGTCCCTGCTTCCTGCAAAGTGACTAACAATGTTAAAAGTTGTTAAAACAATGTTAAAACTGACTAACAAAATAAAATTGATTTAAAAAAAAGATGTTGGATCATTGACGTTTTCTAGATTGTCAAACTTTTTTTTTTCCCTCTCATTACAACCCATGTTTCTTATCTGCTATACTACAGAGACCAAAGTGGGGCTAAATGCTGTTGTTTGCAATTTTCATGTTATTTGAGTCCTGCTGAAGCAACAGCTTAAATTGTAGTTTCAAGTTTCACTTTGAAAAAGGCCAGCCACTGAATACAAATGTTTATTTCCTATTCAGTGACTGAATGTATCAATACCAAGTATTATGAATCCTTTAGATGTAAAAAGTAAAAGCCACCACTACAGGTGATTTTTAGTTCATAATTGAATTACAGCTCCCACTATTAATTCATTTAAGGTGTTTTCTGGCTAAGGGAAAGTACATTTTATGTTTCTCAGATTTAGTGACTGGCACTTTAGTGAAGTTCATACTATATAGTGTTGAATGGTTTTAAAATAGACATTTTGGTTGGACTAAATGAAACAAGTGAGGTCAAAAGATGCATTGATTCTGACAATTGTACCAAGTGCTGAGAATTTTGCATGCTGGAGTGTTCAGAAACTACAATTGTTTTATGCAGATTATGTGCAATTACAAACATGTTAATATATATATATAGGGTCATTGACAAGGGTATATGACCCTTATAGGGTTTCAAAATGTTTCCGTGAAGCTCAAGGTCAATTAATTAAAATAATGGAATATCTTAGATGTGCAGTGTCTATGAACGTGAGTTATCCAATGGTGTAACTTCAGTATCGTTAAATAAGGTGTATTACAGTGTAAATTCCGAAGAAAACTAGCAAACACAAATTTCCAACTGGGAGGAGATAAGGTAGTGTAACTCTGAGTAAATTACAAGAAGTGTTACTTTACAAGTGTAAAGCAATGCCTTTTGAGATTCTAAATGGTCATAATATATTTTTAAGTATTTAGGATCAATTTGCACTGCTTGGGTTCTAATTCATAAAACATAACTTGGTTCACAGAAGTAGGGAACTATACCGTTTTGCCCACCGGCTCCACCAGCAGAAGTGCTTGCCTGTGTTCAGCTCAGTTATCCAAGTGTCGTGGGTCTGAGCCTGGGTCCCATCACCACGTGATCTTGACAGAGGTTGCTTCAGCATCTGTACAGAATCTTTTTTTTTTAATGGAATACTAGCAAGTTTTAATACTAATCAAATCTTATGAAGATGTTTATCACGGTTTCTGAGAGCACTACATGCCTGTAGTATCTGGAGTTTTTCCAATAGAACAAAAAACACAAGGGCTTGACATTTTAGTGCATTTCATAATTTAATAGTTACACCGCACATGGATTTAAAATCAGATTATTTTAATTTAAAAAAATCAAGGTTTACAAACTGATAATACTGTATCTAAAAATGTCATGTGTATGTAGCAGGAAATTCTCTTTTCAAGGACATCATGTTGATTAGCTAAACTCATCTGCAATGGTTCTTCTTGACAGTTTGCTGTTGGTATAGTCATATTAACAGAGACTAACCTAAAACCTTGCATTTTCCCAAATGTGAAATCAACATTTGTTGAAAGGTTGGATAGTTTCCCACTTTTCAATATCAAACCTCCCATGCATTATAAACCTCATCATGTTTGAAGGTTTTATGAATGTTCCAACGTACTGAGACATTTCTTTTGTGGTTTGTATTGTCACACTGAGTGCCATTCTGCACTACAGCTCACCACCAGTTGCACTGCTAGTAATTGATTGTGGTAATTATGCAGCTGGGAATGTCACATTTATAAACCCTAAAAATATACTAGTCACAGGCCATAGAGAAACAGATGGGAGCTGATATTCAAGTATTATTTTGCAATAGTTTTGATACAGGCTGTAATTCTTAATGTCCATTTCAAATGCAAATCACACACTTCCATCACAAGATCACAAAAATAATTTTAATGTATTTAGAATAACATTCTGAAAATAATTTCATACTCTTAACAAAAATGTGGGTGGAAAATGTTAAGTACTGAAATAATTTTAACTAGTCTTACCATAAGTTGAATTTTACAGTACGTCAAATGCAAACTAGAGTACCATTAAAATTTTCTGCTCTATTCCATTTTTTCCCCCATTTTCTGTACATTTCTAACCCATACTGTTTGGTGCCAAGAGATCAGGATTTTTAGCAACCTCTACTGTAACCACTGTGCACACTGGAGCAATGAAATCTACTGTGTATAAGAATGGGGCCACAGGTAACATTGCCACATACAGTACAAAGAGTGCTTGTCTGAGGGAGCTGCAGGGCAGTAAAACCTACTGTAGGTAAGCTTATCACCCCCTCTAATGGACAAATGTTATGCTTGTGCATGCTGATTTGTATTGTCATTATGAGTCTTTTGGAGTATTTTTCACTGTCACATTTAAAGGAGAACAGAATTTCAGGGCTTTATAACAGATTTGTCGACAAATGCCAACTTTGCCTTATCCTCCGATTTCTTCCTTCAACACACTAAAAAACGTGCTCAGGCCATTCAAAGAAATCTCCCTTTTTCAAAAAGCATTGAATGAACTCCCTTCCCCCACTACAGAAATAACTGACTGGGGGATTCATACAGTTCTCTTCTTACACAAGTATGGGTGAGATAGCATTGATCTCTTGCAGAATTCTTTGTCTACATGTTTAAGTTTAAAAACTGGACAATAACATAGTGAACAATACAATTCTGAAGTGTTCTACCATTGTAGTGAAATTGTGAGGCACTCTTATTAGAGGAGGAACAACTATCCAGACTAATGTCTTGTGGCTGCCTTTAGGAGTAATGCTGTCATTTTCTCAATGAGAACACACAACCCAGAACACAAAAACAAGGTTTTCTTATCTCACCTCAAAAAAGAAAATCTACAGTTACTGCAAGAATTTAAGACTGACTGTGGAGTTTAGACTTTCTAAAGTGAAAGCCATGTACCTTAAAGAGAACAAATGTTAACCAGGATGGGAATGCACTAATTCTGACAACAATGACCGGTTATGTTGCAGAGCCAGATCTTTATTAGTGCCTTTATATTCTGCCTTGATTTAAACCACAATAAGACACTGAGCTTTTTACTATATCCGCAATCGTACGGTGAAAAGTGATCATTCTAATGGAGAAAAGCCCATTTTTTCTCTCCCAGCCCAACTGTCCAGCACTTTAGGATTTGTAAATAACAAGTTCCTAAAGTAATAACCCTAATACATCACTGTAACGGTCAGGTCGCCCAGAGTGAGAAAGGAATTTCAACGCTCGACGTACGTTCTTCCAGCACATTCTATAATTCTATGTTCTACAGCACCTGCAGGTGGTCATTGTCTACAGAATCCCAACTTACTTATTGTCTTACAAAATTCGACACCATGTGCAGTTGTGCCAAACAGCACTCCTCATAAATAAACCTTTATTTATATAGTCACCTTTGTCATAGTTTTTTTTTTACAACCTTCAGCATCTTCTGAGGACAATAAAAACGGATGACCCTTCACTTTAAAATAGCCCACATGATAAATATCATCCTGATGTATTCAAGTACTTGCATTTTAAAAAAATAGCGGAGAAAAAAAACAAAACAAAGAATGGGGAAATCTTGCTGAAATCCCACAGGTACTGCCGTCAGGAACTGTAATGAAAAACAGTGCCCAGCACAGTTCCACTGGGGCCGAGCCAGGAAGAGCTTGTAAGCCCCCACCTTACTAACTAACCCTACATCTGATACACGAAATGCGGGCGCCCGTTGTCCTCCAGGCGGCGGGTGAGGATCTCGCATCCCGTCTCTGTCACCAGCAGGGTGTGCTCAAACTGGGCTGAGCGCTTCCCGTCCCGGGTCACCGCTGTCCAGCCGTCCGGCCACGTCTCATCCTGCCACCCTCCTGTGTGCGCACAGGAGACAACGGGGAGACGCAGAGCGAAGTTAGAAGGCGGGTGTGGGTCTGTATTTCCCAGACCACTGATTGCCGTCAGAACTACCATTCATCCGCCCATTCATTTTCTAAACGCATTACCCAATACAGCGTCACAGGGGAGCCGGACCAAGGCTGCCCATCTCGGGGTAGACGGATACACACGCATGAACATTCACACACCAGAACCATTTTTTCCCCCCCAGAATCCAATTAGCCTACTTGCATGGTTTTGGACTCTGGAAGGAAATCCACGCATACATGGGGAGAATATACAAACTCCACGCAGGTCCGGTATTGAACCCAGAGCCCCGGCGCTGCATGGTGGCAATACTAAATACAGCACCACCATGTTGCCCCCACTGTCATTGTCATTCATTATGTCACACCACATAAAAAGACTTTGAAACTGATGTACACAAACTGTTCAAGCAAGCGTTAATAATGGGCAGCATTTAGAAATAGCAACTGAAACTGGGGTCTCCAGCAATGACCCTGACCAGCCACAGCTCTTCCTGGTTTTAAGTCCAAACAAGTTCTCAATGACTTCATTTTAACCAGTGACTTCATTTGTCAAGGTTTAGGTGGTTTGAAGTGGCCTATAAAACTGAGGAAAAGTTGCTCTCAAGGAAGAGGGATAGAGACTGCTGATCTGTCATCTTTCCAAATAGTACTTTTATTCCAGGATACATTTTCCAGTCAGGATCAGGATTTTGTTTTTCTTACCTTCACAAATCATGGGCTCAATGGTGAATACGTGGCCTGGCTTCATGACTCCAACTGCTTTGTTTTCTTAACATAAACAAGAGGGACTGAGATTTCACAAGTGCAGTTTAAACATTAACAGGAAAAGACATTTGTGAACTGAAGATACCGCCCAGGATGTTACCACCGAACATTACGATCTCAGAAAACCATGAAACAAAGCAACATAAACTATAATCTATATTGGGTCTCCAGGGGCTATACATAAAAGTCAAAGTTAACAATACTGTTATCATTCCTAAGAAAAAAAAAATCTAATTCAAACAAGGTGCAAAGTTTACATTTAAATGCCAAGATTTTAAAAGAAAGCTGCAGGTGGTTTTGTTTGTGAATGATTTCAGGGTCTTAAATACCTTGGTCATCAAGCTACTCACTGGCATAATGTGGCACATTGGGAGCAGTGTGGAAGAGCTTATGGATGCCATGTCCACAGTAGCTTCGTACTACGGAAAACCCATTGGCTTGCGCATGTTTCTGGATGATGTTCCCCAGCTCTCGATACCGCACGCCTGGCTTCACTGTCGAAACAGTCAAGAACAAAGTGGTAAACCAGCTGTGAGGAGATCTCAGTATCCACTTTGTATAGGAGCATAAAAAAAAAGATTTAACATTCAAGTTCAACATTCTACAGTGGGGAAAAAACACGTGCTGAACAGATAAACCCATGGACGAGAAGTCTTTCTGACTGTTAAATATGAACATACTGTTCTAATCACCTTTTACTGTACTTACTGTTATTGATCCGGGTATAGACAATTCTAATTTCAAATTTATTTTCAACACGTTCATTTGGGAGTTAAAATCCTTAACTTTAAATGCCAGAAAACAGCACATTTTCATCAAAGTGGAGCGTCATAAGTATTCAGTCTCGGTCTGTAATTAGTGCATGTGTTTTATCTTGTCCTGCCTCTGGTGTGTGGTATGTATTTAACTTTACTAACATTATGCTATACTGCTATCCAACAATTCAGATTTTTCAACTATATATTCCATGTTATTTTGGATTTGCAAAGATGCTGCCCACCTAACATCTCATTTTGCAGGATTTTTTCAGTTTTACACATCGGCGGGGCTTCAACATACCTGAATCAATAGCTTGCATAAGGCATTCATAGGTTGTCTGCACCAATTTTTTGGCTCCTTCATCCGCCTCTCCAACAAAGAAGGTTTCATTGAGGTCTCCGTGGTAACCGTTACGATACACAGTTATATCCACTACAAATAGAGGAAAAAAATAAACAGTTGGACATTAAGACCTGTAGGTTTTTGTACAGCTGCAATCAAAACTAAACAATCTGGATGTTGGTTAACTGTATCATATATGAAATATGCAGTCTGGAAATATGCAGAACACGGAGGAGTTTTCCCATTCATTTGTTTCACAACTGGTTAACAGGACTGTTTCAATAAAGCAGGTATCACTGAAATCAAATAACGAGGGTCAAAAATAAAAAATAAAAACAAAAAAAGCCAAAAGATACAGAACCTACTTGGGATACGAAACCTAATGCAACATACCCTTCTCATGCGTTATGGAACCATGTTTTCCATCAAAAATATTGTCACCAGTTACTTTAAATACCTTCCCAATTCTGTAATTTCATCACAGTGGCCACTCACAAGCCTTTTTAACTTTTCCCAAGATAGTTCAAGGTCTAAAATACAAGTTAATACAATTTCTGCCAGACTTTCATCATGTGGAAACTATACTAAAAATGATGAATTTCCAATTGTCAAACCATATATACGGGGCACTTTGTTTCTTTTCATTTTTAAAAGTAAAGCATTTTAGATCACAATACGAGAACGTCAACCCAGGTTTTCTCTAAAGACTACAATGCAGACACAAACCATTTAAAATATCTCCTTCTTGCAAAGACCTCCTGTCTGGGATCCCATGGCAGATCACTTCATTGACTGACGTGCAGCAGGACTTGGGGAAGTTGTAATAATTCAGAGGAGATGGATAGCAGTTCCTGGCAGTACAAGCCTAGAACACACAAGCGCTGTGATGAATAACCAGGTGAGCCCCATGGCCGGTAGTAAAGAGGGGAAACGGAAGATCGGCCTTTTAAAATGCAAAGAAGTTCCCTACCAGATGGACCGCATGATCTATCTCCTCAGTCGTTACTCCTGGCTTTACCATCAAGGCAGCAATATCCAGCACTTCCCTTGCAAGCTGTGACAACAGACACAGAGACGACGGAATAAAAGGCTGACACACATCCCAAGCAAATTTCTGTAAACAGGACGTGCAAGTGAAATTTAAATCCGAACACTGGACTGTGATTTACAGAATGATCTGAAGGCGGTAGGGCATTCATGTACACTAAAAAAAAATTAATCTCAAATTAAAATGAGCAATGCTATCTAACAGCTATATAATATGTTTATTCCTTTTAGGGACACCTGTTATATTTTATTTGCTGCACTCAAAGTGTAATATTTATGCAATTCAGGAATTGACCCTCAGTACAGTTTTTTTTCCCGATTGAACTCCACATGGTTAAATATAAAACATTTACATTTTACTGAAGGTCTGCTACACCTTATCCAGGATAAATGTTTTTTTGAATATCAAAGCACATAACACGGGCAAAATACAGAAAGTCAAAACGTGCTAATAAAATTGCGGACAACCAGAAGTAAAAGGTACCTAAACCGAAGACCATTTTGTTTAGGTACTGTATATGAGATTGCTTTGCAAGATGTTCTGCTACTTTTTTGTGCAACTAGTACTTTTTCTTATTCTGAATGTGTTTGCCAGACATACAGTGGCATGTGTTCATTTGCTTTTGACAGACGGATCACAAACCTTACACACAATCCTCATTCCTTCTATATCTTCTGGAGAAAGGATCTTAATTTGAGAGGTTCCCTTTAAGGCCTGTTCTGACTCAGACATTCCTAAAATGAAAGTATATATATATAAATTCCACATTACAGCATTAATACTCTGAGTAAATGGATGACTCTGGCACAAGAGTGGGCTAACTCTCACAGTTTAAACAAGTAAACTTTTTTTTAAATGATTTAATACCTTCAATGTTCCCCTACACAGGGACTTGCCTGTTTCCCAACACTACAGAGAAGACTAAAATGCTAATGAAGTCTACTCGGCTACAGCAGTAAACAAAAGCTGAAGAAAAGCAAACATGCAAGCCTAAAATAAACCACATGCTTTTTGGAACATGTAAGAGTTAGCTTCCTCTTAAAGGGAAAACAATTAAAAACAAACATCCATTGCATGGTAACCACACTTGTCTGTCCAACAAAAATGAGAATCCCCAAGTGAAATGGCCGTAAGGCTTGTCTCTCGTTTGAGTTTTATGATTAGTGATGGAAACGTACCTGCTAGGAGACCCACCTCTGCTGCTGTAGTAGTAAACAAGTCAAGAAAAGAGCTTTATAAATAATCAGCACATGCAGTAGGAGGGGGGGTCTCTATTCTCTACTCCTCCCCAAAGACCACCACCATCTTTCCAGTTCCTGTTAGCTAATTTTAAATGAAAAGACCCAATCAATCTTAAAAAAAGAACCAGATTTTGGCTGCACATCTGTACAATACTGTACAAAGCTGTCTATAACTTTTTTTCCCTACATCATCTACCAGCTTTCAACTACATGAAAGAAATGAATACATCTCTCGTATACAAAATATAATTATGTCCTTTAACTGATATACAGTATACACAAAGCACTCGCATTGCTGCTCCTTTCTGTGTACTCGTGATTTTTACGTTATGTTGAAGAGATTTAAACTTTGTTTTTTTCCAGCTTCCATGAACATAATTTTAAATTTTGAAAGAACACAACTTATATTTGTACTTGATGTGCTGCAGAACAAAATGTGAAAAAAGGAAAGTTCTTTCAAAAGAAAAGATGATTTTTTACAGTTCTAGGATCTAATGTATCCTACACCTGTAAAAACGCTGGCCCCTGCGTATTGTCTTTAATTTTTTTAATTACACTTCAAAAAAACAAAACCCGCAGTACCTACTTTGGGCAGGACTGTGTCATTCTCAAAAATGTTGGTATGTTTGTAGGGAGGGAAAAAATAAAAATATGACATTGTAATTCTGTCTCATTATTCCTATAATGGTCCTCACTTCTACAAAATACTGTTTTTGTCAAACCTTAAAGAGGTTGAAATCTTCTGATGTACCCTTTCTGTAAAACCTGAAGATGTAACTTCAAGTGAACAGTCTTCACCCCATCTAATGTAGATACCAACACATCAAACTACCCCTCACATACAGTATCAAATCATTCCTGAGTGTTAAACTTGAAACTACAAGGAATGCTACTCCAGATAAACTCTCAAAAGCCTAAGAAGCATTAGGGAAGGCAACTGGTATGCAAATATAGGTAAATGGATTATCAAGGGTGTCTATTTCCTTCATCAACTGCTTGAAGCACAAACTATGAACTGGAAGCACAGGTTGACTGACAGCACATTCTCTGTCAGACTACAACTTCAAAACATCTCCCCTGTAGTTCAAAATTGTCCAAACACATAAGGGAGGATTTTACACTAGTATTTCTATGGCCTGTATCTCCCTTAAGTTCTGCTTTAAGCCTCATAGTTAATATTTCTATGCAGCAAAACTTGTTTCTGATAAAAAGATGCATCATGTGCTCATTTAACAAAATAACAATGAGTGATATAGAATGTTCTATCCTTTATCAACCTAGACTCAAATGTCCAGTTTATGTTAATAGGTGTTTCATTTCATGATCCAAATTCCAGAAACAGCTTTGCTTCATGTCAACAGAAATACACGAGGCCGAGCATGAGGCTGAGCTGGTGTGTCACTATTCAAGCAGGAATAAATCCCTTTTATCAGGGGATCTCGTCCTCTTTTCTAACTAAAAAGGCTCTACTTCAGAACTTTTAGGACACCCTATATCTAGCATAAAGAAGCCATACTTACGCAGTAATTCTGCTGCTATTAGTGAAAAATCCAAGTTACACACTGTTCAGAAAATGTAGCTATGACTACCCACCCCCAGCAATTTCACGTGCAGCTTTGCTACTAATAAAATGCAACCTTTTGGTATTTCTAAAGTGATGGGTTTCATTGTATTGGTGTTTCCACTGATGGCACTGCTCAGCCATGTAAGAAGAGTACAAGTGAAGGGTAGAGGAAAAAGCAAAGTGGTCACTTGAGGTACTGGATGTCCCATCCTGGTGGATGTCAGTTCATGACTGCAATGCTCCAGAATAAAATGAGTGCTTAATAATGGTGATCTCTTCTTAAGAGAGTCTAAGCAACAAACAAAATGAAAGGGCACAACCCCAGTAACTGCAGTTTAGCGTCTCATACTCAAGTATGTTTGCATTCCTTTTGAAAAGTGCACTGAAATGGCCATTTTAAAATCAAAGAGTGGCCTTTGTAGTCAGCCTTTCCCAGCTGTGCTTCAGGTGATAAGGATATTAGCAGTTGTACATGGTAAATAAAAAACACAAAACAGTCCAGAGGTTACTACTGCACACAACAGTACACCAACTGGTCATATCTGCCTGCATTAAAATGAAACTTCATAAATTTAACAGCTACCAGTCATTAGCAGAAAAAAGGGCAATTATAGCATAGCGCTCTACTGTGACCATTTTTACAGTTGAATTTTAAAAATGTATAAAGAACACAATTCCCAGACAAAAAAAACACATTATATATGAAGACAGAAATGTATTACCCAATGGATGATCAGCATAATCCGGTCTCTGGATGTAACTTGGCACAAGTCTCATTGGAGTCTGTCCACAGGAAAAAAGAGTCCAGCATAAGATACTGCATACTGTAAATATCCCATCCCAACACAGCACACTACTGTTATATTCACTACAGAATAGTCTTGACAGTGGGAAGTAAAAGGGTTTCTAAAACCTACACAGTAATGTATAAAACCTCCAATTTGCATCACAAAATAGACAAAATGAGACAACCAAATGCTACGTGAGATGAAGAAACGGCCCTATACCATTGTAAACAAGTAGGCTCATGAATACATCTCTTTTAATCTAACAAAAATATTGTTCTCGACATTGAGACAGTTTTACCGACAAATACTACATATTAACTCTGCATGCAGATCATATTGGAACATTTCTGCTGTGAAATGTCTGCTGCTCAACCTCTACTTATTCGCTCGTACATAACAGTATATTAGTTGTTATAGTGACTATTGAGCAGGAAGGGCCGCTTCAAGTCACAATTCTCACAACCTCTCCACAACATGATGAGCATACAGTACTTCCACAAAAATCATATTTTTGTGTTTGATTTGGAATTTGTAAAATTTGTAATACTGTCGATTAATTTATTTTGTTACCGAGATTTAATAACAAATCTGAGAAATAAAAGCGTCAGCATTCATTATGATATAATGGGTGCAGACAAACCCTGATTAAAACAATTAAGGAGCTGATATTCTATTACTGTAGTTGACCAGGCAACCATTTAGTCTGACAGAGAAACTTATAATAAAATGGTGTCTGATCCACATAATGTATCAATTTATTTAATCCCCTTAACACATTTTCAGATTAGTTTTTAGTTAAGAAATACATTAATTAACTCACCCTTGAGCAAGCTGCAAGGCCTAATTATTGAAGACCAAGGCATATTTCCTGTAACGTTCTGGTTCTTAAATTTACACCAGCATGTGGCTGGATGTGTTGGGAGGCTTGTAATTGCATTTAACAACATTTTTAGATGATGTATACTCATTTCTTTAGGTAGTACGCAAGGTTATTACTCAAACCTTTCATACAGACTCCATTTACTTTGGTTGCTGTTTTCTTGGATTGGAGCAAACGTGGATTTTCTGCCTTTCCGATTATCAAAATCAGCATCGCAACAGACCTGATGTTGAAAGTGGCCTCCATTGTGCTCTTTCTTTCACAGAGCCGAGAACTTCAAAACTTGGGACACGTACATGGCATCAGAGCTCACATTTGATAATGTATAGTGTTAACTGAAAGGCATTGTGTCCCAAAGGCTAAGAACCACTCGTCTATGCCATATAAGACTGTTCTTTGCAAAGTGATGGATGTAGTTTCAAGAGACAGGAATTGGACAAGTGGACAAATACCTGCGCACTCACTTACCAGGGGGTAGTGGGGCCGGAGTTTGCCTGTGTACCTATAGCCAGGCCAGGGGTCTGTATTGACATCATTCTCTACATTTTTCTTTGTATCATCCTTGGTTTTATCCTCTTCTGCAAATTAAAAATGGACAAGAAAGACAGCCTGGCTCCATTACTTTTATATTTCACAATTTTATGGTTCCCTTCAAATAAGCCAGTTATGTGCTACTTATATGAATTCACAGAGCCTTAATCAGAAATATAGAAAATCTTTATTCTTCAACGGTGATATAGTGAAGACTCTTAAGATTGTTCATACTTTAAAATTTTAAGTAAAACGGTTCCCAAATTAACACGTAATGGAAATATGCCAACCATAATCAAAGTGATGGCTTTTACCCTGCAGTTTGTATGAAAAACAATGGTATAACGCATAGATAGACATCTAAGTTACATTTAACAAGACAGGTGTACCAAGTAATGCAATTTTTAAGTACTACGCATTTGCTTATTTTACACAAGTGAGTCCCCACATTTCTCTCAAACAAACATGACAAACAATAAAAAGATGGACTGTTTTTAAGCTACGTCACAAAATGTTCCACTATGTGACAATACAACATACATGGCTTTAATGCTGACTGATGTGAGCTTAAAGCCAGATAAAAAAAGTACACGAAAGGCTACAATATCTGAAAATTTCTCTAAATATTTTTTGTTCTTTGATACAATTTCAGTTTAATCATTTTAAAAACACCACATTTCCTTTGATTTAATTATTATTTAACTGCACTGACAAGCAGGGAGAAGACAGTGAAAATAATTCTATAGTAAAAATGAAAAAAAAAACCAATTCAGCTATGTTTTAGTCAAGCTAATGATGTAGCAATGGTATTATAGAACTTAAAACAATTACAGGCAGTTATTTTCCTAAAATGTGAAATCACATTTGGCCATTCCAGTTTCTTTTTACCTTTTTTTTAGTGCAAAAAAGCAAAGTATGCAAGAGCACCTCTGAGGTCAGTTGTGCTAAAAAGCCAAATGTTTCAGGGAGTTTAATCTTGTGCGTCTTAATAATAATAATAATAATAATTGCTTACACTTATATATTTTCTGGACACTCCACTCAAAGCGCTTTACAGGTAATGGGGTCTCCCCTCCACCACCACCAATGTGCAGCATCCTCCTGGATGATGCGACAGCAGCCATAGTGCGCCAGAAAACTCACCACACATCAGCTATCAGTGGGGAGGAGAGCAGAGTGATGTAGCCAATTCATATAGGGGGATTATTAGGAGGCCATGATTGGTAAGGGCCAATGGGAAATTTGGCCAGGACGCCGGGGTTACACCCCTACTCTTTTCGAGAAACGCCCTGGGATTTTTAATGACCACAGAGAGTCAGGTTTTATGTCTAATCCGAAGGACGGCGTCTGTTTTATGTCTTTCATACAAGGTCCCAGCCTTTACAAGCCTTTATGTAATACAATGGTTCATTAAGATGAAAGTAACCTATGCAATAATAATATTTAAAAGTAACTTACTTGCTTTTTTGTGCAGCAGCTTGTGGGTGGCCCAACTTCCTTTAAAACACTCCTGGAAGAAAAAATGATTGCAGTTAAATTTGTTTTGCTGAAGTCTGAAGACATGAGCCCTTAAAGTGGAAAAGATCCCATCCCATCAAATGACTTTTAACCTTCACACTTAGATCACTCACTGCATAAAGCAATACTACCTGACAAACCTGAGTATCCCTATGATATTAAATTCAATACAGACTCATCTGATATTAGGTTCAGCATTCCTGAAGATTCAACTCATTACCAAAATACTGTTACTATGCTCAAAGGTTAGTGTGTGTTATTGCTCTCATTCACTGGTAGGATAATTTCTCATTCAGATATTACTGTGCCACACAATGTTTTTCAAATGCTGTTATTAGTTTACTCTTCCTACTAAAATGCAATGTTATCATTACAATTTAATTGGGATGACTTTTTTGTTTATCTTTCTTGATGTTACTAAGGTGTAAATCTTAAAATGTAATCAAAACTGTAAAAAAAACATGTTCATCACCGATTCCACTCCTCACTCAAATCTTTCCGCAAAGTTATCTTTGAGGCCACACTTTCTGGCACATTTGAGTAAGAAACCAGACGGGATTCTTCTTGATAAAAGAAGGCCAAAACCATATACAGCCATGGTCCTAGACAGCTTCAATCCAGTAAGTTTTATGGGTCACATAAATTGCCCATTTCTCGCTCAAGGAAACTGTTGTCCTTGAGTGCTGAAGATATTTCTTCCTAATTATCTGTAAATTCTCTCATTTAAGATATCACCTGCAACTGATCCCAAAATGAATTTTCCAAGCCTTTACAAAATGGTGATTTACCTATAAAACCTGTTGGACTGGGCCTTTTCAGGGGCAGGACGGGAGATTATGGAGATAAAACAAGGAAGACAAGTATTTCAAAATATTTTAGGGCTAAAACTAAAGTATTTACAGAGCTAAAAGATTGACTTAACCAAAGCTTTCCAATTCTTCTTAGAAGTGAAAGACAACCCCACCCAATTTGCAAGAAATGCAAATATTGCCTGTTAAATATCAGCAGGAAACTTCATAAAACACATTTCTTGAATTATAAAGTAGGAATTCTTTCTTATTTACACTAGTGATTACACGACATATACTACTCATTTGATTAAGTAATTATTGTGACAGAATCCCATCTACTTTTGAAAAAGCTACTGCACCACAGTCAAACATTGCTAGACAAAAATAACCTAAGCTGGTGTCACTCCCCCATAGATGGCAACTTCCCTAGGAGAGTTCTGCAGAATAATGTACAGCCTCAGCTGAATCTTATTTTCAACAGCTGCTATCTCTAACTACATGAGAAGAAAGTAGACACTTGCTGTAAATCGTTAAAGTTTGTACAAGCTCTCATAGGACCCTCAGACAGATTCCCCCAACTTTTCATTAGGTATACAAGTGCAATTACCAATAACCTCAGGAATAAAATGACTTATAAAATAAATTCAAACAATATTCCTGCAGATTAAAATTAGGATGAAATTATTTTCTTTGGTTAATTTAGACAATAGTGCCTTTTGATCCTACTGAAAATGGCATAATCCTGAAATGCTACTTGACAAAACTATTCTTTAGCTTTCCCCCAAAGACGTCTTTGATGACACAAGTACTGTAGACTGATAGCTTACTTAAGCCATTTGACAGATTAAATTAACCTCTACCCTTAAACCGTAGTGCCAGCTATTTACAACAATCATATAACTGCGTCAAAACTGTGACTATTAACATAAATAACTGTTAACCGTACTTGTAAGGTAGCTTTGCAGTACAAACCTAAGAACCTAAGCCTCATTCACTAAATGCTCTTTAAAGGTAAGGTCCAAGGATAACTACTATTAAACACTGTTTTCATCAACCATGGTAAGATAAGTCTTAAAGTATAAAATGCATGTTAATCCATGGTATATAAATGGTAGGAAAAAAAGATGCAAGATGATACTGTATATGGAAAGATAACAGTAGTGAGGATAGAGTTTGCCTTTTCTCCCCATGTTCACGTGGGTTTCCTCCTGCTTTCTTCCCACAGTCCAAAAACATACTGGTACTTTAACTGGTTTCTGGGAAAACTGGCCCTGGTATGAGTGTGTGCGTGTCTGTATCTCCTGGTTACTGGTCTCCTGTAAAACTGGTTACTGGTTATCTAAAAAAAAACTAAACACACCATATTCGATATTGTGTTAAGTTTGTATCCATTACAGTTGTTATTTGTTTAAAGAATTTTTACAAAGTTAAAAAACTAGACTTAATATTAAAAAAACTAAGGTATCAAGTCATCAAGCATCCATTAAACGCATCATTACAAAGTAGCAGACAGATATTCCCAAATTACCTTACCAAGATAGAAATTCTGTGTCATGTAGCAGGGGAAAAGGTTGGCCTCCACTTTAAAGAATCCCCATCACATTTTCCAACTACAGCCTTTCCACTTTGGAACAGGACGACATTAGGTTTTCAAAATGGAGACAAATAATAACAAAAGGGAAAATTGTTTTCTTAAATCAAGGGGATCATTACTCAGACTAAAACGCATGATTTGGCATTCAGCGTTTTACAGATATGCAAGAATAACCTCATCTGGAACATTTCCTGGGCACTCAATTTTATCATGTAATATGAGCAACTTCAATGAGCAGATTTCAATACCAGACATTTAAATCTCAAGCTTTTCAATTTTTCTGTTTAAATTCTGTCTTAATCCTTTGTAGTCTGCATTCCTGAAAGTATAAACCTTTGTTTGGACTCAATTTACTCAATTAAAAATGTACTTCAAAGCACACCATGTTACGATTACAGTTCCCTAATGGTTCTCTCATATCTGTTTGCTTCACTCTATTTTAATTGTTTGAAAAAGACTTGATCAATACAGGCATCCATTCTTCAAGGTGCTCAGAGACACACTGAGTAAGAAAGCAGCCCTTATCCATGTCGACCATTTCAGTTTCAGCTGCTGTATCCCTGATGGTTGCTCCCAGTTTGTGCTAATGAAAATTAAAATGTCTGATTATAAGCACGTCTCTCTCGACACATACATTCCTGAATTTACTATTGCCACTGCATGATTGCTGATATCTGAATGTGGTTGTCCAATTAATGTTTTCTAGTTTAATGATTATATACTCTGAGACCTCGGATGCACTTACAGATAACTGCCAAAATAAAGGAAACACCTGAGTAAATGATGGATACAAGATATTGTGAAAGCAGGTGCTCCCACACAGGGCTGGTTCCTGAGTTAATTAAGCAATTAACATCTCATCGTGCTCAGGATCATGTATAAAAATGCTGGACAGACTCAGCTGCCCATTACTTTGGCTACCATGGTTTGAAGAAGAGATCCAAGTGACTTTGAGAGAGGGGTGACAGTTGGGGCATGTTTGCACGGGGTTTCAGTGATGAAGTCTACTCAACTTGCTGATGTTTCATGAGGAACAGTGGCTAAGGTAATGTTGGCCTGGAAGCCTGAGGGAGGCCATCATCAACTGTGGGCAAAAGCACATACTCCTTGACTGTGATGCCAGTGCAAGGCAAAACAGAACAGCAACTCTGAATCACCTGACTGCAGCAATGGCAGTTTCACCATGTACGGTCCATCGAGAACTTCACAAAGAGAAATATTGTGGATGAATGCACGTTTTTACAAACGCTGACTCCTAAAAATGCACCTTTGGGAGTTAAGTGGTGCAAAGAACATGGGCAATGGTCAGTTAAGTCATTCTTACCCTTTTCTCAACAAGTGGACAAGTACATGTGCAGTGCACGCCAAAAGAAGTCTACAGGTTCGAGTGCTCATTTCCCCAATGTGAAGGGTTCTGGCTCTATTATGGTGTTGGAATGCTATTAGCTGGCATGGTTTAGGTCCACTCAACACCTTAGAGGGCAATGTAAATGCCAATAAATACAAAGCCATTCTGAGGGATCCCATTCATCCTATGGTAAAGCATTTCTATCCTGATCGAGGATAGTGGAATCCTCCACAATGACCACACCCCCATCTCCAGGGCAGGAGGGCCCACTCAATGGTTTGATGAGCATGAAAATGATATAAACCATATGCCATGGCCATTCCAGTCACCAGATCTCAACAGAGTTGAACACTCTTGTGGGAGTTTCTGGAGTGGTGCCTAAGACAGCGTTTTCTACCACCATCAACAAAACACCAAATTTATTGTGGAAGAATGGTGTATCACCCCTCCAGCAGAGTCCCAGACACTCATAGAATCAATGCCAGGGCAACCTGATGCTTTTATGAAGGCTCACAGTGGCACCTACGTTGCTGTTTGCTTTATTTTGGCAGTTAACGATAGGTCACGTTCCAGTGCCTGAATGCTCCTTTTGATGGACAGTACAATACGCTTCACTCATCTTTCCCAGTTGTCCAGAGGGCTGTTCGCCCATTAAAGCTAGATTCTTCACCAAGATTTTCATTCGTCCACTAATTTTATTTTTAAAACAATTTTAATTGATGCCACTGCAACAGCTGATCCTATTCAAATGAGCGTGCTCAATGATGTTCTGGGTCAAAATCAGTTATTCCACTTCATATTTCACGACTTTCCCCCAGGTGTTACCTGAAGCCATGAAGCTTTTAAATCTGCTGTTGCAGAAGTTACACCGAGCATCTTAATTGAAACTTTTTTTCTTTAGTTTGAAAATTATTTTTCAGTCTGTAATGTCAGGTTTCACAGTAGGATTTAGACTTAATCACTGGTATGAACGCTAGTTCCCCCCAACATCATTATAGCTGTATTAACGTGTTAAATCCTCAAGCCTACCCACCGATTTAAACACCTGAGCTAAATTTCGCAAAGATGTGATTATCTTGCGAAATTCAGTTCACAATAGATTTAACTAAAATTCATATTGGACCTTTTGTGCTTTTGTTTCCATAAAAAAAGAATGTGAAAACTAAGTGACAACCCACGTTTCAACAGCAGTCACTCAGTCGATGGACAAGAGATAAGAGTACCATTTTCTACTTCCATGTCTTTTAAATGAAGACTTTCACCAGCAGCTTTCAATACAAACTCCCCTGCAGTCGCAGTTCAATGTTAATGTCAAATACGATCAAATAAATGACATGCAACTACATGGTAGCAACCTGGCACATAGACTAAAATGAGGAATGAAAATGAATGAAACCCGCGATGGTAAATGCGACTATCGAAGACCGCTCGCACTCTGAACGAATTCCAGCTCCTGTGACACCCATGCAGCAGACCCATTCAAAAGAGGTGCAGACATTTTCAAACGATTGCCCAATCGAAAACACCCGAGCCTCAGTTCATCACCACGCAAAAGTTTTTACACGCACAGCACTCAGGCCTCGGGCAGCCCACGAGCAAATGGTTAAATTACGGCGAACTGATACTTCAGGGTAGCTTTGTGACTCGGTCGCAAAAGCAATCGCTAAATGGAAGAAAAAAAAAACTATGTTAAAAAAGCATACCTATTATTAAGCAGGAATAGAAGAGGGTATTTTATAAAACAGCCCCAGGGATCACAACTGGGTACATTCAACCTCAGAAAACCCAAGTAGTGTGAGCGCGCAATACTACTGGGCTCTCAATTGAGTCCAGCCGGTATATACAGCAAAGGAAGCTGGCGAGATCCCCCTTACCTGCGAACAGAAATAAGACCCCTGGATTCCCAGTTTGATGCAGGTTGGGCATTGCAGTTTGGCCTCGCTATTACAGCCTTCCGTCTCACATTCTCTGGTTTCATGGGCCGCCATGCTGACACTCCAGTTGCGAATGGAGAGGAGGGGCTGAGAGAGAGTCACTGAGGACCTCGAGTTGGGAGGAGCAGGGAGGCGCACGGCCACCTACAACACTGCCTGACTTTCCTAAGAGCAGGGCTGTTTTCCTTGAGCTTTCATTCATCATTTACAGTGGGGGTTTTCATAATTGCAGAAGAGGGAAGTGTCAGAAATTAGAAAAAGACAAAAACCAACAGTCACTGTGTCGGTTATTCTCAGCGGCGCCAGCGTCAACCTTGCCGGCCCAATCTCCCCTTTCATCTAGAAACTTTTGATGCATGGTTAATGATTGTTTTCTGTGTAGCGCCTTTTGATCCATCAAAGAATGTCTGAAACCTTCTTCAAAACGATGTAGCAAGAATTCTAAATCATTAAAGCAGCATGTATTTAAAGTGTTACCAAATATATACATATATATCACAATAGTGATAGTCTTAAAGCAGAGAGAAAACATCTGCAGAATACAAACATTCCCATTTTGTTAACTAAATTTATGATATCAATGAGGTATGTATTTTAAATACTGTTTTAATTTTGGACAGGAATTTATCTAGCTGAAGACTGGCAAAGGCTGATGGAGATACAGTATATAATAACTGGTTTAATTAAATGTAATGCTTAGCAATGTTATTTTGTTTTCAAAAGCAGGCACTTCTTACTTGCTTGCGTGATTTTATGGACTAACTGTATGGAGGACGGCACTTGTAGGGAACAAGTAATCAAAATGTTATTGAAGCTGATATCCTGCCTTCAATTAAGAAACTGCTGGATGTGATTTTTGGATTTATTAACTACTAACTACAAAATGAGCTAGATAAGCCAAATAACCTCCTCTCGTTTATAACCTTTAATATGATGTTCTGATTTTGGGATTATTGTTTTGGGTGGTCATCTTGCTAGCCTTCAGTATATACTGTGTATATATAGCAATCAATGTACAGTAAGTAATATACAACTATGCATTCAGTTCTAGATGCTAATAAAATGGAAATTTATCAGGTTTTGTAGAATTTACTTCCATTACTGGAGTTAATAAACTGTCCCAATTGTAAAGGATGATAGAATGTTTTATTGAAAATTATCATAAAGAGAATTGCTCATTTTTGTCATTGATCTTTCTTTTTTGCCATGCAACATAAAAAATAGTAACAAGCAGATGTTCCTATAGAGTCAACTTCATCAATATTTTGGCTTTATTACTTTGCTTTTTAACTATGTATAATAAAAACTGATACATTTGTTTTTCTCTGCATTCTAATGATACATGCTCCATGCACTATTGAGCTATCATTTGTGGTTAGGGAAAGTTTTGAAGATCAAACTAAGAAAGTGTTGTTATAAATATGCCACATGGGAATTTGTTCATAGGCATTGACATACAGTTTAGATGTAGTCAAAACCCTTAGTTAGCACTGTCTGGGGCCTGTTACTGTTACAATTGCAGTAGAGTGGATAAGATACACTTAGTTTAATGTCATCACAATGTATTTGTAGTATCAGTATCAGTTTAGGTCTGTATTCTCTCTTTCATTAATTGGTATTTCTAATGGCAAGGATAAGTTTGTAAACTTTAGCAAATAATGATGTTGTTCAAACCTTTGTCATCATCTTAATACACTGTTATTTAACGTGCAGCTTCTCAAGGTCTGAAATGAGCTCAGTGGCTTCCTCTCTCTTTTTAACCATTGTTCTTTGTTTTTTGTAAATCTTGGCTATTATTTCAGAGTTAAGTATTGATAGAGAACATAAATAGTTAAGAAAGGTTACAAGTTAGAGGAGGCCAAAAGTTCAGCTAAGTAACCTGAAGATCTCATTGTATGAAGTTGAGTTATCAGCTTTGACAACAGCTGTGTAGTTTGTTCCACATTCTTACAACATTATGTTTAAAAAAGGTGCCACCTGACCTCACTTTTGTCCTTCGGTTTATTTCTCTGTTGGTTATGATTAAGTCCAGCAACTCGGATCCCAATGACTGCTCACAAGGGATAAATAGGAAGACTACTCTAACCCACACACCTTTTAACATAACACAGGCACCTCTGACCAGAACCAGAGGTTTATGGGAGGAGAGCGGCATCTCTTACAGACTGCACCACATGCCTGCAAGTGCCCAAGGGAGCCAGTAGAGTCTCAGCCAGCTAAAAACACTATACCCTCAGCAATGCTCAACCAGTCGTGTGCTGCTGCTTGGGGAATCTCAGTCACAGGTGGCTCATAAGATGAGATAACTTGCTCTCCATGAGACACACAGGTGGGGAGAGAGAAGTTTGGGGTCAGAGCACAGGGTCAGCCATTTATACAGCACCCCTGGAGCAGTTGGGGTTAAGGGCCTTGCTCAGGGGCCAAATGGGGTAGGATTCCCACTGCCAGCCACAGGATGTGAACCAGTAGCCTGTCAGCCACAGGTGCAGATCCTTAGCCACAGTGCCACCACTCTGTCCTTAACCGTAGAACTTAACCTTCAAAGCTCTATGAGGACCGCTGCAGCTCTATGAGGACCGCTGCCATGGTAGAATTCTGGCCATCACAGAGGACAGTCACCACCCCGGGCATGAGCTCTTCACCCCACTGCCCTCAGGCAAGAGATATGAGCATACGGACACTTACCACTAGATTCTTCAATAGCTTCTATCCACAAGCAGTGAGACTGGCGAACACATTTAGCCATCCCCCTCGGACCACACCTACACCATCACCATCTACCTCATTGTAATTTATTTATTGTACGTCTCCAGTCATTGTTTACACGTCTGTATTGTTTACATTCAAACTGTCTGCATGTTTACTTGCACATTGTCTATTGTTTGTTTGTACATTGTCTTGATGCACTGTTTGCACTTTGTTTTGTTTTTTACACTTGTTTTACAATCGAGAGACTTTCTGTAAGTAAGAATTCCATTGTACCAGCACCGGTTACATATGGCAATAAAGTTCAAGTTCAAGTTCAAGTTCTATTGGCTGTCCTGTAGAATCCTATCTCCGTACCCTGTGATACTGTACCACGATTCTCAAATCTAGTTCTAAATGTCATCTCCTTAACTTTATATGCAATATTGGTCCTTTGTAGTGTCTTTGTCAATGACAAGTTCAATGTTAGGAAAATTCACTTAGCTATCTGTTATGTTCATATATTCTTTTATAGGACTATATCTGGGTATGACAACATTCTTTTTTTTAAAGAAGGTTCATGTTAAATTTAAGTTGCCAACACAAACTGTTCTTGTGCTTGGTGGAGTTATGTTTCATTTGGCAACTGACTTGTTTTACTAAAATTTGTTTTATATATTTTATCCATTTTTTAATCTCTTCTTCCAATTCAGGGTCACAGGGAAGCTGGAGCCAGATGGACACCAGTCCATCACAGGACACACAGACACAAGCACATGTACCAGGGCCAGTTTTTTTACGGAAGCCAATTAGCTTACCAGTATGTTTTTTGTACTGTTGGAGGAAACCAGAGCACCCAGAGGAAACCCACATGAACACGGGGAGAACATCTGAGTGGGTGCTGCACATTGGTGGTGGAGGGGAGTCCCCATTATCTGTAAAGTGCTTTGAGTAGGATGTCCAGAAAAGCGCTATATAAGTGTAAGGAATCTTCATTACTATTAACATATTGCATAACACCCCAGACAAGGAATTGAAATCAGGGTCCCAGTGATACAAGGCAGAAATGCTAACAACTGAGCCACTGTGCTGCCCAAAGTTTATACAAAATCAATAGCAACTGTCACTGGAATTCATACCTGGCCAATGGGTTGTTATGTTTGGATAGTAGCAATTAACAAGCCCCGGTGTTCATTATTTGCTAGAAATATCACATGGCAAAGATCTGGTGGTACTATCACATTAGCTGACTGATAAGTATGTCAGGTTTGGTCTCTGAAAAAGAAGCAATTCTAGCAATAACAATAGTGCATCAATGGTATGTGCATTGTGGTAAATTATCAATGTCCCAAGAATCACATGTATATGTTTAAACCCTGCGTGTTTGTTTTATTTTTTTTTTTTACTATTTTTTAAAACGTCAAGCAGAGGACAGTGAACTAGAAAAAACTTTATCCGTATCGCCCACGTTGCAGCGAAACTACAGACCCCACAACCCCCCTCGTCCCGTTGACATAGGAGCATGCGCAACAGCCATTGGCAACTCGGTTGCGTCACGTTGGACGGCTGAAGCCAATCGGCTTTTATGTTCCCACCAGAAGCCTGTGAATCAGATTGATATAAGATGGCGACCGCGGAACCGGTGAGTGAGTGTATTGCTCTGAAACATTTGTTTTAGTTGACCGAGTTCTCAGGGCGTTAGTTCACATTTTTCTACTGGTTCGGTGAGAGGGTTTCGCACGGGTTTAGTAGCGGGGTCGTCGGCGAGCCTGTGGGTCGGTTTTCGATGAGATAATGCCGCGAGTATTTGCGGGCAATGTGTGTATGTATTTACGTGCATGTAGGGTGAGCTTGAGCCATGAGCACTCAGCGGTTGTAGGAGGAGACAGCGGCAGCAACATGAGATGCGTGTGAGTCACAGCAGATCAGGGATCACCCGTGGAGTGTAGTCGGGGCCTGCTCGTCCACAGGCATCGCACGTCGCCTGTCAAGTGCATCGCATTTCCTCGAAACACGGAAAAAAAGAAAACACGGGACACGTAATATGTCCGTGGCGCTGTACAGCTGACAGTTTGAAACTGGAAATAACCCTACACACACACACAGCATACTCTTGGGCTGCGATTCCCTCCGATGACTAGTGCAGGGCATCTTGAACTTTCACTCGGCTCTGACGGTTACTTGAGAGAAGCTTTTGGCTTGGAGACTAACTCCCCGTGTTTGCTGAACCGCCCGATGTTGACGTTTGACGTTGACAGTTTTATGTGCCTCATTACCGTAACCGTAACATTACCGTTGGGTGTCAAGCGCCTTTCCATTCATCTCGCTGTGCGCTCTTTAACTTGTCTGATTTAGATACCTTCGTGTCGAGGTAATTGCGAGCAAATTGGGTATTGAACCCTCGAGGGATTAAGGTGGTTAGTTGTATGCGGTAAGGTCCCCCCCCCCACCGTTACTAGTAAAGCAGTTAACTGATCATAAGACCTGTAGCTCATTTGTTTTGCCCGAAAGAGTGCAAAACAGATGTTTTGATTTAAAGAGTGACTGTTGGGTCCGTTGTAATTCACCAGTTTTCCAGCCAAAGCAAACAGGTTCGCCTGGCTTGTTCGATCCCTTCCGCTGCTCTTGAAACTGCAGATGCTGCAACTCGCCAGCGTGTTATTGTTTTGCGTTCAGATGCGAAGAAATCCCTCAGCCCCGGGCTCCTGTAGCTGGAATGTGAATGGATGATACATTTTCCATGTGTTTTCCTCCAACTGTACATTACGGAGAAGGCTCCTGTCGTGTGTTGTCCAAAAAACAAAACCCAGGCGTTCCTTGAGCAGTGACGTTATGGGTGCCAAAGGAATTTTGTAACCTTTGGAATTGAATAAGGATTTAACTCCCGTTTCTTATTGGTTTGAACCATTCACTTTTTTTCCCCTTTTTTTTTTTTACTTTGTATAGATTTAAGCCACGTTTAAGGAATTCAACAGCTGTTTTTGGTATGAGCGCCTCCTGCATGTGAAGTCAATGACGGATCGTATAGGTTCCCAGTGCAGAGGGGTAGCTTATGACTTCACCTTTTTTATACGTTTAGACTTGGATTAATTAGCTTGGCACTGAAAATAATAAGAAAGGGCACTGTGTCATTGTCTAGGCGCTAGGTTAGGTAGATTCTCTTACTTTGACTTGTAACTTCTTGCTACCATATGAAAATGGAACAGTAACATGGGACTTTTTTTTCTTGGCTTCTACAGTCGTGAAGCTGGAATGGAAAAAGAAAATACTCCCACACGCTATTGAGCAATTATTTTCAGTCAGGAACAATTTGTAAAAGCCAACAACATAAAAAAAGCAGTATTAAGCAAGCACAAATAAAATACATAAGACAATTTAAGTACTCTTTAAGTATGCAGTGTAGCTGGCCAAAGCTCTCCAGTGTCAGCTTATTCCTGCTAGTTTGTGTGAGTTCCACTATGTTCTTGTGATATGATAGCAGAAATTGTAGTCATGCTTCTGTATATTCTGTTTCATGGTCCTAGTGTTTTTATAGATAGGCATGGGCAATAATGTGCCACCTTTCGCAAATAATATTAGAAATTGCCCTTGTTAGAAGACTGTAAATGTAATATAATAAGTAATAGGTTTATTCCATGCTGAATAAAAGAAGAAAGAGAACACAACGTTTCGGCCGTGGAGCCTACGCATGCTGACGCAGCTACCCACCGGAACTACAATGTAATATAATGTTGTGTACAGTTTATATATAATTAGTGTACAGTTTTTTTACATGTTTTATTTTATTATTCAGTGTCAAATATTAGTATATGGTGGTTTAGTAATTAAAGCCTTTTTGGATAGAAGGAAAATCATTTTTTCCCCAATCATTGACATTACAGTTTCAGAGTTATATTGGCTACAATTGTGTTGTTTCATGTCTTTGGGAAAGTTTGAAGCTTTGTCCCCAGAGGCCTAGTAAGCTTGTTGCACATAGTGTTATCATATTAGCTAAAGCTCAATCGAGACTCTATTTTAAGTGTGACACATAACATTCTTTGGTGGGGAAAAAAAGTGTTGTTCAGGACCTCCCAGTTGCTATAGTGCTCTTATCAATTTTTTCACAATCTTGTTATAGATTAACTAGGCCTGTAGAGTTAATGTTGATGCTACTATGCAGTTATATTGTATGAATCAAAGAAATGTGATATGTTTGTTTTTTTATTTTACCTTCTAAGATGTTTTGGTTGTGATTCATTTTTTTTTCTGTGAGAAATGTTGCTCTTTTCCATTACCATGTCATTACCCGGTGATTACCAGGATTTACTCCAGATATCTTGATGAGTTTTTATTTCAGCAATTGAATATATTTGTCTTACACTACTGTCAGCGCTTAAAAAAAAAAAAAGCAATATTAAGCAAGTCCGATTACCGGTTTTCAGCTCCTTTATCTAAATTTAGAAAAACAGCATTTTGTGATCATCTTATGTTTGGAGTGAATCTCTTTTTGCCGCTGCATTTTCCTGTGACCTTTCTTTGGATTTAATAAAAAGTGTATTTTTCTTCAAAATAATTGTGATGGTAAAACTCTTTTTTCTAGGAATCCACTTCAAATCCCCCAAATTCTGAAGAAGAAAAAACTGAAGCCACTGGCCAGGAGGTTGTGAGTCCCGAACACTACATTAAGCATCCACTACAGAACAGGTGAAATGTCCCTCCTTCTGCTGATTTTTCAAAAACCTTGTTTCCTTTAACCTGGTATTGGGCACTGTTGGTCCTGGAGAGCCACAATCGCACAGGTTTTGTACCTTTAAATCGCCATCAGCTCAATAACAACAATGTTTGCATTGTTCCATTTGTTGTAAATTCAATTCAGTTTGGTAACCAAGAGCTCAGGTAAAATGAAAACCACTGGTATCATCATTACAGTTTTTTAGGAACAAGGTTATCAGCAACTGGTTAAACCTGATGCAGCTTTTGCAAAGCCTATTTTTTCCCCTTTATATGTGCTATTAAGATTCAGGCAATGGATAAATCTCTATTGTTAGGTCACTTTTTTTGTAACAGTTACTATGCATTTATTCCGTTATTTACACACCCAGTTTGGGATTGCCAGTGGAATATTTTCAAATCTCAGATCACAGCTACAAACCCTGCAGCCACACATACAGGGGAGAATGAGGAAGTGTAGACTGGCTCCTCCTCCCTTTATCCAAGCTCATTCATCTTTTAGTACCTCACAGGGATCACAGCCAGAGCACTGATGATCTGTCTTTCATATATTTGACCACAAAATAGTTTGTACAGATGGGGCGGAGCGGTGGCTCTGTGGCTAAGGATCTGCGCCTGTGGCTGGAAGGTTGCCGGTTCAAATCCTGCAGCCGGCAGAGGAATCCTACTCCGTTGGGCTCCTGAGCAAGGCCCTTAACCCCAACTGCTCCAGGGGCGCTGTACAATGGCTGACCCTGCGCTCTGACCCCAGGCTCTCTCCCTGTCTATGTGTCTCATGGAGAGCAAGCTGGGGTATGCGAAAAGAAATTCCTAATGCAAGAAATTGTAAAGGGTTAATAAAGTAATGTTGTTGTTGTTATTATTATTATTGTTATTATTATTATATATATATATAATTGTGAAAAAAATGTTTTAAAGATTAACAAATTCATTTACAGTTCTTCTGTCTTATATCTGCGCTTTTTATTAATATGATTCCAAGTAATTTAAAAGAACAAATTATATAGAAATTACTTGGAATCATATTAATAAAAAGCGCAGATATATAGTGTGGAGAAAAGGAAGGTTCCTTAACTAGTCAGTTCTGTATTCTCATCATTTGTAGAACTAAAATGGAATTAGATCTTCATCAATGCTTTAGTAAAATGTTTTTTGTATTATGGATATAAAACTAATACATAAGACATTGAAGTATTTCATTAAAATATTCCCAAAATATTCCCATGGCAAATGTCCATGGGAATTGATCCAATCCAGCCCCAAGCCATGATACTCTCATGACAATGTTTGAGATTCTGGATGGGTTCGTTTCGAGGAAGTTTTGCCTCACAAATCATTTCTCATTGTGGCCAAAACGTGCAGAGAACATTCTTCTATTAGTCATGTGGACCCTTTGTGTACTGTTTGGTGAACTTTATTTTGGCACTCTATAATATCTACACACTTGATGAAAAATAAGAGCTGCCTTTCAATTGAAGAACCTGATTCCAGCCGCCAGGCATGGTAGTGGGAGTGTCATAGTTTGGGGTTCCTTTACTTCCAGAACACCTGGACGGCTTGTTGTCTTTGAAGAAACCATGTATTCGGTGTAGTATCTGCAAATTTGGGAGGAGAATGTGGGGGTCATCCAATCATCAACTAGAGCTGAGCCAAAAGTGGGTCATGCTGCAAGGCAGTGATCCTAAATGTGCAAATAGATCTACAACAGAAGGACTGAAGAATAGGAAATTTCACATTTTGGACTATCCACATCAAAGTTGGGTCTTATCTCCCATTTAAGTTTTCTGGTTCATGGTTCAAGTTAAGCTGTTCATGCCAAATGTTACTGACTTGAACTTGAAGTTCAAGTAAAGTTCTATTAGGACGGATGGACCAAAATTCATAAAAACGAGAGTTATGGGATGTCATAACTGCTGAAGAAGATGCCAGCAGTTACAAAGTTACAAGGATATTTACTGGAAGGGCCATTTTGTTGATTAAAAAATCCAAATATAACTTTTGTCTCGCCATTCATTTAGAAACATGCTCTCAGGAAACATCTCTGAGGAGTAGGTATAATGGATGGATGTTTGCCCATTATCCCTTCAGGCACTTAGGGGCAGCAACATCCTGTTGCTGTTACCGTAACATTTGGTTTTTACGGGACAGGGTTGTTAGCCTTGTGCCCAACCTCCACCATGGAGGACCTGGCACCCGACGTGGGACATGAACCCACTACCCTGAGATTATGAGTCTCATGCTCTACCAACAGAGCTAGGGTAGGTATAATGTCTGAGCAAAAACATTTTTAGCATACATTAAAAGAAATCAATGGGGGCTGCCTACCTGTCTTGTCTAATTGAGCTGGTGACATAATCTGAATAACATAACCACAAGAGAAATTGACACCTTTTTATGAGATGTTTTGAAGTCAGTACTAGAGTTTAGTGACACATTATCCCAGAGCTAATCTGGTTTCTGTCATATTAATTGAACTAAGAATACATTACACCACTCTAGGAAAATTGTTCCCTATAGCCTGGGGTGAGCTCAGAAGTACAGTGCTGACCCCCATGGGATGAATTGTGATCAACCCCATGTCCATTAATTGGGATCTGTCTTATGCTGAATCACAGAGCACTGTAGTTGTCTCTTGTTATCCTTACCATGAGATGTAAGTTTACTGAAAACATACACTGCCAAAAACACAGGGATGAATGGCTCCCTTGGTTTCCTTTCCAACTTTTCTTTTAATTTGGTATTCATTATAAAGGTCTTGATCAACTATTAACAATGTTTATATATATGTATGTGTTAGATGTACAATTACCTCCTCTAAATACCTTTAATGAGGTATGTCTATGCTCTACTTATAGTTTCTTTTTTTGTTTGCAGATGGGCCCTTTGGTTCTTTAAAAATGACAAAAGCAAAACTTGGCAGGCAAATCTTCGACTTATTTCCAAATTTGATACAGTTGAAGATTTCTGGGCGTAAGTTCTTTATAGTACAATTGTTATGGTGTCTCATTAATAACGTCTTTCATCATATTGTCTTGTAGGCATTGCCACAGTTACTTATACAGTCCTGTATCTTAATTTGGAGAATCAAGTATAAAAGTTCTGTGGTTTAGATATCTGTGATGTCATATCATCAAGTAAAAATCAGAGGCATTACAGAGTCTTGTGGTTTATAAAGCAATGTAAAAGAAAAGGTTTTGTCAAACTATGCAAGTTAGTGTTCCATTTTGCCACAAGCATGCAGTTTTCCCACATATGTGCTGTTAAAGTAGTGATGACAACACAACCAGCTGTCTGTGGATATAAACATTTTTCATCCATTCTTAATCATCTTGGCTGCATTGACAGTACAGTGTGGTAACTGCATGTGGATTATATTTGGATTCATTATTTTTTATTGTATTATTTCATATACTTTCCTTTAACAGTCCTTTTACAACTTAAAAACTATTAGGGAGTCCTGAAATCTCCTATTTCTTAAAGTGGATCTGTGTGGTGCTAAGACTGACTGAGATTTTTTTATCCTCTTATAATTATCTAAATTAGCTTGCCCAAAATGGTATATTTGTAATGGTGGAAAGAATCTTCATGTAAATTAGAGTAAACTTATCCAGTGTTTTTATTTTAGTTCTTCATCAGTATAGTTGTCTGTTTTTGGTTTTCTCTTCCTGTATTCTCTGTATGTTTAGCCAGGAGGCTTCTTTAAATCATTTTTGCCCCCAAAAATAGTATGGTTGAGTAAACAAACACAGATGGGTGGCAAGTTCATCCTCTTTGACACACTTTTACAATGTCTTACTAAAACTAAAAGTTTGGTACTATTCTGCACTACTGCTATTACAAAACTGGTCTCTCACTAATCAATTATCTTACATCACTCCGCTCTCTGAAACGTGTGAAGTATCATTTGAAAGTGAAAGTCAACAGGAAGATTAAAAGTATAGATAAATGGAAAAATCTGAGTTGCAGGAAGCATTTGTTTAGATCTGTGGAAGAATTAGTGTTCTAGTTCTGACTACAGGTATACTTCAAGCACCGCTTGACTTGCAAACTTGACAATTGGAGGGAGTGTTAAAGTGTTCAGAGTGTATCTACCAGGGCTCAAGGATGTTTAGTGTTGAAACAGTTTTGTTTATAGTTTCAGTATTTGTAACTCCTAGAATGATAAACTTCTAAGCAAAACTTAAGGATGTAATAGTATTCCTGATGCATTCAGTCTTGGTTGGTTTTGTGGGAAGGGTCTCTGAGTCACAGCTGACAGGGTGAAAGAGATTTTTTGCTTTATAGGTTGATTTAAACCCTCATATTCAAAAAGAAATGCTACACTAAAGGCTCTGTTTTTTATATGATCATTTGTTCTAGGCAACTGTTTTCCACAAGAGACTTAACTGAGAACAGTGTTTTGATCAAAGCTGTCAAACAGTGTATTATCTTTGCTAGCTCATTGTTGTGACAGAGCCTCCTCTGAATTGCTCTCTCCCATTTCATTTTAATTAGACCTAGTTCAAGTTAAACATTAACTCGCGGTCTACCTTGTATAAAGAAAAAGCAGGTCCACCTCTTGGCTATTTTTCCCATTATGTTTCCAGTTGGGTAATTAGTACACAAAGCTGTTTGTGAACATTCACAGAGGGCATGGAATGGTTTCACAGGATTTTTAAAAATTGTCTGTAGTTAAGCGCTACATTAACAAGGTGTCAGTTTGATCTTCAACGTCAACATTGTAATTAGTAATTGCTAAACAGTAGACGTGTTTCCTTATTTCACTTTCTGTATATCGCAGAGCACAAATTAATAACTATAGATGGATATGAGCAATTATTTAACACGTCCATGTGCTTAAATTTTATTCCTACAGGAAATTCAGGTCTGTGGAATATATTTTTATGATATAAACTGTTAAACATTCTTGATTCGATATTTGGAATAATATAAAAAACTAAACTTTATGCTAAATATTTGCTTTTATTTAGCATAAAGTGAATAGCTGTTACTTTCTGATGTGTAGTGTGCTTTCTAATACTAGTGTTGATTAGCCTACCGCTTTAGCTTCATCTAGACTGCAAGGTTGTTTTTGATGAAAAATCTGTACTGCCTTAATTTTTTAAGCTGTTTAACATTCATTTCCATTGATGACTCTTCAAGAGCTTTGTAAAAATATCCAAAACCCCTTTTTAATATTTAGTGCATTTATTTATCTAATCTCCATGAAGATATGACATCACAGATGTCTAGTGGACTTATGTTATCTGTCTGCTTTTTCAATTTTCACAAACTCTAATATTAGTTTTAAAAGTGTTACGAGACCGCAATACAGTTTTTAAGAGGCAGGAAATCACACCTTGCAATCATGTTTTTATAATTCCCTTTTCATTTGAAGATAAAGCTGTGAAGGCCTAAGAAAAGAAAAAAAAATCCCTGCTCCTGTAGAGCTACAGGATCTTCAAATTGTTGTTTCATGCAAGCTTTTCAGCGAATTATTGACAGATTTTTGTCAGCCTTCCCAGTTAAGTTTTCATTAAATAAGAAATGAAAGACCAAGACTGGAGTATGGCACTCCTTACTTAATAGTACATGATAAAAAAATGCCTTGAGTAAAAAATATTTGGATAGACTTCAAAAAATAGAATTGCTTCTGTATTGGGTTCTGATTATTTTGATCTCTCATGTTGCAATATAACTAAAGCTTTCAGCTTAGTTTAGTCTGGGGAAAAGTAATAGGTAACCGTTATAATACAGGCAGCATGGTGAACATGGTAAATCAGCTTCTGCCTTGGCTGTGTGGGTTTCGTCTCCATGTTCTTGTAGGTATTTGCATGGCACTCCACTTTCTTACCATCTCTCAAAGCCTTGCCTGCTAGGTTTGATTTGATTTTAAATTCTCTTTCTCTTTAAATCTGTGATGGACTGACATCCTGTCCAGAGGGAGAGTAGTCATGTGTCCTCAGTCCTGCCTTGCCGTGGGCAAAAAAAATGAATGAGTGGGAAATTATAATGGTCTACATTATATTTTTTGGGATATTTTGGAAAATTGCTTTTTAAGCCCTGTTCAAACATTTCAGGTCGTCAGACATGAATCCAGTGACGATACCAGTATTGATTCTAAGATCAGCCAGATTTAGACTTTTCACAGTGCTGAGCTTGCTTTAAGAAATTTGCTGTGTGCTGCATTTTCGGAGTAGTTAAAATTAATTTGAGGATTTTAGGACATATGCCATGCATTGACCTATAAGTCTTCACAACAACTTTTTTCATAATGTGCTTGCTATATCTGACAAGTTAAGTCAGCCATCTACAGCTGCGTAAGTAGAGACGCCATAGGTGTAGTTTAATTTTTTGTTTTAGGTGCTCTGTTTTCCTATTTTATTCAGGAAAAGATAAAATAGATGTATAAACTAAAACCATTTCTAAACTGCATGTTTTTTTTAATCTTTGGAATTTTTGGTATTTAAGGAGTTCTGACACTGTCCACAGTTAACCACGTGCTCTTATAATATTTTAATTTTGAAAAAGATTTTTTAGTAGGTTATCCCATTCCACTTGCAGAATAATTCATTTTGTCTTTATGGCCTTCATTGTCAGTTAGTTCTACCTTATCATTAATTCAAACTTATCATTAATACAGTAGCTTTTCCTAGGCACGCCGCTGACTTTACCATACTGCACTGTTTTACATTATATTGGGAGAATAACACTATGCAGACTGATGAACAGTGAAGGTTATTTTGCATGTCTTAAAAATACACAGTAACTTGAATTAGTTACACAAGGCCAAATCGCTTTGATTCTTCCAAGCGGTCCTAGTGGATGTGGCCTTGAATAATATTTTAAAAAAGGTTGGAACTTGTATAATAATGCAGTCATCTTTCTGTATCTTTATAGCCTTTATAATCACATTCAACTGTCAAGCAATTTGATGTCTGGCTGTGACTATTCACTTTTCAAGGTAGGAACTTTGAGATGCTTTCAATGAACTGGTGGTGGTACCAGACTGGATTTTGGTTTAATTTCTTTGTGTGCCTCTCTGCTTATGCTTGTATGTTTATATTGCAACACGTGTATGCACATATATAATATTCACATTTATATACAGTAGTGTGAGAAAGTAAGTGTACTTGAAAAGGTGTCCTTTTTTTACATTTTAGGACAAAAGGATATTTTGTCGTAATTTCAACAATACTGATAGATAAATGTGATCTAATTTTTAAAACTTTGAAAAATCACATTTTGCACTCATTTGTGCTATTTAAATAAACAGAAATGCAATTTCCTTGTGCAGAAAAAATTAGTACTATTAGTGCTATTTCCAAGCAGTTAGTAGTCAATCACTCCACTGTCCGAAAGATCATCTACAAATGGAGAAAATTTCAAACCACTGGCCTTCTATCCGGGCCAGGTCAACCCACCAAATGCAGCCCAAGAGCTGACTGAAAGATGCTACAGGAAGTCTCGAAGAACCCCAGGACAACAACAAGGGATTTACAGGCAAGTCTTGCCTCAGTCAATGTCAAAGTGCATGAGTCAACCATCTGAAAGAGACTGCACAACTTTGCCCTATATGCGAGGTCAGGAAGGAAGAAGCCTTTGCTCTCGGAAAAGTATATAGACGCACGACTGAAGTTTGCCAGACAACACCTAAGTGAAGATCAGGACTTTTGAACAATGTGCTCTGGACGGATGAGACAAACGTAGAGTTGTTTTTTTACAAAGCCAGACCAAAAACCAAAAACTGCCTTTGACCAAAAGAACCTCATACCAGCTGTAAAGCATGGTGGAAGAAACATTATGGTTTGGGGCTGCTTTTCTGCTTTTCAGCCTCAGGGCCTGGCCAGCTTGCCACCATAGAGTCAACCATGAATTCCACTTTGTACCAGAGAGTACTTGAAGAGAATGAGGCCATCTGTAAAAAAGCTGAAGCTGAACCATAAGTGGACCTTGCAACAAAACAATGACCCAAAACACTCAAGCAAATCCACAAAAGAATGGCTCAAAAAGGAGAAATGGAGGGTTATGGAATGGCCAAGTCAAAACCCAGATCTTAACCCCACATAAGTGCTGTGGGGGGACTTGAAGCGGGCAGTATTTGCATGAAAGCCCTCAAACATCACGCAGTTAAAGGAGTTCTGTAAGGAGGAGTGGACAAAGATTTCTCCGAGTCGATGTAGGAGACTGATAGACAATTACAAGAAGTGATTTCTGTCAAAGGCGGCAACACCAGTTATTGAAGCTAGGGGGTGTACAAAGAATAATTTTCATTATTACTTAGATTAGATCACCTTTATCTATCAATATCGTTGAAATGAAGATCAAATATCCATACATGCAAATATGTTGAAAAACACACACCTTTTCATGGGATGTACTTACTTTTTCACAGCACTGTATATACATTCACACTTTTGCACAAGTAGTTTTTTAGAAGGGGTTCAAAAGATATAGTTAAACCTGCATTCTTATATTTAATAAATAATAAACATATTTAATGCAATAAATCAAGACAAAAGTTGTACTACACTACATTAACAAATATTACGTATAGAAAAAACTTTCCATATGCTGTCATTCCCTGACACTGTGCTTCAGTGGTTTTATTGAAGTGTAAAACAGTGAGAGCCTACTATCACCAGTCATTTCAGCGCACAGTTGCAGAGGTTTCCATTTTACATGCAGATTATAATGACAGCCTACTCACAGAATTGCCATACTTCCCACTGGGTACAATATAGGGCTTACCTTTCTCTAAATATGAATTACAACCCCTGCTTTGAAGGGTCTTCCCACACAGTTTCAATGTTATATTCATAAGCATAAACTGGATTTTGGCCCTTGTCCTTTGATGCCCTGCTTGTTCAAACATCATCGCACTGATCTTCCACATTATGCTGAAATATCTGTTGTGGTTGTTATTTTAGGGTTTTAACAGGTGTCTTGTACATCTGTTCATTACAGATATTTTTAGTTTGTTCTTCCAGCAGATAAAGGTTTCTGCCATCATTGTATGTAATGGGCCTTTTTTTATTTACTTTCTTTTATCTTTTGGCTTTGTATCATAATTTGTCAATTTTTAAAGTTCATGTCACATTTTGAAAGTAATTTATTTGCCTCCGATGTCAAGTATGTGACTGACAATTACTTATTTAGTTTTGGTGGGGTGTTATAATGGTTTGTATATCATTTTGATGCCCTAAAACTCAGCTTCATCCAACCACATTGTGTGATCCCAATTTGACTTGGAAATCAATTGTCGCTGTTTGCAAATGCACTTTTCTTTTCATATAGAAATCTATAGAGGTAAACTTGGAAAAGTTATATCCCGATGATGCCAGAGTTTTTTAAAGATTACCGATTATTTCCCTTGGGTGTGAGTTAGATTCCCAAACCACTCTTGTCTGCTAATTTGTGTAAAACAAGTTTATGTCCTCTCTTTGGTGGGGTAGCAGCCATCACAGACTTTAACCTCTTGACTGTGGACATTTTACTGTAATAACTAATAGGATTTTTTACAGCTTTCACTAGAGTGGATCGTGGATAATCTTATGATTACACTGATTTCTCTAATGATAACAATGTACAGAGTGTTCTTTGTTCAGCCTTCTCTAATGGCCAGTGGCAATAAAATTGACATACCAAAACCTCTATTTTTTTTAACTTTCAGGCTTTGTGATGCAACCAGATGAATGAAAAATATTGAAGAGTTAACTATTTATTTTCAATGTATTTACATTGTATTAATAAATTTGAACATTAAAGTATTTACAAATTTGTTGTCTGGCATATATGGTATTGTTGGTTTCAGTAATCTTTCATTCTAGTCTTTTAATTAATGTTGAAAAATATCGATTTACATCTGCATTTTCTTTACTAAAATATTCTGATACAGTACATGGAATGTACTCATTTTTGAGTGTACTTTTGTCCATGTATTTAGGTTTTGGAATGCAATTTTTTTGTTGCAGTATAAAACACATCAGAGATGTTTTTTTCCACGAGGCCTTGACATTTAATGTAGACATTTAAATTGCATTTTGGTTAGTTATAGATATCTGTATAATTGATTCTACAAATATATTTTCCTTATTAAGTTTCTTTGCTGAAATGAAAGTAGTCTAATTATTAGTACATTGGGTTTATAAATTTATTATTGTAACAGTTTGCTTCAGTATATCTGTCACTAAGCCTTCAGAAATGGTTTTGACTTAATCTGGTGGTTGTGTAGGATGGCATTGAACCCATGTGGGAAGATGAAAGGAACAAGCGAGGAGGACGATGGTTGATTACTCTGTCTAAACAGCAGCGGAGATCTGACTTGGATCGGTTTTGGTTAGAAACCGTGAGTATCAAACCTGATTTTGACTGATACAACACTGTGTACCCTGTGATGGATGTCATCCTGTCCAGGGTATATCCTGCCACACTCCAAAGAGATATTGGTAGGTTTATTGGCTTCTGGGAACATTGGCCTTGGTGTGAGAGTGTGTGTGTTTGTGTCTTTGTGTGCCCGGCGATGGATTGGTGTCTTGTCCTGGGTGTATCTCGCCTTGCACCTGTTGCTTGCCTGTGTAGGCTCCGGCTCCTCCCCAACCCTGTGTTGAATCAAAGTAAAACAAAATGGATAGGATGGATAATACTAGGTTGGCTTTTTTTAAACTTGTCATTGGTGCTGCTGCTTTTTCCTTTTCACTTTTAAAAAATTTAAGTCAAGCTGACATGGAGGGTTTTTCTCTTTTGTTGGCTTTAGATCATGAAAGTAATTCTAATACATTTGTAATGTCATTTGATATTTTAGTAAGTGTCTACTCAATTACCTATCGCGAGTGGTTTGTGAGTCCTGTGCTGCACAGGGAAAATGAGGACCTGTGGAGATGATCCTCTGAAATGTCTGTGTCAGAATCATCTGTCTTTTGACACTCGACAAGCTTCACTGTGCCCTTCATGAGAATAAGCCAGTTTCTGTGTCAAAGCATATGTGCAGGCACCCAGTAAGAGTTGTGAATTGTGGTATCCACAATGTTAAAAAATATTTAATTCAGCCGAGTTGATTAAAAACTAATGTTTCACATTCTATTACTGACAAATAAAATACCCATTGCTGCAATGCATTTTTACTTACATTCTGAATAGAACTTTAGTAAATATTTGGGCTCAGTCATTTTCTTACCAGCATACAAATATTCTCATATCCAGACCTTTTCATTTTGCATTTGTTTTGCAGGGAAAGACTTTTAATTTAGATCTTTGTTGTTACATTTCAGCTCCTCTGCCTCATAGGTGAAGCTTTTGATGACTACAGTGATGATGTTTGTGGTGCAGTAGTTAATATCAGAACAAAAGGCGATAAAATAGCGATATGGACAACTGACTACGAAAACAAGGATGCTGTTACACATATAGGGTAAGTCTAGAAACTTCAAACTTGTATCTGCGGCTAACCATATTAGGTATTGAAAAACATTTCTGAATTAAAGTTGTTTTTTTTTTTTACTGAGTTTTAAGATTAAACTGGTTAAACACATTTTGCACTTTTCAGATCTGATAAATCTCAGATTTGCAGGTGTTATATTGTTAGATGTCTTTAAAAATTGCCAAATACGAGACAGTGACTAAAAATGCTAAGTTTGATTATAGTTATTTTTGCATGTAGACTTCTCAATAAATGTTGGGATATTAATTAGCCTTCAAAATAGTATGTCTGAAAATGACAGATACACTGCTATCACTGTTTACACTGCCCTTTCTGTTGAATCTCCCCTACATATTGTACCTGTATGTATGACTGGAGCTGAATTTGGGATTAGGATTAGATGCCCCTTAAAACATAGAATTAAGTCAACTCTGCTAATAGACAAGGTAAATACTCTTTTGGAGTTATCCTTCTTTTTCTGGGTCAGACAACATTGCTTTCTAGACCACAAGGCCACAGCAAAATCAGAAGTTGAAGTCCAACCTTCTTATCTTAATTAAACTAATTAAAATGCAGCAGTAACTGTAAATAAACTCAGTGTAATTTTAATATACTAATTCACACTAACACTAATCCATTTATCTGAATCCTTGTCTGAAGAATGTTTTCAAACATTGTTTGCTTCAAAACTGCTATGAAAAAGAAACAATCTTGTATGACAATATCCTAAATATCCAAAATCTACATAGAGCAAAAGTTTGGTTTCAAAATATGCTACATTTTATCTGTAAATTTCATCTTTATATGTAGAAAGTCTAACAAATCCTTAAGTCTGGAGGCCATCGGATTTCTAACATAAAACTTGGTTCAAAAGTGCTCTAAAGAAGACAGTGTTCCTCTACAGTAATTGAAATCTAGTCCAAATACAAATAAAAGTTTTATATTATTTCATGCTTTCAATTCAAGCACACATCTAAAGTACTTTTATCTGGTGGCCTGTCCAAGACATGGTACATGATAGGACTGAGTGTGAAATAATATTGCAGATGTTTATACTGGTGTACTTCTGGAAATAGAAAGCTTGAAAATGCAAAATAGTACAAATAGTCATCCATTTTGACAGTATTTTGAAATACTGTTTCTCTCCTTTATATTCTGTTAAGTTGTAAAAATGTTCTATGTTTTTTGAAACATTTGACTGAGAATGCTTGTTAAAAATTGATATAGGACACTGATGTGTCATATTTGTGACGTTGTTTGCATTTTTTTGTAAATGCTGAAGGGAAAATCTAAAATTTGTTTACCCACTGCTGAAAAGTGTACAATGGGGCACATCACATCTCTCCCGAGGCATAGTGCCTGACTTTGTTGTTACCTCCTCTTGAGCTGTCAAGCCCCTGACTGTATAATGAGGCGTTTTCAATATAAAAGCTTTAGCCCCAAAATAGTTTAGGTGGTCAAATGGAGTGCATCTCTTATGAAAAAAATCTCTCTTCATTTACCATTTGTGTTTTGCTTTTGTACGTTAAAAGCAGTTAGAAGTACAGAATTGAACGCATGTACCTGATCACTTAATCACTTAATAATCAGATGTTCTTTTATTTTGTGATTTTTTTTTCTTTTTCTTACAGGCGAGTTTACAAGGAGAGGTTAGGAGTCCCACAAAAAGTGATCATCGGATACCAGTCCCATGCAGACACTGCCACCAAAAGCGGATCCACCACCAAGAACAAGTTTGTCGTTTAAGAAGCCTTCAAAGCATTTTTTCCTGCTTTTTTTTTCTCTGAGAAGACTGCGTCAAGCAATCGAGATCCAGGTTAAACCAAAGCTTCTTCTGAGCAGAATGGACTGCATTCTATGATTTCAATAAATACATTCATTCAGATGCTCCATAAGCTCTTCCATAATTGACACTTTCTTCTCCTCTCATCTTTATCCACTAATAAAAAAGCAACGAGATAACGGATTTCAAAAGTCCCATGGCTGCGTGGTAAAAAGTTTGTCGAATTGTGCATTAACTTCACATGGAAAAAAACTCTTGGTGTTAACCATATTGAATAGAAGAACATTGTTCTTTTTTTAAGTCTTGTGTGTTGATTAAGCTACCCATTGAAGAGAAGAAGTTGCTTGTTGAAGCAGTTCTAATTGCTTTGTGCTTTTGTACAGCAATGTGCTGTTGCTGTAATCCCTAGTAATGTTACCATTTAGGTTTAATTTATTTTTTTTTTCCCCAAGAGCTGTAGCTTCATTTGATTTGTAGCTAAAAAAGCTTTGTTTTTTTAGGGGGCTGGGGCTTAAAACTTGGTGGAATCATACTATTGTGACATTTGCTTTCACTATAAATTTCTTGGAAGTATTAACATAATTAAAATTTTTGTTTTTTGCAGTTCAGTAGAAAGTGTTTTTTATGTTTTGTTTTTCTTAAAGAAAATGTGGACTTTTGTATGTATCCTGTAATTTTACATTCCTTGCTAGAAAATAGTAAGATATATCAAAAGCCTCAATTGTTTTGTTATGCTGTATTTTATGACATATTCATTAGAATATATTTTGCTTTGATTTATGCCTCACATAGAACATTGCCCCTTTCATATTAAGACAGTGTAAAGAAAAATCTGTAAATAAATGTGTACAGTGAATTGTCTTTATTTAGGGAGTGCAGCTCTTCTTTCTCAAAAGCCAATTGGCATGAGTAAATTGTGGGAGTTTCAAGAAATTCAATATCAGAAACTGTTATCAGAGCTGCGTACATGACTTTGGAGAACATAGAGAGGTGTGTATAGATTTGACTCCTTTATTTCAAAGTAAAAAAAAAAACAGCTATTTGAATTTGTTATGCTTGTGGCTAGAGACTTGTTCGACCTGCTTACAGTGGAAACTGTTTTCAAATTTAATCAAAATCATGTAATCAGTCATGTAATTTCACTAGTTTTATGGTGTAATAAAATTAAGGATGAGTCTTGGCTCTGAGAAAATATGACCTAGCACACAGAAACAAAATGAGCAGCATAAAAGATGGTTGCTTGGCCTCCTGCAGAATCCCTAACAATTGAAAGTTACTTTTACAGTAGAGCCTTAGAGATGCAACACATGAACTAAACAGAAAACCCTCCTCTAAATTGGATGTTACAAGCATGTGGCAGTGATGACAAAAAAGCTAGAACAGCTTATATTTGCATACTTCATTAAGATTACTAAAGTCTGTGCAATTTTTATAAAAATACTTTACAGTAGTTTTAAACAAAGTCCCATTCATTTGTTTTACTTTTTGTGTGCGATGGACATTTAAAACTATCGAGGGTGTGCTCTTTTTTTCTAATAGAGAATTAAACATTAAGATCTCATCTGAGGAGTGTAGACTGGTTTCATTATGTCGAAAGAGGAAGGGAAATACACTGGGAAGGGCAAGTTCAGTGTAAACGTCCATTTTATACCCAAGCTGATGTTTAAGCTATATGATTTGACAAGGTGAACAGACTGTAAAAACATAAAGGGATTCATCTCCGAAGTTTTCTTCTGCATAATAGGAAAGCTTTCAACCCAGAATGAGGATTGTATCATATCTCAGTTGTAATGACTTGTGAAAAACAGCTATAACATTTTATGGAGCTGTAAACAATTCTGACTTATGAGCGTTGTGTTTATAATCTTAGTTCTGCTGTATGCTGGACCAAGGAGTGGTGGAGGCAAATGTGTAAGTCTCACTATGTTTGGGGATGCTCTTTTTAAAATGGCAAGGCTTAGCACTATATAGGGTAAATTCAAACCTGTGTAGCATGTATTTAAGACCATTGATTATTCACTCTCAGCAAACTCGGTGTTCTCCCTTGAACTCTAACTAATATAAAATTCTTAGGTATAGTCAATTTTTGGTGGTTACCAAAAGGTTAATTAGGCTGTAGATCTCCGAATGTTGTTTGACATAGATTCTGCTATTAAAGGGCATTAAAATCTAAAGCTAGCTTTATAAATGACAACATACCTCTGCTCAGTTTTTATTTTCTGAAAGATTAAATTGCTTTCTGTCAAATTTTAATCTTAAACTGGCAGGCTTTTACTTTGAAGTGCATTTTGAAGCTGGCCCTTGATAGAAGCCTTTTTTCGATAGTGTCATTATACCATGTAAATTCCACCCAAAACCAGTTACAGAGCTTTAGCAGAAATGCAAAAATATAAGATGCAGAATTGCTGAAATAAAAATACACCCAAATTAAATAATGCAAATTATGATATATCGAGCAAATAAAAGAATGAATAGTAGGATCTGTGGGTACATTTTCAGTATGTCTAGAAAAGTATTGCTGCAGATCTAATGCTGCTGCAAATCTGGTTAAAGTAACAGGTTTAAATATTTAAAGCTTTAGGTCTTGTGAGTGCAACCAGGAAGAAATGAGATGGTGAAATGTGCTATCTGTGACAAAGTAGTGATGGTGGAAATTAATTGATGGGTTCAGTTACTATAAAATTGTTTGGCCTGATAGTAGTTTTGTTATCCAACTTCCCTCCCGCTTCATGATGTAATGTTGTTTCATTAAGCACAAATCATGAAGTATGGATGATTATTATACATTTTTACAAAATGCTGAATTATCTTAGTCAACAGCGAATTTAGTACTGTATATATTGTATTAGCCAGCAGCCATATCGCCCTGCCACTCTCAACTGGCTGCCCACTGAAGCTAAGTAGGGTTAAGCCTGGTAAGTACCTGGATGGGAGACCTCCTGGGGAAGCTACGGTTACTGCTGGAAGAAGTGTTAGTGGGACCAGTGGGGGGCGCCCACCCTGCGGTCTGTGTGGGTCCTAATGCCCCAGTATAGTGGCGGGGACACTATACTGCAGTGGGTGCTGTCTTTCGGATGAGACGTTAAACCGTGATCCTGACTCTCACTGGTCATTAAAGACCCCCGGGCTTTTTTTAAAAAGAGTAGGTAGTTATCCCGGTGTCCGGGCCAAATTTCCCCCGTCAGTCTTTACCGTGGCCTACAAATTGTCCCCCATGTGTGATTGGCTTGCACTTGTCCTGCAATGGACTGGCGTCCCATCCAGGGTGTACCCTGCCTTGCGCTTGTTGTTTGCCGGTTAGGCTCTGGCTCCCACAACACTGTATGGTTTGGTACATTACATTACATATGTTGTATTACAGAAGACCACAGGCACACTGCAGTCTTGTTTACTCCTGATCCATTGAAATCAGAAAATTATGGACACAATTTTTAAACAATGTAAATAAACCCTGGTGTGAGCCACTGCGTACAGTGGTCATCCCACTGCTATCATACCAGTTATTCCCATTTTCTGGCTATTATTCTCTCCCAGAATTACAGAAACAGCGAAGACATTATCTTCTTATCAACCAATTCTGTAAATTCATTTGAAGATGGTATTTTCTTCCCCCCCCTCCACAAAATTCTTCTGTACATGTGAATTAACTGCATTGTAACTGTTCCATTAGTTCTAAGTATGTAAATTTACACTGTAAGGATGGCCAAACACTGAGAAAAGTGGTGAATTTTCTCAATGAATTGCTGGGGGGGTGTTAATTGATGTAAGTAAACAATGTACTAATGATGTTGACAGACATCATTTATCAGACTGATTTTACACTTGAAACTTTTCCACCAGTTATGTACACTATAATTAGAGGACACCATTTGCAATCTTTTGGAAGTGAAGCTTTCAGTCATTACCGATGGCAATCAATGAAGGTAAGTAACATTGTTTTTTTTTTCGATTTTAGTTACAGCCAAAGTTATAGAACAACAGCTGAGAGATCATATACTTGAAGAACAATCAGAGCTTTTTTGTATTAAGGATGCATGTTTCACAGAGCACAACATACACTTGATATGCACAGTCTGCAAGTCAAAAGTAGTTACTTAGTGTTCCTGGACCATTTTCAATGTAACTCCACAGCAGAAACCTCCGCAAAAACATGTCTCCTGATAATTCAAAGTTACCAATCCTAAGGGAAGACTAACAAGCTTATTGAAACCAAATCTCCGTGACATCTTTATTCTTGTTGTTTTTATTTCCTAAGTGTCTGCCAGCTTTTGATTTGTTATCCATATATACGCTTAATTATTGTAAAGACTTTCTCTATTTAAAGTACAGTAAATGAAGTGCAAAAGGGAATTGGAAGAATTGCTGTGACATAAATTAAGTTATTGATTTAAAGATCTGTTTTATGTGACATGGCTCCTGGTTTGTGTCACTAATCAGATGTGCCTAGGATTCCCCAAGCAGTAGCATACAATTGTCAGAGCACCATTAGAGCAGAAGTGGGAATCAAATGACCAGTGTCTTCTCTGCATGCAGTGAAACAGTGACTCCTGGGACTTGGCTGATACCTGTGTGCTTGTAGTGACATCAGTGAGTGAAAAGCTGCCTCCCCAATTAGTGCTGTCTGTTTGGTAAAACTGTGTAGAGTTTGCTGGTATGTGAGGGAAACAGGTCTGTAGGTCAGCATTCTCTCCATTCAGTTTAGTGTTTGTAGCCTAGTCTTAAACAACTGGTGGTTCTGAATTGAGTGGATATAAATATATATATATATAAAAATAAGTTTATTAATTTATTTAAAAAATAAAATTAAAGAAACAAAATTCAGGTAGAATTACAATTTGTGAACACCAGACCTTTCCAGTGTCCTTTATATAGTTATTTGTATAAGAGGCTCATTCAAGTCGTAGAAATGAAAATAAACAAAGTCTTCAATTTGTTTTCTCCCAAATCCAGAGCTCCATTGGTTAAATATAGTAAAAATGGGAGGATAAATGAAAAGCTAGCTACAAAAAAAGAGCCCTAGGTGCTACTGAATCAAACAATATAAAATAATTTTAGAAAGGAACAAGTAATAGGTTGATTCTGACGGAGCTACCCACCAGAAATAATTTTAGAACGAAAGTCTCAGTCCATTATATCTGATCAGCACCTTGAGCATTTTTTATGATTTTCAAATCTGGTCTTAAACTGGGCTGCATTATCAGATTGACGGCAACCTGCCCTAGGGAATGGGGAATGGCATTTTGAAATTTGAGAATTACTGAAGCTTACAAAAATAAAAGCATGGGAAAGAAATGTATTGATCATCTTCTAGCTGGATTGTCCTGTGATCTGACCCTTGGTAAACAAGCCTTTGAAAACTTAAACCTTTTACATCTGGAGTCAAAACAGAAATTAAACAGAATTCTCAAAACTCGGGTACCTTTTGTCTATCCACACACATATTATACTGTATGTGCAGAGAGAAGGAAAATAAATTCTTATTACGGTTTACGGTAATAGTTCAATATCAGCCAGATTGAAAAAAAAAAACAGTTAAAATTAAGCAATGTCTAACAGCACTCCACAATGCAACAAAGTTGTATTTCTCAACTTTAATTGAATTCCAGAAGAACATGAGGGGGAAGGCGTGGAAGGGGGTTAGTTAGCACTGCTACCCCACAGAACTGGTGGTTTGGCTTCAATTTTAGACTTGGGGTGCTATCTCCATAGTTTAGGGAGTTTCCACTTGTGTTCTGGTTTCCTCCCCCAATCCAAAGAGATACTGGTTGGTTAATTGGCTTCTGGGAAGATTGGTCTCGTTTGAGAGTCAACACAAAAATCAAGAGAGTGTTTGTGTCTGTTTGTGCCTGTTTGCGTCCTGCCCAGGGTATATCCCACCTTGCTCCCATTGTCCATTGATTGCTTGTGGATAGGTTAGGTCCTACATGACCCTGTACTGGATAAAGCAATTAGAAAGTGGATGGATGGATTAGGTTCTACTGTATCTTTAATATTCTTTGCTTATCTCTACATGTGCTTCTTGTCTAATAATTTCAGCAGTGGCAGCATTAACTAGCCTGTCAGTTATTTCATTGTTATTTGCAAATAGGCCTGTTTTCCTACCCTTTTAATGCGCTTTTACTTCAGCCACAGTGGTTTTAAGCATCATCTACTGTACCTTCTATCTTTGTTCAATTTTAT